GGCTGTTTTGCATTTTTGGGGGGTGTAGGTAAGGGGTGGGAAGAGCAGAGGGTGTTTTGGGGGTGTCTGGTTATTGTAGGTGGAGGATCAATGGGGGGTGGGGGTGGGGAAAGAAAGGTGGCTCTGAATGGCTTGAGGGGTGTCAGGCAAGATATTGGGGTGGTTTAAATCAATGAAGAGGACAGGTGGCTATAATTTTTTTTAGGGGGGTGCTGGTTATGGTGCAGGAGAGATGGAGAGTTCCTTGGGGGTGTCAATAGGGGGTGGGTGAGGATTTTTGGAGATTCCTGATCATGCCAGTCTTGGGGAGAATGTAAATAGGGAGTGGGCCAGGACATATTGGGGTGTGTTTTGTGTGTGAGGGACTTATTCCCTTTTAGAGGGTATTAATTGAAGTCAGCCTATTTTGGGGTGCTGGTTATTGTCTGTGAGGGACTGATAGTGTTTCTGGATAATTTAGGCCCAGATTGGAGGAAGGGGTCTGTTTATTGTGTGTTAGGGAATGGCTAAATGATGTTTTTGTGTCTGATTGGCTGATAGGTGTTTTGGGATGTGTTCGGCCAGGATCTTATTTAGGAAAGGGGCCGTTAGATGTTGCTGGGTATTAGGAGTCCAGGAATTGAGACGTGTATGCAAGGGGTGGGCCATCCAGGATTTTATTTACGGCTGGCAGTCTGTCATTGTGTGTGTCTGGGGCTTCTAGAACTCAGGAGGGTGGACAGTACCTGGATTTGGGAACGAATAGAAGTAGGATTTGGGTGAGACTGTGGTTGTCTTGGTGGGGCAATTGTCTCATTTTATTGTTACAGCTTGTAGAAGTTAGGTGACAGGTTTTGCGGGCAACAGCATGAGGGGGTAGGTAGAGAACGGGATGGCCAGAAATTGGAGCATGTTCTTGTTATTATTTCCAAGGACTAATTATTGGGGCACAAAGCAGTGTGAGGTATCTGTGAAGGATTTAGACTAAGAATTTGTTTGCTTGTCTGCCTTCTGTTTTGAAGAGGAACCAGTTTTGGGATCATGTAGATGAGCCAGAATTAGGGGCGGGGGTTTGTTTGTTGTGTGTATGGTTGACCAACTAGGAATTATGAGTAGGTCTTGGCAAGCCTTGAGTGTTCTTGGGACGTTAAAAGACAGCAGTTGGGATCGTGGTCAGAGAGGCAGAGGAGAGGGAAAAAGCTGGGGCCAAGATTGCACATTGTGTGTGTGTGTGTTTCATGTTCTTAATATAGGGATAGGATTAAAAGGTACTGTTCCTGTCTTAGTCACTGTTCATGGCATACTGTATTATGTATGCAATCTATTTTTGTGTACCTCAGAATCTAGTTGTTCTGAAAACTGTTCAAAGGCAGGAATTTGAAGACTAGCACAGTGAAGAAGAGATATGTGGGGAAGACAGTGGGATAAAGATTTGGGTATTATGCTCAGAGCATATGAGTTGGGATGTGTTTTTGGGAGCAGGTAGGATATGGGGGGGTAAGATCTTGAGCAGGGATCAGCGTAATGCGTAAAGTCTTTAAAGGGAAAGGTGACATGAGAATGTGCCAGGTAGAAACAGTCAAGGGATAGAAGGAGGAGTAGATCGCAATAATAATTTCTTAATATTCGTGAGCAAGGTGGGAATGGGCACGGAACAACTGGTGAAAGAAGGTGGAGCATTTTTGGAAATGAGAGAGGACAGTGAGGTGGCAGAAAGATGAATGAGGATGTCCTTTGTTGTCTTTGTTGAGGACCAAGACTCAGGCAGCAAAGGTAGGAAGAGAATCTGTTATTTTTCTACCTTGGTCTTAAGAGTGTGTTGACAAAGGGGCAAATGAGATACAGTACTGGTGGAAAGACCTCTGTGTTTCGCCCTTTCCCTTGATCCTCTTGCCTTAGGGTGTCTGATGCTTCTGTTCAACTCAGTCAGCCCCTGCTGATCCCGCTTAGAGATGGGATGAAGGAAAGAGACAAGGGTATGACAAGAACAGGGAAACCCCAGGCCTTCTGTTCGTTCCTGCCTTCTCCTGCTGTTCTGTCATTACCCCCACCATTCCATTGTTAGGCAAATCAGAGGATGGGAGCCCTTCCTTCTCCAGTACCTGTCTTTATTGTTAGGCTGTTAATACAATTGGAAAGAGATCTGCAAGAACCATGTCATGATGGGTATGAATTCTGTATCTTAGTCACCGCGATACTCCCTTGCAAGGTCGAGGTAACGGACTTGCCTTCTTTCTGCAAGTTTTAATTATTATATATATAATCAAGTTGTCAAGCAGCCCTGATATATTAGAAAAGGGGCAAAGGATTGGAACCGAGCTTTGCTGTAGAATGGCACCTTAGCAATTAAAAAAAATTCATGGTGTTGCTGAAACTACAAAAAAAAAATGCTTGGTGTCATACCTGCGAGCATAGGTCTTCCAAACTGTAGCCTATGCATGTTAGATTGGTCTTCTTTTATTTTTGTTTCAGATGGTGGATATTGATGTTTGTGCTGGTGGGGATAGCACAAGAAGAAAAATGGATGCTCTAACAGATAGCGCAGCTGAGATCATTCCGTTGGAACTCTATGATTCATCTCGAGCAAAAATAGCTGCTAATCTACAGTGGATCTGTGCTAAAGCCTATGGAATAGGTAAAAAAAAATCCCCATTGGGTGATAATTCTTTTCTCTTCCTCCCCCTTTGGGTCGTTTCCCCCTTCCCCTTGCCTTCTCAGATGTTAAATGGATTTAGGGTTATCTGTGTTTTAAATATCAATCGGGTGTCAAACTGATTGGCTTTCCTGTTGTCCCAGCATTTTCAGATGCAACTGTACTGTATTGTTAAATGCCCGCCAGGAGGCTTGTCAGCATGCACCCCTCCCCTTCCTTATTGTGAATGATTTGTAGTTGCAAGTGCATGAAATCCTGCTGTGGTTTTTGTTTTTGTTTCCACCAAATTAGTGCTGTACTGAAAACTATAGATCTAGAAACAGTGAGCTCTTGCAGGCCTCTTAGACTTTGTCATGTGAGTTGTTTTGGCAGACAGAACTTTACCGCTATCTTATTGATCAAGGATTTTAAAAAAAGAAACGTGGTTTTCATGTAGTTGGACGGCAGATATTTCACTCCCTTGATTCTGCCTCCCTCCCCACCATCAAGGCACCTGTGTTCTGAAACATCGCAGTGAGCATTTCTCTCTTGTGTAACATGTTATGCTATGTATTCTCATGAATAAATGGATGCTGTAAATTTATTTGAAATTCTTTTTTAAAACTGAGACTAAATAGGAGCTTTTAAAATTATGTTCTTTTTCTAAAGGATCACTGCAAAGTTTTATTCTGCATTGTGGGGAATCTTTGTTTTGATTTTTTTAGTATTTTGAGTAGCGATACGTGGCTACTGATTAGCATGGTAGTTTTAAGTGAAAAAAAAACAAAATATGATAATGTTGTAGAAAATTCGATAGTCCTCTTAATCTGACTCTTAATTTGCAAAACTCTAATATGCTTAATGGATTAACATTAGCTTTGGCTGCGTTACTGCTATGTATTGCAGTATATTCCAGCAGTCACATGCCTTTGCTTTGCTTTCATCTGGACTATTAGTCTTTGCTTCTAGGCTTGCAAATTTTCTACAGTGAAATTAAAAGCTGCACTTGACCAAACCTGTTATTATTTTATTATTTGTGAAATTATACAGAAGTTTCAAGGAAGAGCAGTGGTACAGCATTGTGTAGAAACTGAAAAAAAGTTTATACCAGGGTATTGATGTTAATCAACATTCTTACGTTGTGTTTTGCGATAGTTTGTGCCTGGTTAAATGTTGGTATATAAAAGATAAAGGTTTACAATAATGCATAGTCACTAATTAGTCTGTTATGAAAGCAGACTAAGTATATGGCTTATGTTTATGTTTACGATAGCCATGGGAACTACATTTGATTAGTGGCATGTGAAAGCAGATTCTAGACATACTCTATGTCTTGCCTTCAGGATCAATGATAGAATCACTTGTTGAATTTCTTGGTTGCCATTTTGCTACGTATATAAAAAAAAGTTTACTCCTATAGAAGAAATGAGTTTAGGCAGATAGTCTTGTGCTTTGGATTCTTCCTGCTCTTATGAAATCTGCCATAGATATGCTGATACCTTTAAAGTAGAATCCTGAAATGCAGGTCTGTAACCTCCCAGTATTTGACTAAAAAAAAGAACAGAGGAAAAAGTGTTACATTCTAAACTAACTACTTGTTGGTCCTTCAGTGACTTGGATCTGATCACTTCTCAAAATACCTGCTGGCAAGACAGTACAGTACTTATGCTGATAGTGTCAATTGCACTTCCAAATAATTTGTATAGGCTGCTTGGGGTTTCCATGAGTATTTTTTGCTGATCAGCTTAGAGGTCACCACTGTTTATTCTTGCGAGATACAAGATTTGGTGGGGGCAGGGAGAGGAGGAAGGTGGAAATCTGTCTTAATTTATCTAATGCTAAAGGTCTTGGTAAAAGCCAGTTCGTCTGTGAAGCAATTCTTTATGAAATGAAGTTTTACAGCAGGATCTTTCCGTTCCGGTTTGCCTTTTATTCAAAGGTGAGCCTTTTTTGTACGGTGGGTTTCTGTGGAACGCCTTGGAAATAAGGGAGACCTTTTTTACTGAAGTTTTTTTTAAATGGTGTTTTTTTCTTTATACAATATGATAAAGCTAAATGTTTTTGTTTGTTGGTTTGTTCCTTAGAGATTGGTACAGCCCAGTGGGGTGGGGTTGTGAAGTTGCTGGTGACAAACATCCCTGCCCAGCTTGTAGTGAATGAATGGGAACATTAAAGTGGAGGGGGAAGGGTATTGTTTTGGTATTTTACTGTCAATTGGTACCAAAGAGGGATTTTTTAAATGTTAATTCCCCAAAGACTTTCCAGTCCTTCATACACGGTGTTACCCCATCGATCCTACCCCCACCAAGAAAACTGTCCAAATGTTGATTGTTAGGATTGCTTTATATCGCGTTGTCATTGTGGTTCTCCCGCCAACCTAGTGGTTCGCCCCAAAGACTTTCCAGTCCTTCATACACGGTGTTACCCCATCGATCCTACCCCCACCAAGAAAACTGTCCAAATGTTGATTTTTAGGATTGCTTTATATCGCGTTGTCATTGTGGTTCAAACTGTTTCCAGCAGAACTTGTCATAGCAGTATGGTCTTGTTTAAGATATTGGTAGTTGCGATATAATACAACAGTCTTGTTTAAGAGATTGGTGCTGTTTAATCAAAGAGTGAACAATAAGACATCACAGTTGCTTTAAAGAGCATGTACTGATACCGTTGTTATGGGCGTGCTATGTCCTAATTCAGATTGAACTTGTGATCCCCTCTAGCTCCTGTAGGGAGTGTGTGGCACGTTATAGCGGTCCATGCTTTGTAGCTGATGGATTGGGGAGGGGCAGGGAAGTGTTCTTTTGTCCCTGAGTAAGTTTTCCTGCTAAGTTTAGCTGGTGGCCCTTCTGAGCCTCTTGCCTTTGTCCAGGATAAGGAAGATAATAATTAGAGTCATTAATACACTCAACAGGCAAACATCCTGTATAATAACAGCTACAGGGCTTTTTCTGGTTGGTTAAGAATCTGTTCCATGGAATCAGCTGATGGAAATTAGAAACATATTTTGCTTTCTAACAACAGGGACTTTAATTTAATTAGATTGCCCTTAATACCATATAAGGCTGAGCCCTCTCTTGAACTTTGTTGTTCGAATATATGAGCAAAAGCCTCAGTTAGTTTGATAACTAGTCCTGCTTTCTCTCAGTAGAAACTTTTTTGTTCCATAGCTTTTTCAGAGATACGAATTCAGCAGTATCTTTAAAAATGCTGCTTCTTATTTTTTAGTTGTTATTTTATGGAGCCTTTCTGGTTTCTGTTAATACGGTATTGTTTTACATTATTATTATTATTATTACAGTTGTAAGACATTGGAAAGGGTTCTTTTCATTCTGTTCGGTGAGTTATAACCACCTGCATATCAGTGCAGTCTATAACCCTCTGAATCCCCCACGTCATTTCTGGTTTCAAAATCTGAGCATGGTTGGTTAGCATTTGGAAGGGGGGCTCTCAGGGGGTACCAGTGATGTCCAAGTATAACAAGGAAAGGAACTGAACTTCAAGAAATATGGCTGCTGGTTGGAGTTGACAGTACTGGTCTAACTAGACCAAGCGTCTCACTAAGTGTAAAGCAGCTTTCTCTGTTCCTGTGGTTTTTAAAAATTGCTTGTAATCAGTAAGGTGCCTTGTAAAAGTTAACTTGTCGGTAGACTTCAGTAACTTGGGTATTCCATCTAGAAACTTTTAGGAGCCGCGGCGTTGGACTCTTAGCTTCTACTCAGTGAATGAAACTAAAATGGATATGTGTCACTGACAAGAATAATAGTTGATGTGTGTCTGCTTTCAATGGGCAGTCCTTTAATTGGGCTCAATAACGTTATGCTGACTAGCCTTATTCTCATTTCAGTGCTGATGCTCGTTTTCAACGCTTGAGCAGAAAATGTAGAACTCCCCCAGAGGAAAAAAATGATGTCAAGGAGGAATGGGGGATGAAGTTGAGTAATTGACCCAGTGGGTAGCTGTCCATCCCCCTGGTATGACATTTGAAGGATCCTGAACTGTCCCTTGCCCTTTGCATACCAAATAGTGCAGCATTTTAGCCATGGTTTAAACTTGCCTGCAGTTTGGAACAGACATAGGGCAGCAAAACAGCACTATATGGATCAGGATGCGCTGGAGCAGAAGAAATGGTCGCCTGTGGATAGAGAATGCGTTGCATGTTTCTTTGCGGGATGGTGGTGATTAATTAGATCAGAGCTTCATTGGAAAGATTACCCTTTGGTTTGATAGAATATGGTAATGCCTATCTCTCCCCCCCATTTCATCCTTTATGTAGAATCAGAATAGCTTCTTGCCCCACTGAGAGCAACTGCAGGAAAAAATGTAGCTGTGTTTAGTGGGTTTCAGCAAACACAACAAGGAGTCTTGTGGCGTCGTAAGACTAGCAAGTCTTATTCAGCGTAAGCATTTGTGTGCTGTAGCTCTCAAGAAGTGCTTCTTGCATGAAGCACTTCTATGCTGCATGTTCCTAATTTAAGGAGACGATAGCCACCAATACTGTTTAATTACAGCCAGTTCTATAGGCCTAGTTTACAATCTGTGTCGCCCTCCCTTTGATAAGTGAGAAAATATTTGACTTCTGTGTTTCTGACATCTCATGCTGTCATCAATTCAACAGCAATCTTGGGATCATTTTCTATTATTTGAAAGCAACGAAAATACTGCCTCCTTGTTTGGATAACAGCCTTCAGGCTTCAGTCACATTTTAATTTTTTTTTTGCATGGGATGCTGCTCACAGCTGGTGCGCTAACGGTATAAAAATAGGAATGCAGTAAGCAGTTTTGCACTGGGTTTGACCATTGGTCCACCAAGCCAAGTGTTGCTAACTCTTGACTGGCTGCTCTGGATTTTTTCTCAGCCCTATCTGGCCATTCCTTGTATTCCCTGCTTCTAGTACCAACCCTGCTAAGATGAACCTGCTAGCTTTGGTGTGTTCAGGGGGGCATAGTAGCTTGTTTAACTGTAAGATGAAGGCCACTTAAAATGAAAGCCACTTAATCTTCCACATGTATTGTTATTTTTAAAACAAAAGCGACTCACTGATGCTTTCTTTTTTTTTGATATGATAATGAGAGGTAGTACTCTCACCGTATAAGTACAATCTTCTGGTATAATATGATCCATATAATGCAGTGATTCATGAAATCAGGCCTCTGATGTTCTTGGCCATAAAATCCCAGAAGCCCAATAAGTGATGAGGACCTCTGGGAATTGAGGTCTAAGAAGATCTGTGGCCCAGGTTTGGGAACCTCTGAGATAAATATATGTGCTAAACCTGCACATCAAAAATCTTTAGATCTCTTTTTATTCTCGTTTCTTAGCCTTAGTTCTGGTTTCCCCTTCCCCTCCGCTTTCTTTGATCCGTATAGGGCTGTGTCTGGTTCATAAAAACAGATGCACTGGTTCTGTGTGATAATTAAAATATTCAGTTAGCACATCTTTCTCTAGGTTTCTGTTGCAGGTAGAACTGTCAACGTGACATTATTATAAAGTATTTATGTGCTAACATGCATTGACTCATATTAAGTGTTCTAAGCAGCTAGCAATGAAATACACCCTTATGAGATACCATTTAAATTAATATAAAATCAAATACTGACAACCCAGCAATGAAATGTTATAAGAGTACATTGACGTATATTGTCATCTTTATCTTGCAAATTGTTATATTTGTTGTTGTGGCTGATGTTTAACAGATTATTTCACCATAGCCAGAGACTGGAGGAATTTTGATATTGACCGCTTACTTCCTTACTGTTTCATCCATACGTAGTACTATTGTGCCTGTCTATAAAACACCTGGAGACACAGGAAGTTTTAAAAGTCTTCACTGATGCTGAAAATAACTGCGATCTGTTGATAGGATAGATTTAGTAAAAGGTAGCTCAAAATACATTTTGCAAAGGCATCGCTGTGAGTGAAATTCATAAAGTGAATGACTGGAATGCCTTTGATATGTGGGTATCTTTCTGTTTACTTGGTATAGTCCAGATTGTTTAATAAACTGTCATGAGAATGGGATAAAACTGCCTTGCATTGTTATGCCTTAGCTATAATTAAGAGATTCAGGATTTGCCAGTTTAAGGACAAACAGTAAAATGCACATGGAAGTTTTCAAAACCAGGAATGAGATGCATTTTCATTCTACCTACTTTTGTGAACATAACTGAACCCACTAACTTAAAATAATGTAATTGTGACAAAAGTGAAAATGTGTAAAGGATTTCAGAAGTGTAATTGGGGGGAAAAAGTAACAAGGAATAAGTACTTTTGGTAGTTTTGAGGATTTAATCTCAGTTCTTGGTAATTTCTTTCTAAAAAGCCAGCCTGAACATTTTAATGGAGGACAAGAATATTAGTGCCATGCAGCACTTAGGCAGGTGTGTATCTGTGAACCAGAAACACTGAATCTTGCAGAATGAGTAATAGTAGGCTGCAGTAATCTGCTTACTCATGCGTTGCTATTGGCTCATTTCCAACAAATCATAGTTAAGATGGACAACTGTTTGTTGTTTTGTCTAAGTCCAGCAACTGTGATAAAGCTAAACCAGAAGTAAAAGCTCCCAACTTCTGGTTCATGACTATGTTTTTGTTGGGGAGCAGAGGAGGATCTTACGAGTCCAAGGCTTGTTGCAACTTGTTCCTGAATCCTGTTACGACAAACCATTGGTTACTGTGATGTCTAAGCTGCTGCACTTTGGATGCTGTGAAGGAAACAAACCATTATTCAAATTGTTGCACAGAGGATGAAAATTCATTTAAAAGCGAAGAAAGAAATGTCAGTTTCTCACTACTTCTGCTGTGAATTGGGTTGTCTCTCCCCCATACAATCTACCTGCTGGAGCTGCTGGGAAGATATGAGAGAATAAGCTCCATTCCACCTACTTAGAACAAGAATTAGATTTTTGGGGGATGATAATGAAAACAAAACTGGAATCCAGTAAGACTCGAGAGGTGGGATGTTCAACAAAACATTCTGTGTCTTCATCCTCTAAAAGAAGTGCTCCTGTTTAAGGTGTCAGCCAGCCAGCCACGACTTTTTCTTGTTCAGTGACTGTGATTCTTTGTTGATAGCAAACTCTTCACCAGCTCTGAGTGCATCAGTTTCTATTTGATAGTTAATTGCCGGGCTTTGATCCCATGAGCCAGAAATGCATAGTTTGGTCTAATAAGGAATATGTACAAAAAACCTGATCTATGTCATATCTGATCCTTAAAAAATCAGAATGCCAGTGTGCCTTCATAATGTGTTGGCTTTCCGCTGGTTAGGTCTGCCCCTCTTCTGTTGTCTGTTAGTCTTTGTCTTTACCGACTCAGCTGAATGTGTTCATGGCTAGATAAATGTGCTTCTAGCCACTTGCCAGGAACACAACTGATGATTCACCGCTCATGAAGCTTGCTGGAATTGGATTTTATCTCTGAGGGTTCTTCTGTAGTGAAATTGATTGACATCAAACTGGGAAAAAAATCCTTCACCTGGTTAAATATACTTAACTCCCATTGAAATGAATGATTTAATTGCTGAACTGTTCATTTCTCTGTATTAAATAGTACTTAAAATATGTTGAAACACTCTGGGTCACTGATACCCAGTTTCAGTGTATATTAAAAGTAGTTGTCATCTCTTTGTTGATTGAAAGATTTTAATATTCCGAACAGTGCATTTTAGTAATCGGAAAGAATGTTTCTTTTGTAAGAACAGCTGAATTGTGAAACTTTAAACTCTTCAAAAATAGCTAGCTGTACAAAATTTCATGTCGAGGTTGTTTTGTAGACAGCAGCTACCATTAGTCATTGTATCTATATGGGTTCAGATGTTCGAAAACAGCCTAGCTGTATCCTTTTCTAACCACTTTCAGGTCACCATTATGGTCTCGTGGCAAATGTGTCTGTGAGGATTTGTAAATTCACATGTACTCTTTTCCCCATTGGTTTGTACTTCTGTTTGGACAAAGCAGACAGAAATATTTGGATTTTTGTTTAGCAGAATGCTGTAGATGTAGGACAGAATGATTTTATGTTTTACCAGAAAGAGCTGCTAATCTTTTGTTCTCTAGTGGTCTTAAACACAAGAGAGTGGCTTGTTTGTGGCCCTGGGCATCTATGGCTAAGTTTGCAGCCTTTATGTTAATTTCAGTAAACGTGTGTTTTGGTTTTGCCTGAAACAAGAGATCTCTTGTTTGAGCTCATTTCTCTTTTGTTTTCAGATAATATCCCAGAGGAGCTGAAAGACCCATTTTATATAGACCAGTATGAGCAGGAACATATTAAACCACCTGTCATCAAGCTGTTACTGTCCAGCGAACTCTACTGCCGTGTCTGCAGCCTCATTCTGAAAGGGGATCAGGTGGCCGCTCTGCAGGGACACCAGTCGGTCATCCAGGCTCTGTCTCGGAAAGGGATTTATGTCATGGAGAGCGATGATACACCTGTGTCTGAATCAGATCTCAGCTGTGCACCCATCAAAATGGTTAGCTTCAGAAAAGCAAGAATTTGGCTTTTTCTTTTACCGCAGATCTGTTGTGTCGCGTCCTCCTGTTTTTCTCTTCGACCCCTCCGCTCCCTGAACTGTAGCTTGTTGGAATCGGCCAGTGTTGCTAAAAGGTGGTTCAATCAAATGTGTCCTTTGTTCCTTAGAGTCCCCACATGGCAATGATTGATGCTCTCATGATGGCCTACACGGTGGAAATGATCAGCATTGAAAAGGTGGTTGCCAGCGTCAAATGTTTCTCCACATTTAGTGCCTCAAAGGAATTGCCCTACGATCTGGAGGATGCAATGATATTTTGGATTAATAAGGTAAAATAGTGGTGTAAAATATTGCCTTAATCTTTTGAGATGAGTTGATTTCAATTGTAATTGTAATGGAAAGCTTCCCTGTAGGAAAGGGAATTCAGTAGTCATTGCACTAGTTAAAATGTGTTAATTCTTTTCCCTAATGATGAATACTGGTGTGTTTAACAGAAGAGACAGCTTAGCCATCCCTAGCTGGTGTAAAAAGTAGTTTTTCGGCTTAATTGGGATACTGTTATTTTTGGAAATGAGCACAAGTAACCAGGGATGTCAGCCTTAGCTTTAAGAACAGGTTGGAGATTTTAATTAACACACATCTGTAGCTTTTGTGGAAAGGATTTTTCATGAAAATTTTGATTTCTTAAGTTAATCAGAAAGCTATGGTACAGTAGATATCATGTGTGCAAATTCTAAACAATTCAGTTGATAATTCCCATATACTATATCACAGTAATAATAGCCTTTGAATCTTTCATAACAAAGCATGTTGGTGATTTGATACCTGGTTAGGTTTATAAATGTGGGGTAGAAAAGAAACTCCATTCTATCCTCTGCTAAAATACTGTATCATCATGACACAGATCTTTCTTAGCTTTTGTGATGTATTAGACTTAAGAACTTGGGATATAATGACATCAAAATTAAGATTCCATTGATTTCAACAGGAGAGATCTGAGGATTAGCAAATTTCATTATGAATTATGCAGAGCTATACAATTTTATCCATTTTGTCCCTTGTGTATGGAGTGTGCAAAAATCAAGATATTGTTTACGAGGTTTGGGAGTTCAAAGGAAATGTCTTGACATTTGGTTTGCAAAGCAATAATAAGGGGACTCAACAATGCTAGATTTATTAAATATAGAGATCTTTAAATATTTTTAAAATCATTTTTAATCATGGCAATTATTTAATATCTTTTAAAAGATAGTTTCTATGGTATTTTAAAACTCTTGGTCATTGTGTAGTTTTAATTGTTGTGATCAGCTGTGAGAAAGGTGGCCTATAAATAATATAAACAAACAAATATTGAGTAAACTGGAAGGTGAATAAGAATCATGGCGCACCTGTGATCCCTTCAGAGAACAGCTAGCTGGAAGATGGGGTGGAGGGGAAGAGGAGTCTAGAGGGGGGGGAAAGCAGTGAGTCACCGCAGGAGGACATAAAAAACAGTAATGCAGGGGAACCATATCAAAGAGAGAAGTGTGTACAGTCCCATTTTTTTTTTGATGACTTTGTATCTATCCCTCTGTGTGTGACATTCTTGATGCGACGCCCTGTGGTTTGAGTTGAGAAGTTGAGAAGGACAACCGGGTGGGGGGGGAAAAGACAAATCATATAGAATATAAGCAGCACAGAGAATTTTAAAGAAGGGAATATGACGGTTCTTTACCTTCTCCCCTGGTTTTAGGTGAACCTGAAAATGAGGGAGGTAACAGAAAAAGAAATAAAACTGAAACAGCAATTACTTGAAAGCCCAGGCCACCAAAAGGTAAAAAACAAAACAAAACCCTACATACAGTGAACTGTTGGGGTGGAACACAGATATTACCTAAAAGAAAATCTCATGGTATTTTAACCAAGCTTTTTTTCTAGGAAGGGCGTGTAAGAGGGCAGGAGTCACAAGGCCGCCTCACAGTCTCTTTGCGTATGAATCCGTGCCGTGGTGCTTCTGATTTCTTTTCCTTCTCCTTCATTCTTCCCAGCTCCGCAAGGCGATGTTAGTGCACAGAGTTCCAGAGCCCTGGAGAGCTCACCTGTTCTCTTCAGTGATGGGGGAAGCGCCGTGCAGTATATGCACAGTTGTCAATTTGGGTTTCTGGGGTGAATAGAGAAGTTAGAGCTTTTGGAGGTGGCTTTCTTGTTTAGGGTTAGGGCTATTCTCTGTAGTCCAGACTACGCTAATGTGTTAAAATGTCAGTGCTGTGTGTCGCTTCATCTTTGGGAGGGAGGAGGGAATGTGTTGGAACAATGTATGGGCTTCACTGTTGACTATGAAGATCTTTCGGGGGCCATGTTTTTCGTGCACGTTTGAGAAAACCTAAGGATTCTCTAGCTACTAATAAAGCATGTTATTAAACATTCAGAGAGATTAGCAGTTGGATATGTGCCTCTCTCCCCCACTTTCCCCCTGTAACTATTCCAATGTACTAATACTGTAAAGAAATGCATCACTTTCATAACTGGAGAATGATAAGATTTTTTTTCCTGAAATAGAAATGACTTCAAAGGTAGCCTAACTTGGAAGCATTTTAGTCAAAAGATACTGAACATAGAAGCACAAATGTGGATCTGTATCACCTGCCTGGCTGCAGTAGGTTTAATTGGTGCTCGCCTTATTAAATTCCTTAATTTTATGACGAGGACCTTTGCATATTTCTTATATCCAAACGGTTCCACAATATGAAAGTGTGTGTAGATTCGGTGCCTCTTAGTTATTACCTATAACATGCTCTGCTGATGTTCCTCTCCTGTTCCCACATGCCCCCTTCCTTGCTTCCTGAGCAGTCTCCTTCCAAATGGTATTGGAAATTAGTACCTGTAAGTCAATTGATTTTACATGACAGTCGTCATCCACAAAACCATGGCTTTTAACAATTCTTTTGTTGGTGTCTGCTTCCATTTACAACGCTGCTTTCACAACTTGCGACAATCTTTTTGCCCAAAGACGATGTAGTTTCCATCATGTGGTTCCTCATACTGTACATACAGCATACTCATCACTTTACGGCATTTCAGCATTATTGGTACTCTAAATCTGGGGAAGGACAAACAAGGAAACCAGGGTCAAATGTTGAGAACTTTGTTGTACACATCATTGTTCAGAAAAATTCTGTTTTATGCAGTATTAAGGTGAGGCTGGTCAGTTTAAAGAGATGGTGCTGCTGTCTCTTTGGAAATAGATTTTGAGATGGTTGGTTTAGGAGATAAACCCAGTGGATTTTAGACTCTGCATTTAGGTCCTGGTGTGGTGATGTTGGAGACTGTGCCTGCAATGAAAGATTTCTCTCTAGTGTGTTCATAACCTCACAGCTACTCCCAGGGTTGCATCTTTGGTAGGAGTATTTTATTCCAAAGATATAAATTTGTAAGCACTTTGACTCAAGAAGAACCTGGAGTCAAAAGGAAGCTGGGAGTGACTGGCCCGTCCTTGTTTCATAGAAAAGCCCTTTAAGGGCCAGAATAAGGGGACCAAGCTGAATCTCTTAGGGGCAGTTTCCACTTTTGTGGGCAAAAAGTTTTAATGTTTTTGGTTGGTGGGGTGATGGTCCAGTAGATCACAAAAATGACCTTTAGAGACTTGGGAATTGCCAGCTCCTGCTTTAATCCTTTCTAATACTTAACAGTTGAAATACTGTTCACTGGTTCTTGAATCCTACCAATACTGCTACAGCGCTGAAGGCATATGCCTGCTTATAAATAATACTGACCTTTGGGAGTCTCTTCCGCACACTGACTTGTACAGGATTATTGTCAAATACCCTATCTTATACATGTCACATGGGATTTTTTTTTCTCTGTCAGATCAGCTTAACATTATTTTAGCATATTCCTGTAATATTCACTGCGGCAGAGCATCAAATGAAAAATTAGCAAACACCGTTCTCAGCATTAGATTGTCTATAGCAGGAAGTCTTCAAACCAGAGCAAAATATTCCGTCTTGTGCCAATTGCTAAAATTTTGTTGGATTAGGTTCCAGAATCAAGTCAGTGTTAGGTATTAAATCAAAACCTTGGTATTCAAGGACCTTTTTAATCACTTGAGAAGTCTTCATTCTCGTTTTCTGCTTCATCTTAAGCAGCGGGGGAAACCGTTAAGATGGGAGTACACTTTAAGCTAACCAGATCACCTTACTATGTATAATCATCCACTTGATTTGAATATTCATATTCAGGATTTAACAGATATTTACATGTTTGAATTTGTTAACATGATTCTGATCGTCATCTTGTATCTTGCTATTTTTGTTGTTGTTGCAAAAGCCTGATCTGATGCATGCGCTATCACACTGCATGCTGGAACCAGTGGAATATGCTCGTGTGGTACAGTATGACTTACATTACATTACGTATTTATGGAGAGCTTCAGGCTGAAGGGTAAACAACTGACATTCCATATATTTTTTTAAAAAAAACCTGTTCAGCTTTCTTATGATGTCCCTGCCCATTTAGTAGGGCAGGTTTCTCTGGGTATGTTGTGTCATTCCAAAACTTGGCAGTGGTCCATGTTCCTCTTGCATGGGTGATTTTAAAACAGCCCATACAGCATAACTTGAAACTCACTTTTTTTCTCCTGTGTTTGCACTTTTTCTTTGGAATATGAAACCCATCTTTGTTTGCAGAAAGGATTTCTCAGCCTGCGCTCTCCTCAAATACATATATATGCATATATGCTTCATACATAGATGTGAACTTATGTAGATAGCTAGCAATCTTGTGTTCTTTACATTTTGGGTAAGAATAGTTTATTGTTATTAGTCTAGCCTAAATCAACCGCTGGTAAGTATTAGTCATTAGTGATTATCTGCAGAATGTGGTCTGAATAGAGTCTCTAAAACATGCCAGGATTGTGTTTTTTTGCTGTTTGACTTTTCCTGTTGGATTGGTCAATTTGTCAGTTTCATCAGTTTTATTCTATCTTATGCTTTAAGAGGCTTTGTTAATATATTGAAATAACCTGCTGGAAAGGAGTAGAACTTGCCAAGGCACAGTGTTTGCTTTGGAAAACGTCAGTTACTTAGAGGAGTGCGCTTTACTTGTCACCAAGTTGATAATATGGGTCATAGCAGCACCAAAGAGCAGATACTTGGTCATCGTACCTCATTACATAAATGTATGTTCATATGGTGTGTTGGTAGAGGAAGGGATACACTCAGTCAAAGCTGTATTTTTTTTTAAAAGTTCTAATTGGTTTGCAGGTTGCCAGTTGGATTTATTTGTAATCCAAATTATAAACGGATTATTTTTGTATTTACTGCGCTGTTTTTCTAAGTAGAGGCTCCTGCATTGTCTTAAAACATAGTTTGTCATGTGAAATCGAGTCTGGTTACAAAAAGCAGTTCTGCTACAGTGACAAAAAACACACACACTGTCTTCATTTGCCAGGTACGATACCGCCGCGATCACCTTTCGAGTCGGCAGCTGCCATTTTTCCCCTTGCTTGAAGATCTGATGAAGGACTGCAGTGACGGAGCTGCCTTACTGGCCGTGATCCATTACTATTGCCCTGAACAAATGAAGCTAGATGGTACGTTGATCCGCTTTTTTTGAAAAAAGATTGTGAACAGAGTCTCCATAGAAAAGGCTCTGAGTGTACCCAGCTAGATTTACAAATAGCCTCTGAATCGGGGATTCTTTACAGTCCCATCATGCTCAGTCCTGATAATTAGTGGGAAATACCGCAGGGCACACTAAAAAAAAAGTCTGTCTGATTAGAATTAAGGAGACTAGAGTGTTTTGTATGACTTGGATAAAATCTCTGGATCAGACTCTTCTTTCAGTCTGACAGTTTCCTGTTTATGGTGTCATATTCTGTCCCAAGGGTGGAAATATTGCCACTTGGATCAACAAGGCAGTGGATTCCCAGTGAACCACCTTCAGGAAGCTGTCATATACTGTATGTGCTGGGATTGTTTAACCACTGCAGTTCCACACTAGAGATGGGGATATTTGTATTTGTAAACCAATATGAATATCCCCATCACAACTGCACCTAATGTGGGTCCGGCCCATGAATATCCCCATCACAACTGCACCTAATGCGGGTCCGGCCCATCCACTCACACATCCCGGTGCCGCAGAGGTCCACTCACATGTCCCAGTGCCACAAAGGTCTTGCTCTTCCTGCCAATTGCGGCATCTGCTTGCTCAGCTGGCCGTTCCAGGCAGGTGGTGGGAGGGTGAGTCTCCCCACATGGCTACTGAGTGGCCAGTTGAACAGGGAGATGGCAGAGCTACTGCTGCAATTGGCTGGAAGAGCGGGACCTAATGCACACCTTAGTATTTCGGTCCTTCAATCAGGCTGTATAGAAAGTTCACTATGATTCATGTTCTCCTGAACCCTCATGTCCATGATACACTTTGGTTGGCAATGACTCATTTTTATTTTTTTGAGAATCACACCTTAGTATTTCGGTCCTTCAATCAGACTGTATAGAAATGTTCACTGTGATTCATGTTCTCCTGAACCCTCATGCCTGTGATACACTTTGGTTGGCAATGACTCCTTTTTATTTTTTTGAGAACACCCCTGCATTTTGTGCAGATACAGGGTAGTCCTAGTGTTGCTCTAGAATCTCATTCCCAACCTTGGGTCCTCAGATGTTCTTGGACCACAACTCCCAGAAATCCTGACCAGCACAACTGGTGCTGAAGGCTTCTGGGAGTTTTAGTCCAAGAACACCTGGGGACTCCAGGTTGTGAAGCACTGCTGTAGAACTTTATTGCAGAATGTGTTGGAAAAGGGATACTTGACCTTATCTTGCCCTTGACGTTTTCCTCCCCTATATGATTCATTGTGGACTTACGGTTGATCCTTTGCCCTGCTTGGTGGAACTGATCTTGCTTCTTTCCCCTCTTGTTAGAGATTTGCCTGAAAGAGGTAACATCCATCGCTGATAGTATCTATAACATCCAGCTGCTTCGGGAATTCTCGAATGAATATCTGAACAAGTGTTTTTACCTCACCTTGGAGGACATGTTGTACGCACCTTTAGTACTAAAGGTAAAGGTTGCAGACAGATGACCCAATTCTAAATACACGCAGACAGATTATTAATGCTCACATTTCTTTCTTTTTCTCCCCCCCCCACCAGCCCAATGTAATGGTCTTTATTGCGGAATTATTTTGGTGGTTTGAGATTGTCAAGCCGGACTTTGTGCAGCCGAGGGATCTCCAAGAAGTGAAAGACGGTGAGATATTTGAGTAGTTAAAGCATCAGCATCTAGAAAGAGTTGTAGCAAAGCACTGGTTTTAACCGAGGTTGTGTGATATTTCTAATGTATTTCTAGGCATGAGCCTTAAAATGCAGTTCTTGCTTTCTTGTGGAGGAACAAAAAGTTGGTAGAATAAGTGGCAGAAAATTGGGATGGACCATCCCTTCAATGAATGAATGAATAGGGGATGCAACCCATCTGGCGAGTTTGCTTTTGCAGCTGCCACTGCAGATTACTTGAGAACACTTCATTCTTAAACCTTTAGACTGTTTTATCTGGTGGACTAGCTCTTTGTATTCTCTTTATGTGCAGCCCATGAAGAAGCAAAATCTGCTTCTTATCATTCCCCAATGAATGTGGGCTGTACTTCCATGGTCCTTCTTTCTGTCAGTATCACCTTTTCGTCCCCCTCCCCAGCGAGCGACCTCTGTTCAAATTTTATTTTTGTGCTTAAAGAATATTTTAAACAGTCAATTAGCTTTAAAACAGTTCAGCAGGCTTGTTACGAGTCTTTAGACTCCCCCCCCCCAATAAGGCATCCTGGCATTTCCTGTTAAAGCGTGTGGCTTATTGGGATGTTACACCTGCTCTCTCTCAGCCTTTGGGGTTTTCTTGCGGCAGTCCAGCCTTAAATAAAACCACTTCCTTTTGAGAACTCCAGTTTTGTTTTGAGGTGGCAAGGTTTTGACTCAACCCTAACGCTGTAAATGAATATTTAGCGAAAACGATGTTGCAGCAGAAGAGCAGCCGCCCCCCCGTTCCGATTTCCAATGCAACCAAACGGAGCTTCATGGCCAGCCCAACGGCTTCGGCTTCCGCCGACGTGCAGCCCCCAGCCCAGCTTCCTTTGGAGACTTGCAACAGGTATGCCCTTGCCTCTTGGCAAATTTCGGTGTCTCCGTCTTTGTGCTCAGTTCCTTTTGCGCGCTTTGGTTTGAGAGCTACAACTCGCGGGGCTGTGCAGCTGTGTGAAAAATGGCCATTTGGAGGCTGTGTTGGCAGGAGCAGTGGGTGACGTGGGCAGCCTCACATTCCTCTTGCTCTCAGCTGGTTACACCAATGCCTTAACTGGCCTGTTAACCTTCCTCCCTCTGTTCAAATGGGCCCATCAAAGCACCTTCAAATTTTCTGTCTCCTGGCTTTCTCTGCAGTTGTACTGTTGGGCACCCTCCATTCCTTTTCAATATCATGGATCCAAGACCCTGTTGTACAGCTGCTAGCTTTTCCTTGCCCCTCCTTAGATTTCCTCCGTGCCTCTGTGCCTATTATCAAGCTTTCTGGAGCAGTGTTTGAAGGTGACCCGTGTAGCCTTTTCGGCAGCCAGCTTGCTTGTGGTGGAAAATGGATCTGTGTTCTGATTGGATTGTCGGAGCTCAACTGGTGGTGTGCTACTTATATACCCAAATCTTTTTTCCATGGCTAAATGGAGCGTGACTCTTTCCTAGTCTTCAGTTGAGAGGCTGCAGGGGTAGGGGAGCATCTTTCCCTTCTCTGGTACCATGTGGTGTTGCCTTCTTTCCCCCTCTGTTCCACATCATGTAATGTGGAAGGGGAAACACACTCTGTTTGTGCCTCCAGCGCAGCTGAGGAAACCTGACATGGCTGTTATAAATGCTTGACCTAGCAGGGGTCCTTCGGCTTGAGTTACAGGTAAATTCTTAAATATTGCTCAGTTGGCATAAGATAAAAGCAAACAATCTACCCAAGGCCAAGAAAGCAGAATCTATGTAAGAAAGTACAAACCAGAGGACACTAAGCCACTGGTGTTTATAGTAAGCTTTGGTAAGAATTCTGTAGACTAAATGCGCACTTCAGATGGAGAAACTGAGCTGAAAAATCTGAATTTGCCCGATCTCTCTGGTTTTCCAGTATGAACAATGCTTTTTCTAACTAGTCTTCATCTGGAAAAGCAGTTTGTATAGTTTGTCACTTCTGAACCAGAGGCTGTTTTATCCTTTGAATTTATATGCCGGTGCTAATCATTTTAGAGAGATCCCCTGGTGTGGCATTTGTGCAGTGGTTTCCAGCCTTGGGTGCCTATACCTGTAAGTTCTTGGACTAAAACCTCCAGAGCTATGCTGGCCAGGGCAGTGTAGTCCAAGAACATCTGATGTAGTGGATAGAATGACAGACTACAACTCAGGAGGCCTGGATTCGAATCCATAGGAGCTCATGGGTGTGTGTGTGTGTTGAACTAATTAAGCCTTAAATATCTCACTTTCTTTGAAAGACTTCTTAGGGTCACTGTAAGGCAGTTGCGACTTGGTGGCACATCACAGCTCATCGTTTTAGACCTTTATTTTCACCTTGGTTTCATTGGGCATTTCAACCATCCCCTTAAAGTGAGGCTTTATGTATTGAACTTCCAAAGCTACTTTAATGTGTCAGTAATATACATTTTTTTAGTCAGGCTGCAGTAATTAATTTCCAAGAAGAACTCTTGAGACTTCTGCTATTATTCACTCCTCTCCCTTACTTAATCCTCTTTTTTATTAAAAAGAAACACACTGTTCCATTTCAGAACTATATTCATTAACTTAAACATGACCACTTAATTTCAGACAGCTGCTACAGCTGCATTTTTATGGTTCCAGGACCCACCTTGCTCGCTTTATTTTTAATCACAGTGTTTTGGCATTTCATTAAAAAAGGATGGGAGTAGCATCATGGTGTGTGTCTTTCCTATTACAGCATTGTTTCCAACAGCTTGTGTATATGTGGGTGGGAAAAAAATTAGCTCTCATTGATTGGGTGGTCTTATGTGTCTGTTTTGAAACAGTGGGAAGGGAAGTCCTGCCTTCAGCCCAGCCCATCCTTTGCTGCCTTTGAGACAGAAGCAACAGAAGTCACTGCAAGGGGAGGACGGCTCAGGTAGACAACAGGTTACCTTCGTTATGGGCTTGCAGAATGCTAACGACTGTGAGATGTTAATCGAAACACTTTTTAAAAAGTTGAATTCCCTTGAAAACAGCAAGACAAAGCATTGATTAATGAAAGATTGGGGGAGGGGGAGGAAGAGAATTCTTCTCAGCTTGGGAAGCAAGAAGTTGCTACCTACACTTCCCCTTCAGGTGTGAATCTCTGGAGTTGTGTCTGGGGCAAGCAAGGGGTAGCATAACTTTTACAGGACAAAGAAAGGGGATGAGCTAATAGACGCTTTTTCTTTTGGAAGCATAATGAGAACTTTAAATAAAGTTTTAATAAACATGCAAGCAAAACATGTCTTGTGTTCATCCTTATAGATCTTCAGTGGCTAAAGCAAAGCGTTTTGCTTATATACCGTCCCGTAGCTGCTTAAAGCCCACTCTGAGTGGCTTACAGTTTAAATATGCAGGCTGCACATACATCACCTTGTGCAAGCTCAGAAGGACTGAAGGCTGAGTCAACCTTGAGCTGGCTATCTCAGCCTGTTGGGATCAATCTCAGACTCTGAGCAGAGTCTGGACTGCAGTACTGCAGGTTAAGCACTGTGACAACCTGGCTCACAGTGTTAACAGTCTTTAGGAAAGCCTGGATGTTCTTCCTCTTGTGTGACGAATTATGCAATTAGCCAAATTGGCTTTCTTAATTTGTAAAGGCTTTTAACTCAGGTTTGAACCCTGAATCCTCACTGCCCTGTCCTAAGTCTCCCACCAAGTTAGTCCAAGCCCCAATTCTAAAGAATCCTGCTGACATGGTTTTTCCCCAACTTACTCTTTTGAGGCTGCAATCTTAAGTACATGTCTTCTACATCGGTGTACATGGTTTCATTCGCCAGCAAGCCAAACATGATGGAAAAGCTCCATTGGGCACTTACTGGATGACTAACTTGACTTATGCCAGTCACTGCAGCAGCTCCTAGATTACCCTCACATTGTGTAGTCTCATTTCAGATGCATCTGAAAACAGCAAGGAAAAGAACTTGATCTAAACCAGAGGGTTCCTTCTTTAAAAAAAATTGTGCAACATCATTTTTTCCCCCTAGGCCAGAGGAATCGTTCTAATTCATTGACCAGAGTAGATGGACCGCCACGGGATTCGGTTCTTGCCTGGCCAGAGAAGAAACAAAGGTAAATGGGCTAGATTATATTGTATGGAAGGTAAAATTGAAATCTCTTTTACATGCCTTTTGGATGGAGATGCTGCAGGGCCCTTGTTTGTTCAAGGCGAAAGTGAAACATTTTGAAACCAGTAGTTTTTGATACTTTTTGCCTGGCTACCATTCATTTTAAGTCAGTATGAGGCTAACACTGGGTTTCTGAAAATAGGCCAGGTTATGGATGATGGGGTCAGGCTTTAAGTCCAGTCTGTGCCCGAGTTCCTAAGAAAAAAACGTTATGACTGGATTTTAGTATTTAAAGTCTGATTTCCAAAAAATGGCACTCATTGTCTCTTGATAGCTGCTGGCTGGTCCTTAGATGTAAGTATCTGATCCAGCCTTTGTTGAGTCACAGAGTCACAGAGTCTTTGATTAGATGTAAGTATCTGATCCAGCCTTTGTTTTCCCAGTTGTTGAGTCACATAGTCTTTGACGTTCTCCAAATCTTAAAATATGTACATTAGACGTGGGATATTCATATTTGTATCTCTGGGGATACAATTAAAATATGTACATTAGACGTGGGATATTTATATTTGTATCTCTGGGGATACAGATAGCAGCATCACAGGTGCCATGGAGGCTCATTCCCTCCCTCCAGAACTGGCTGGTCCACTCATTGGTATCGGACAATGCTGTGGTCGTTTGTTGTCATTGTTGCCCTCCCTCCAGAACTGGCCGGTCCACTCATTGGTCACGGACAGTGCTGTGGTCCTTTGTTGTCATGGTTACGCCGATCTGGGAATGAGCCCGGCTGGCGCTTCCCTGCCTCCCTGAGCAGCCGGCCACTCATCAGCTGATCAAGGAGACTCCCTACCCTGACTCCCTGCTGGAGTGGTTGGCTGCGTGGGAAGGCAGGGAAGTGCTGGCCAGGTTCCTTCCTTGATGAGCATGACGACAGCCACAAAAGACCCCAGCATTGCACAGCGACTGGCAAGTGGACTGGCCCGTTCTGGGGTGGGGGAGGAATGGGCTTTCATGGCACCTATTCATTCCCCAGAAATATGTATATGGCCCGTATATAATGTACATCATTATAATATGCAAAAGGAATAAACTGCGACCTGCAGAGGCTTATCCTTGAATTTGGGTTTCATGTGATATACAGTACTACTGCAGCTAACTAGATCATTTTTGCTTAAAAGCAGCTAAAGGGACCAAAAAAAGAGAGAGACCGTTTTCTCTAATGACCCATTGCTTTTTTTTCGCAGGCCTCTTTCCCAACCAACCCCCTTCGCCCTTCATCATGCCACCAGTAGCGACGCTGACCCCAGTTCGGGAGACAGCATCAGTTTGGCTCGATCGATCAGCAAAGACAGCTTGGCTTCAAACATTGTCAACATCACTCCCAAACAGCAGCCTCAGCTCGTGCAGGGGAAAGCCAGCGGGAAAAGCTTGTTAAGCAACGTTGAAATCGAAGATGAGGATGAAGAACTGATCGCGATCATCCGCCCGGATGCTGTGCCGAACCATGGCAATCTTGAGCTTCAGTGTGCGCCGGCTAGGTCGCCCGGTACAGCGGCAACAGCGTGGGCTCAGAAGTCCCAGGGCGAAGCCTTAGAAAATAAACCAGAGAGCTTTTTCCTTGAGCCTTTAATGCCCGCTGTTCTCCGGCCGGCAAAGGAGAAACAGATAATCAACAAGGAGGATGAGTGTGGGGAAGGTAAAATGAGAGGAGGCTTTGGGGCAAAGAGACTGACCGAGGGACGCAAAAAAATGAATATTAGTCAAGCGGATCACAATCTGAATCGGACTTTTAATGTAACACCCAGCTCCGAATTATCTATGATCGCAGGTCCCTGCGTGGCTGACCCAACAGTACATCCAGAGGTGAGAGTGGAGGCTTTTCGGCCTCAGGCCTGTAGTAGTTTAGAGCCTTCCTCTCATGACCAGTCCTTTGGGGGATACTTCCTTCATCCTTCTCCAGCAGATGAGGATCCAGTGAGCAGCCCGAACATCAGCTACGTGAGAAGCCCAAATTCCCACACCGCCGATACCTCATGGACGATAATCAGGCAAGATTCTGATTCAGATATTCTAGATATGGAAGAAGCCGAGCAAGATTTAGTGGCAGATGATCACCCGATCATTGCCAAGTATATCGGAGAAGAGGAATCGGCGAAGCTCCAGGAAGACATGAAGGTCAAGGAGCACGAAGATAAAGACGACGCTAGTGGACGGTCCAGTCCGTGTCTGAGTACCATTTCTCAGGTTAGCAGCGTTTCCTTAACCAGCGGGAGCGCCAGGATGACGAGCTTTGCCGAGCGGAAGCTTCACCGGCTGAACAGCTATGAAACGAAATCCAGTACGAGCAGTTCCCAGAAGACCACGCCGGACGGTTCGGAATGTTGCCCGGCCCCGTTAACCACGTGGAAGCAAAAGAGGGAGCAGAGCCCCACCAGGCAGAGCAAAGACAACGTGAACCTGCTGGCCTCCGAGCTGGCCCAGCTCCACATGCAGCTGGAAGAAAAACGAAGAGCCATCGAGGCTCAGAAGAAGAAGGTGGAGGCCTTGTCAGCCCGGCAGCGTTTGAAGCTGGGCAAGGCGGCTTTCTTGCATGTGGTGAAGAAAGGGAAAGGGCCCGAGGTTCCTCAGCCGCTGAAGCCAGAGCATTACACGAAAGAGTTCTCGAGGCACAATGGGGAGGGCGTGGATGACGTGGCTCTGAGCACCAAATCGGAGGCCTACCTCGTTAAGGAAGAGGGCGGCGAGGATTCCCTCGACTCCCTTGAAGGGCCCAAGGCGAAGGGCCAGGAGACGTTGGCTTTTGTGGAGCCGAGCCACCCTAAGGAAGCCACCCTCCACGAGATAGAGAAAAGTAAAATGATCTCCACGGCCCTTCTGGAGGAAAACATAGAGTCCGCTGACATCAATGAATGTGACCTTTCCCTGGAGAAGCTGAACGAGACCATCAGTACCCTCCAGCAAGCCATCCTCAAGATTTCGCAGCAGCAGGAGCTCCTCATGAAAGCGCCGGCAGTGCCACCGTCGAGAGGGGGCGCCCAGGACCAAAAGATAAAGGCGCCGGTTCATTTTGTGGAGCCCCTCTCGCCTACGGGCATGACCGGCCTTCGTAAGCCCCCTCGCCTCGGCCAAGGACGGAGCCCTCGGTCGGGGAGGCCGTCGGAACTGAAAGTGGCGAAGGACCGCCAGCAAACCACGACGCGCATCAAGACCCCGACGCCCAGCATCGATACCTTGCCCCACCTCAGACAGTTCTCGTCAAACAACGTGCCCAAGACGCCGACCGAGACGGCTCCCGAACCCGCTTTGGAGCCGGGTGGCGCCCCCCGAGATAAACTTGCTTCGGATAGCTACAGGCTGTGCGGCGAGAGCAATCAGCGGGGGGCGTTTATCGTGTCTGCCGCCAAGGACACGAACATCCTCTCCGAAGCCCTCAAAGACGTGAACAGTAACATTGAAGACTTCCACACGGCTTCTGGGGACGGCTCTGTCGGCGAGAACCTTTCGGTGGAAGAACCGCTGAAGGGCAAAGGCAGCCTTATTGAGGTGGATCTGTCCGATTTGAAAGCGCCGGAGGAAGAAGGTGAACTGGAAAGTCAAGGCAGCTCAACAGATCTGATCAGCGAAATGGACCAGAAAGCAGGAGTCGGGTTTTTCTTCAAGGTGAGAACCAAACAACCAGCCACTCTTAAAACCGTAACTGAGGGGCACAGCAGTAGTCTCAGTTTTAAAAACCTCATGCTATTCTTTAAGCTGAGTGTGCCAACAAAATGCTCAAATGTATAGTTTCATAAAGAAGAGTGCTTGCGAGGAAAGAAAAATACATGGATAAACATTGGGCCCAGGACCCTGTTTAGTCAAAGCACTGACGTAATGCATTGTTGCATGAGTGATTCCCCCCCACACACTTGTGCAGGGAGCTTTCCACTACCTGCTTGTGCAAGTGGAAGTCAAAATCACAGCTTTTATTTATTTATTTAAAATATTTTTTATCCCATCTTTCTCCTTAAAAAAGGATCCAAGGCGGCTTACATCACTGAAATACATTATTTGAAGCTAAGAACAGTGAGTTAGAGAGGGGGGTATTAGCATTTGTATACGAGTACAAATACCCCAGCACAGGTGGAGATAACGAAGGTCCAGTCCTCTGGGGCCGGACAGTCCACTCATCCTTCCGCGGCCGCTGCGAGCTCTGCGCTCCCTTCCAATCGGGGGTTTGTAAACGAGGGAAGCAGCAAAGTGTGTTATGAACTGAGAAAATAGTAACACTTGCTAAATCTATGCTTCTTCCTCCCTCTGGTGTCCGAAGAGAGGGCAAGTCATGAGATTTTTTTAAAAAATTACCTTACCCAGTGTTTTGATATTTCTCCATCCTCTCTGCAAGCTCTCAGTTTCTCACATGAATTTCTAATTTGGCAGGATGAACAGAAAGCAGAGGATGAGCTTGCCAAGAAACGGGCCGCTTTCCTCTTAAAGCAGCAGCGCAAGGCGGAGGAGGCCCGACTCCGGAAGCTCCAGCTGGAAGCCGAGGTGGAGCAGAAGAGAGACGAAGCCCGGTAAGGACCACGTCTCGGTGTAGTAAGCGGAGGGACGCCTTTCCACACACCACCTCCATCCTCGAGAAAGCAGGGTGCGACAAAATGTTGAAAACCTTGTTTGCTTTTTTTTCCCCCTTCCCAGTCGCAAAGCTGAAGAAGACCGAATACGGAAGGAAGAAGAGAAGGCCCGGAGGGAGCTCATCAAGCAGGAATATTTGAGAAGAAAGCAGCAGCAGATCTTGGAAGAGCAGGGCCTCGGGAAGCCCAAATCTAAACCCAAGAAGCCCAGGCCGAAATCGGTCCACCGGGAAGAGTCCTACAGTGACTCGGGGACAAAGTGTTCTTCTACCCGTAAGCGACTGGGTGCCAGTTTGGTTTTCCTTGTCCTTTTAGTGGTGGTGGTGGGGCTTAGCTTCCTTTTTGTTACGCGATCTTTCACTTCTCTTTCATCTCTCTCTTTCGGCAGCTGACAATCTCAGCAGCGCACAGTCGGGTTCCAGCCTCTCCTTGGCATCCGCAGCGACGACTGAGCCGGAGAGCATTCACTCCGGGGGCACGCCATCACAGAGGTAGATAAAGTGGGGTTTTTTAAAAAGCCTTTTGATGGTTGAGCTTATGGAGAAAGGCAGTCCGGATACCATATCAACCGGAAAAATAACAATTATACGGTCATGAGTTCTCTACAAAATAAGGGCCAGCTTTTAGATAACAAGTTTTTGTTGCCTGGAACTCCATGGCATGCTGTGTTATCTGATTTTGAGCATGCATTTGAGAAGCAGGTAAATGGACATTGAGAGGACTTTAATATTTTAAAGGAGGATTAATGAGTATCAGGATGAGAGAAATCTGCCATGCCAAAGACTTTCCAGCAATTTAGCTGTGACGATTTGTGGTTAGTAATTGAGTGAATCATCGTTCACTAGCTGATCCATCAAGCAATTTATACAACTTTCCCTGCTCTTTTTGTATTTGCGGGTGTACATAAAGAATGTGGTCTGTTAAGTGCTTATTTTTTTTCTCTCCTTGTCTTGCCCAGAGTGGAGTCAATGGAATCCTTACCCATATTAAGTAGAAACCCAAGTCGGAACATGGAGAGAGATTGGGAGAACACCTCCACAGCTTCCTCCATCGCGTCGGTGGCAGAATACACTGGTAAACCTGGTCACGTTTTAGCCGTTCTCTTGCTAGGAGGCCTCCCGAGGCCTGTCAACCAGGTTCCTGAAAAATGGCGTGAAGATGAGTTGCATGATTGGGCTTCGATGCTCAGGCTCCCCTTTTGAACACAGCGAGAGTGGAGGGTTGCATTCTTGCAACCAGGACGTTGGGTCTCGGAAGTAGGGGGGGAAATATTATCAGGAAAGCACCTTGCTCCTTGCAGGTGTCTCTTCAGTTTCCCTAATAATATCCCTTTAAGGTCCCCTTTAAGAGGCAAGTGGACTTATTCATGTGGAGGAGAAGAGCTCTTTAAAACGTTTTGGCCCCATTCATTGCATGTGTAGGTGGGTGCATCTCTGTGTATGTGTGTTTGCAGAAGTGTGTGCCCATGGTTTCTGTTTCCTGACTTATTATAAACAGATTTATCCTGTTCCCACAGAATGTTCAAGCAAGTTAAGATTTGCTGAAGTCATTGAACTCAGCAGAAATTGAAATCAGTCACGACTCATGTGAATCTTTTTGATTTCAGTGGGTTTCTCCTCCTAAGTGTGATAAATCCGGAGGAAATCCTCCCCATATACATTATGGCAAAATTATATTAAGCTCTTGTTGAATTTATACCTCTCCGTTCTGCCCCAGAACAACATGTAGCGCCTTAGTCTCTTTTTCTCTGTTTTGAAAATGCCCAAGTTCAAATTCACAAGTTGTGTATTGGAAAAAAAAATCTCTTTAATAGGTCCCAAGCTGTTTAAAGAGCCAAGCAGCAAGTCAAACAAGCCCATCATCCACAATGCCATCTCCCACTGCTGTCTTGCTGGGAAAGTGAACGAGCCGCACAAGAATTCCATATTGGAGGCAAGTGTTTCTCAGCATCAGCCGATGACCGCATGCCGTGTTTCTCGTCCCGTCACATCTTTGTCATGCGTTTTACCATCGGATGTCTCAGGCCGAGCATGTGAGATGGGCAGGACAGATTCAGTCCGAATCTTTAGCGCAGCAGTTTCTAACTTCTGCTGCTGATATGGGCCGGGTGCGCTCTGATGGAGCAGTCAGAGGGTGGGACCGAATTGGAGAGAGGTGTGTTTTTCATTCGCCGTTGGACTATGAAACTTGGTGAACATGAGCTTATTGCTCTCTCTCAGTCTTACTAACTTATTTCAGAGGGTAATAAAAAGAAGACAGGGAAAGTCATGCATGCAGCTTTGACTTCACTGGAGCAAAGGCAGGATATACTGTATTTTTCGCTCCATAAGACACACCTTTCCATAAGACGCACCAATTTTTTAGGAGAAGAAAACAGGAAAATATAATCTGTTTTCTTCGCTCCATAAGACTTTCCACCCCCCTGTTTTGTGGGGGAAACGTGTGTCTTATGGTGCAAAAAATACAGTAAGTAAATAAGGGTTAGGTCAAGAAGACTGCCTTGGATTATGCCTTCTTGCCAACTTGTATTGCATCTCAGTGAACTATGGCTGTTGGAAAATACTGTGTGGCCCCATGGGTGGCCTGGCATTTCTTGAGGGGGGCATCTGATGCCATGTCACCTAGCTTGACCCTTCTTACCTTGGGAACATCTGTAGAGACCTCCTGGTGGCATCCCATTCTCAGAGGGGTCTGCCCCACAGTGGTTCCGCGTGGAGCGTTTAGCCTAGTGGCACACTTAATTGTTACATGCCTCGCTGTAGCTGCTTCCTAGGCAAGCGCACGGCAGTGTCCTCTCTTCGGCCGGCCTTTGTTTCCACAGTCCTCAGTCTGGACATTTTTCTCCTCTTTTCTTCTCCCCCAGGAGCTTGAGAAATGCGATGCCAACCACTACATCATTTTGTTCCGGGATGCCGGCTGCCAATTCAGAGCACTTTACTGCTACTATCCCGACACGGAGGAAATCTACAAGCTGACTGGAACGGGGCCAAAAAGCATCACCAAGAAGATGATCGACAAACTTTACAAGTACAGCTCGGACAGAAAGCAGTTCAACCTGATCCCGGCCAAAACCATGTCCGTCAGCGTCGACGCGCTGACGATCCATAACCACTTGTGGCAGCCCAAGCGACCTGCGGTGCCAAAGAAGACGGCGACCCGCAAATGACATTAGATTTCCGCGAGGAGACTTTTGCAGGGTTTCGTCGCTGGGGAGGAATTCTCTCTTCCCCCCCCTCACCAGGCTTGGGTATGAAACAGAACCGTGACCCCCCCCCTTTTTTTTTAAACAAAGAAAAGAAACAGAGAGGAAAAAAGCAGCTTCTGAAAAGTGGATGCAAGGAGCGAATGAAGGAATGAGTTCAGTGTTCTTTGTTTATTTGTGTTCGTATGGATGATAAAATGGCTGTCAACACCCGTTCCTAATGACAGAGGCTTTTCACGTGAGAGAAGGTGCATGTAGCAAGATCGTAAGCAGTGGTTTCCATTTACTTGAAGTTCTTCATTGGTACAAATTGGGACATCATTTTTTGCGACCTTTCTGGTCTGGCCTCTCGCCCTGCCATCAGTGAGTCCCAGAAAACTAGCACGTGCTACGCTACAGCAAGCCGTTGGAACAAAGGCCTTTAGGAAGACCCGGCTTGTCCCTTTTCAACGTTGGGGACCCTAATAACATACGAAGCAAACAGAACTTTTACCTACTGCCAACGTTAAAGACAGACTACGACTCTTAGAGGGGAAAAGGAAAAACGCGACCCAGCCCTTGCTGCTCAGAACAAAGTTTACCTACAGTATCGATTCTTTATAAGCACTGAAAGATGTAAAATCTCTCTTTCCTTTTTTTTTTTTTTAACGACAATGGCGGACTTATGCAAATAACCAGTGGTTGATGGACACTTCTGGAACCACAATCATGGAGAGGCAAGCAGGTGCTACTGGCTGGAAATATCCCCAATTTAAATCTTGAGACACTGAATGGAAAACAGTCGGCCTGGATTTTCTGTTTCAAGTAGTATCTTAACTTTTACTTTTTTGTCTTTTCAATCAAGACAGATCCTAGTCATAGTGGAATGTTTTCACTCAGAGCACGTTACTCCTGTATAATGGTGCACTTAACAATCACAAATTCTAACGCTTTTTTAATCATGTCTCGAAATATAATTCTACTTCGTCCTGTCTCTCTCTCTCTCTCTCTCTCTCTTTTTTAATTTTTATTCCTGGCTGGATGAGAAGCATGCTCTAAACTGGAGTGTGTGCTCTTTTTATTTTATGTTGGGGCAGAGTATATACTAATACATAAGGAAAACCAACCAACCAACCGGTTTCCATTTCCTAGCAGTTTTTAAAAAACCAATATGCATTTGTTTTGGAAGGCTCGAATTAAGTCAGATGGCATTGTGTTTGTTTGGTTTATTTATTTATTTTCCATCTTGAAATATTAAATCTTGAGTTAAGACCTTTAAACGCAGTGTATTCTTTCCCTTTTAGAAAAAAAAAAGAGCTGACATATAACGTTCAGTTGGGGTAGTTACGGCAGTCTTTGTAATCAGGTGTCTGTTTTAAAACACAGCCCCCCCCCCAAGGAATTAGCAGTGTCTTTTCTTTCTGCCAGGTCTAGTGTGTCTTGCTTTGAACTGCTATCTTGGAGTTGAGGGTTGTAGCTTTCGTTTGCACACATTTCCTTCTACTTGAAGTGTTACTTGAATATGTTTCCTGTAGTGCAGAGGAGCATTACTGCTAACACTACATGGGAAGAAGAAGAAAAAATGAAGCTCTGAAACACAAGCCAGGGTAATAACTTAGCAAACTTTAAAAGAATAATAATAAATTAGAATAAAGATGAGTTTTGTATAGAAGGGCTGAAAAAAAATAGGGTGCATAACACTAACGAGACAGATGCAAATGAAGGTCTTCCGGTGCGGTCTTCCCGGTTCTGTCCCCTTACGATACATTTTAAAAATAGTCTGGCTGTAAATTTTGTTCCATAGTTGGGCTACCTTGTAAATAAGGAAAAAGCTTTATTATTTCTAAAAGTGCTAAATATTAAAAAAAAAAAAGACAGTCATGGGTGTGGGTTCTTTTTGTTTTGTTTTGTTTTTTGTTACATACTTTTCGTGCTTTATTTCTCACTGTTTGATATTATGCGACATATTTATTTTATGGAGGCACTGAAATTTAATAAAGATCATCAGCTGATTTTTTTTTTGTTCTTCCATGCATCTTTTTGTTGCTTTTTTCCCCCTTCCTTCCTTTTTGCAGACATCTTATCTGCTAAAAGGTCGGTGCAAGCCTTTAAGGAAATGTTTTGCCGTGTTCTTGCATGTTTCTTCCAGCGTCTTCATGAGATCCCTTGTGAATTTCAAATCATTTTTCTATACACGAATGTTTATCATTTAACATCATAGAAACACATCACCCGAAATCCTGTTGCATCAGTGTGCCAGCGGGGACTTGGTAGGCTTGATGGTGGCGACGGTGGCAGCTTCTTACCGCTACATCAAAAGTTCTGTTTCGATTTTGAATCACATACAAACTCTCGCACAATAAGATCAAGTGATGTGCAATCTGGGAATTGAACCAGGAGTTCTTAATTCGTAACAGTCTGCCACTGTCAGTGATGTTAGTCCCCTTATGCAGGCATAGTTGTACAACAGGATACCATCTATCATCAAAGAATACACAGCATGGGTGGCACATGACTTCAACAGCAGTTTGGTTGACAAAAGCCCGTCTTTCTGTGTAGAGAATATGGCCCAGAAGGAGAGCTTGCTCAAAAGGCAATGTAGGATTAGATCCAGATTTAAGTCAGTAGACGTGTTGAAATCAATGGAGCTTCTGTTCTAAAGGTCTGTTGCTTTCAATAGGCCTGTTTTAAATCTGACTGAATCTTGATCTGGTCCTTTGTGTGGTGAGGTTTTAAGATGATGCACCCATGAGTTGTAATGGGTCATCATTTCAGAAGACTCATTCTCATCCTCACCTGTACCTGTGGTGAGCGAGATTGCCTTTTCTCGGGTGATCCGAATTGAAAGTTCCTTGTTAACAGTGAACTGGTAAGAGTTCTTGTTAAACCGATGTCTTCCTCGGGCTGTACATTGACCATTGCCCCAACATTTCCATCCATTTCATAAGTCCTCAAGCTTTGGATCTTAAGAGTATTTCAGACGTCAGCTGCCGGAAGCCCTAAGCACTAGGCATGCTGGCTAGAAGAGTTCCCCAATGGACAGCCAAATGTTGAGAAAGACTTACCTGTTTTAATCTCGCTGACTAATTGACAAAGCCCAGAGGCTTTAGGGGCAAATGAATGCAACTTTTCTGGCTGCGCTGTCGATATGAGTGATTCCCCTAAAATAAGTTTTATATGGAGGACCGGTTTTGATAATTATCTCCTAGGTGGAACAAATTGTCCTTTACCTATAATTCTGTACTTCTTTAGCGGACAATGTTCAGGAGAGAAGGTTAAAGGTAGAACCCACCAAGGCACTGTTACTAAGATAGTCCTGTAAAATGATTAACATATTAATTGCTAATGGGGCCATGGTGGTGCTATGGAGATGAGACTCCACTCACTGTGCACATGGCCGCACTGGAGAATAAAGCCCCCCCTGCAAGAGGGGAAGAAACCAGCAAGCAACAGGTTCCAACTTGTCTGCCCAGCAAAGGGAAGCTGCAAACGTCAAGCCTGCTTTAAAAAAAAATTACCCACCAACTTCTAGCAAACATTCAAAAAGAGTTAGATTCCATTGCTTCCTCTCTTGTCGGAAGACACAGCTTGTCCAGCAATGACACGTAAGTTTGGGAGATCTTGATGGGGTTTGGGAGACGCTTAACGCAACATTTTGTTGCAGGGCGTGCATATTTACAAGACAACCTGATCCATCCAAAGGGGGTAAATGCAAAGCAATTTCAATTTCACTGAGACCGATCTCACCTTTGTAAAAATCTTGATTATCTCAGCTTTGGGTTGCTCGGAAGGTCTGCAGATCAAAGCTCCCCAGTTTTTTTTCCACGACAGGAGATTTGCTTACAGGGTTCGTTGAAGACGACATTTCTCCATTCCCTGAAAATAAACCAGCCTCGGATCAAACTCTTAGGTCCAATCATAGGCGAAGGGGCTCCGTATATAGGTGAGAAATCTCACAGGGTGCAAGGAAGTGGTGGATTCCCTTCCTTAAAGATTTAGAAGAAAAAAAGATCAGCAAAGGAGGAAGTCTTTGGATAAAACCATTCACGTATTTCTCATATATATACTACCATGTTTCCCTGAAAATAAGACCAGGTCTTATATTATTTTTGCTCCAAAAATGCATTAGGGCTTATTTTCAGGGGATGTTTTAATTTTTTTTCCATGTATAACCATCTACATTGATTCAAATACAGTCGTGTCATCATCTTCTGCTTGCTGCACAATGGTGGAAGGAGGGGTTTCACTTATTTTTGGGGTAGGGCTTACATTACGATCATCCTGAAAAATCATACTAGGGCTTATTTTCAGATTAGGGCTTATTTTCGGGGAAACAGGGTAGCAGGAGTCTCACTTTTCTGAGTGCTGTGGTTTATTTCGCCAAAACTGGCACTACGTACCCATACGCAGTAGAAGGGGAGAGGGTACCGAATGATTTTTATAAAAAAATTCTTTAAAGGGACCCAAACCTCCATAATGGCCGGACAAGGACAGAAGTACGGTCAGTGGACGTGGAATGTTGGTTGGGTGTAGGTTGGCTGAAATGGATCCAACCGAGAAAAGGTAAGGCTGGTGGTTGGAGTAGAACGGATCCCAGCAGCCTTCTGTTTTGGAGCTGATGGGAACCGTAGTCCAAAGTGTCTGAAGAGCGCCAACTTACTTAAAGACCTCGCATGGATCAATTCCTTATAATTCCCCACCACCACAAATGCACACCCCCAGTTTCGTTTTCCCCTCCCCACTTGCTCTTTTCTCCTCGCTTTTTACGACTTCTTTTGTAAATTCTACATATATATTTAAAAGACATTTTTTTTTATCTGAATGTGAAGAGTCACACACTTCTGCCTCCTTAAGAAGTTCCTAGAAATCTGCAGAAACTACTTCACCCTTTGGGTTCGCCCCGGCGTTTCATCAGCGACAGAAATGGGGCAATCTCAAAGTAGCGACACAAAAGGAGAAGGAAGGGGAGGGAGAAGGAAAGAAGAAGAAAATGAAAGAAGTGTTCCTTTGAAAGAGGAAATCTGGCTTTCATGGATCTCTGTGCAGTTTCCTATAGGTTATCAATAACTTTTATCCCAAAATGCTTATCATTTCAGAGCTGGCAGGGACCTTCCAAACTTTTGTCAATTCCAGTCCCAGTGGGGAATCGAACATCCAACCTCTGGCTCTGTTGCCAGATATTTAAACCTATCCTGGCCATACAGGGGAGGTGGGTTTGCTCTCCCAAGCGGGTTAAAGTAACACCCCCCACTTTCATGTTGTAGCTTTCCTTCGACTCCTGTGGATTTGGGTGTTGATACAGCCTTCCGGATCCCAGTGCGTCCTTGAAAAAGAATATTTCTGCTCCTCCATTCCAGATGGTGAGTCTCCCCCCCACCCCAAGACTTATTACCATCTTCGTTGTGGCTTCTGTAATCTCGGGCTTCAGTGATTCTGATTTTACTCCCTGACTGGCATCTCTAAGGCTTGCAAAAAGTGTATCTCAAACCCCGGAGATCTGCTTGTCAGCCTGAATGGTGGGTAAAAATCTGGACCCAGCAAGGATGTCCAAAAAAAAAAAAAAAAAAGGATGTCTACCTGATCACAGGCTGTATTGCGCAACTACGGCATGACCCAGTGTCATGATGATTAGCTGCAGCAAATTACACCTAACGTACAGGAAGACCAATAGGATTCTAGCCATTATAAAGACAACTCATTGACAAATTTTGAGGGCCCTTGGGAATATTCAAGTATCTAGATCACTGGTTTCCAACGTGGGGTCCCCAGATGTTCTTGGACTGCAACTCCCAGAAGCCTTCTCCATTAGCAGGGCTGGCCAGGATTTCTGGGAGTTGTAGTCCAAGAACATCTGGGGACCCAAGGCGGGGAACCACTGGCCTAGATGTGGTCGAAATGACTAGAAAGGTGGGGTATAAATACAATTAATTAATTAATTAGATAGATAGATAGATAGATAGATAGATAGATAGATAGATAGATAGATAAATAAATAAATAAATAAATGGTTTTGCATGTGATTCTCATCAAACTCAGCCAATGGCAAGGGGTTACAGAAACGGTAAATCAAAACTTCTGGACAGCCCAAGGATTTCCTGAGCTAATAGGTGATGCATTTATATTCCTCTTTCATGTTCTAGGTTTTCCGGAAGGGTTGACGTCCATTCTTTTTGTGGTTACCAATCTCGGAGCGATCAACGCCACCGTCTTCAACAGCCCAAATTTGGCGTCGGTCACCAGCCTCGCTCTAGCCAACAGCGGCATCACCAGAATCGAACCCGGAGCTTTTCGCGTCTTCCAAAGCCTCACCAAACTCAGCTTGTATCAGAATGGTTTGACTGACATTTCAGGCTCTTGGCTTTCGAACCCGGGCCGTTTAGAAAACCTTACCGTGGCTCGGAACCTCATCTCCAAAATCGGACCGAAAACTTTTTCCGACTTCTCCAACTTGACGACCCTCAACCTGGCCAACAATCGGATCCGTCAGATTGATCGCGGGAGTTTTAAGGGCTTGTCCGAGCTAAGGTGGCTTGACTTGTCTAGCAATAACTTAACGACTTTAACCAGAAGCGTGTTCAATGGACCGCTGATCCCACCTGTAGTGAAGCTGGGTAGCAATCCGTGGAATTGTTCTTGCGAACTTCAGGACTTGAGTTTTTTTCTTCGAGGTATATTGGCCGGAGGGTTGAATGCCAGTTTCAATTTGAAGATTTTGCCATAGGTGATCTGCATGTCCAAGCCCCATCATTCCGCCCCAACTGTGCCCATTGTGGATGCTGGAAGTTCTAGTCCAATATATTTAGAGCTCAGAAAACTATACTTAGAGGGGAAAAGATTGTGATGGAACTCATTACACCCCTCAAAAGTAATTTGTTGCCATTAACGTTACCCCTACAAAGCTATCTTATCCGTTAATGATTGTGATCTTTTTTCCCCTGGTAGATGGGCAATATTTTAGGATTTATAAGACATTAGCTGAGAAAACGGCCACTCAGAAAGCTCTCAAAAGGAAACATAGATGTCACTAGAAACCTTTAGTATCACATCAAATAATTCAATTTCCACATTTTATATCCCTTGGTAAGGTAAATTCCTTGTGTCCGTATTCCCAAAAATTAGGAAAGCTTGTATGAGGGAACCCGGTTACTTGTGCTGATTTTGAGCTCCAATCATATCTGGAAAGGACCGATTTGTGGAAGTCTAGCGGAAGGTTCAAAGACAAACACCGACAATTTCAATCAGTCATTTTTCACCTTCTTCTGCAGATCTGTGGTTCTGAAACCTTGAGTAAGCCAGGTGTTCTTGGACTACAGTTCCCAGAAATCCCGGCCAGCACAGCTGGTGGTGAAGGCTTGTGGGAGTTGCAGGACAAGACATATGATCTTTCGGAAATGTAAGGTCTGCAACGTTCACCATGCTTCCTTCTTCAGCGAATGTGTATTTGCGTGTTTTCTCAGAGCTGATCAACTCATCGCTGCTGGATGATGCTAATTCCGTGGTCTGCCACAGTCCGCCGAGCTTGCAGGGAGCTCATGTCTGGAACATCTCGGATTTCAACTGCCCTCCAGACTTCCTTTCGTCATCTTTAGAGAACAGCTTCTACTATGTTGGGTTGCCGGCTCTGCTGGCATCGCTAGGTATCTTCCAGTCCATCATTTCTGGGTTTGCTGTCAAATCTCTGAACACATTCCATCAGAATACGGGTGGGGTAAAAATTGCTCGTAGTGGAATAGCGCTAGATTGCACCACTGCTTGACCGGTATGTGACCTGCTTGGCCATCCAAAAAGTGTATTGGATGCAACCCAGCGGCTTCTGGGGGCTCTGGTAAATCTGCTAGTCTGAGTTTAATGAAGCTGTCCATGGTGCTGAATGCATTCTGCGACAGGAGTCCGGTAAAGTTCGGACTGGCAATATCAGTGTCACTTAACTGTGAGTGATATTTGGCCCGACGTAAAGAAGCCCCTTTCATTTTCATTGAATGCTTTTAGGTCAAATAATGATAGAGATATTGTCAAGGAAACACTGCTTTCTTTAAATGAAAACTTCAGTAACATTTTATGTTAATTCTACACTGCAAATGATCCTTTTCTCATCACTTCCCATAATTTATTACTACTGAGACTCACTTGTGATATTTTCTATTTCTCCCCCACGTGGGCTCACCCCCTCCTCACTTTATCCACCCAACAGCCCTGTGGGGTAGGTTAGGCTAAGGTACGATAATGTGACCAAGTTCATTTCAGGGGGCTTCATGACTGAGTTAGAATTTGAACCCGGGTCTCCGGTGGCTTGGTTCAATCTTGCAAAAACGACATCAAACTGTCTCTTGAATTTTTCTACAGTTCAAACATTCCCCGAGGAATGTTTTTGGATTTGAACATTTGCCCTTGTATTTTCTGTTTCTCGAGGAACTTGTATGTCTTTTTGTGGCAACATTGCTTCATTATTCCTTCATTCTTTCCTTTGGCAGTGTTTATTTCCTTCCTTGCGTTACTCTGTTGGATCGCGATGGTGAAACGTGAGAAGAAACAAGTTCAACCCTGCAAAGACGAGGCCGATTCAACCAGGAATGTAAAACCTAACAGCCAGATAGATCCCACGGCCGAGGGTCAACAGATCGAAGGCACAACCAAAACCTCAGAAATGGACACAGCGTCCAAAACGAGAATGCTAAAAGTCCGCGCGAAATCTGCCTCGGCCATTCTGCTGCGAACGGAGTTCCACCCGTCAAAATGGCGGCCCGCCGGTCCGGTGGAGACAACGTGGGAACGTCTGATGGCACCCTATGTGTCTCTGGACGACAAAATGGATGACGGGAGAAACGAGGACTTGAATACCTTTATAGAACTGTGGAACTTCCAGAATTTGGAAAAGGGCCACGAAAAGCTGTCTCAGGGACACAACGAAGCGCGTTCGATCTCCGTGGAAGGATGCGTGGAAATACCTAGGGTGGGAGTTCAGGCCCCCCTGGAGAAAAATGGGACTTCAGAAGCACCAGAGAAGGTCAACGTCAATGACCGCAGTGGCGTTGAGAATCCCGAGCCGTTCTTGTATTTAACAGTGGCCACGGCACCTCGACAACAAATTGAGATAGAGCCTCGGAAGGACATGATTGCAGAAGCAAATAAAAATCAAGTGGTCTCTTTGAAGAGAGCTTTGACGTGGCCTTATGCAAGAATCCAGAGGACAGACGTGTTGAGCATGACAGAGCCTTTTGTGGCACCCTTATCCAAGCCATCTTTCCACCTTGATGCAACAGGGGATGCCAGGGAACCAGGAAGCAGTGAGGAGTGGCTACGCGTGGGTCCCAAGAGAAAGGATCCGCTACCTGGTGACTGGAAACATGAGTTCAATGGTGAGGTCAAGTTACCCGAAGGTAAAGAGCCTCTGCGTCAGAAAGGATCGAAGGGGGGTGTTGAGGAGGCCCTAGATGTTGGAAAATCAGAGTTCGAGGAAGAGCAGCTAAGACCGCATGGCCATGCATGTCTAGGAGCTCATGATCCACCAGATCAAGGTGGAGCTGAAATAAACATGGAGACCAACCCAACCAGGCCTCCAGAAGTAATGCTTCAGAAAGAATCCAGTGTGGCAGCTGTGGATAGATATGTTCACACCTCAACATCTGGCATCAAACCAACCAGATGCCCAATGAGTGTCGGGGCTAAACAGCTGCCTAAACCAGTCTCTTCTCAGTCCAGAGCCCACCGCGAGGTTCCTGCATCTCTACGTTCATCCGCGGACACTTCAGCCGTAGGTTCTTCCTATAGCGATGATGTCTTACTGGAAAATGATGACTATAACTACATGAACTTATTGCACGAAGTGGTGGAGAATCGGGGCAGATGGACCAGGGAGCGGTGGAAGCAAACGCACCGAAACCGCGCTCTAAGCAAATCCAAGTAGAGCGATTTGATTCCCACACAAGTGATTCATACTGTATAGTTATGTCTTTTGTCTAAGATAAATATTGCTTTTTTAGAAAAAAGGATTAATGAAAGATGTCCCACTGGCGTTGGTTACAAGAAGGCTTTCGACTCCAAATTTCTCGGGGATGGCGAGTCCCTTCCGGGTTTTGGCTCAAACTTTAAAGAAGTTCTCCAAAGCGGTGAACCTAAGTTTGGGGGAAATAGGGTTCAGCACGTTGGACAGCTTTTTTTAAAGTTTGTGAAACAAGATTCATCAGCCTCCATGGGTTGGTAAGGGAAGTGCGTCTCCTGTGGATTTCAGACGTAAGGCAGGGTTCCTCACAATACCACATTCTAGAACCTCTTGGGCATATTCTGAAGACATGTTATGAACATGAGATGCCCAGGGCTGAGCGCCCTTCGCACACCTTCTTTGATATTTCTGGTCTACTGGGGGAGTCCTTCTCTAAACATGTATCCTTCTGAATCCTTCACCTTCAGAATAGACCGTGAGGTTTGGGCAGCCTTGATGGAGAACGTTCTTCTCCAAGGTAGTAAAAGCAAAAGCAAAGCGTGCTGCTTATATATAGTACTTGAGATGTAACTATTGATTCCACCAATAGTTACAAGAATTTGTTTGTAATAATAACCCTGGCTCATTTTTTCCCCTTCCCCAGATAATAGACCAACAACATGTGCAACCAGGGAAAAACACTGCTTATCTGTTTGATATTCATGTCTAAAGAGTATATTTCACAGTCTGAGCTGTACCTCTTGGCTTGCTTTTCTAATTGAAAGCCTGTTGAAAGTGTGATTCTGTTTTCCAAAAAAGCCTGCTAGAAGAAGACCTTTTTGTGCTTAACGAAAACAGCACAAGTGATGAAATGTTTACCACTCTTGTTTTCATTTTTGGGTCAGAGGTGTGTGTGCACAGGCATGCATAAGGGACTCTGAACTCTCCCCCCCAACTTATTCTTATCCTACATGGAAACAGTGGAATGTTAAAAGAATGCCAGATGATAAGGGATAGAGGAATCTGTTTTAATGAACACTGTAACTCCTTTTCTTCTTTAATCTACTTCCTGTAAATGATCTTCCAAATGTTGTAATGTATATTATCCTAGTCGCTGATTTATCGACAGAACAGATCAATCAGTCTTCGATAACAGGCAGTAAATCCATGTTCTGTTTATTCTAATTCTTGTGCCAATAAAATCCTTTTGGCTCAACGGCGCTTACTCCTGAGGAGATCTCTGTGGCACCAAGACATTAATAAAATAGACAGCTGGGTTCAGATTTGGCTGTGCTTCGGAGCTGACTCATTCACACCAATGTGATGCGTTAATTGTAGCCAAATCTGAGTTTTGATTTGAAATTTGAATTCAGCGGGGTGACTAAAAGCGCATTCTGCACTACGTAGACCTACCCATTTGATACCTTTATGAACTGCCATGGCTGAATCACAACGCCCACTGAGATTTGTCGTTAATCATACTTTTTATCCTCTGCTGTAATCCTGTAATCCCACAAAGCCATCAAGTCCAACCCCCTGCTCAATGCAGGAATACAATCAAAGCATATCTGCCAGGTAAATATCTAAGTTTTCCTTTAATGCCCCCAGTGTTGGAGTGCTCACCAACTCCCAAGATAACTGGTTCCACTGTCATACTGCTCTAACAGTTAGGAAGTTTTTCCTGATATTCAACCGAAATCTGGCTTCCTTTAACTTGAGCCCATTGTTGTGTGTCCTGCACTCTGGGATGATCGAGAACAGATTTTGCCCCTCCTCTGTCGGACAGCCTTTCAAATATTTGGAAAGTGCTATCCTATCACCCCTCGGATAACAGGTTATCTTGTTTTATTTTATTTCTCTGGATTTTGCCTGCACAGACGAACACGGCTACCTTTTCTAAAACCACATTGACAATCCAAGTAGCGCCCTTGATAAGTATGTAGATGGGTGGATGGTGGGATTCTACATGCACACGGCTAAAGTGATATACAGATATTTTTCTTGGACAGATGCGTATTTCAAACTTTCCCGTCGTCAAGCACAGGGCGGTCCATCTTTAGGGTCGCCTGGTACGAAGTTTTTGGAGTTCCTTTGGCGGACCTTACAATTTAGCCTTGGAATATCAAACAACAGGAGGTTGTTGGTCCGGAATCCCTGATCTGGTTTGGAATTTTATCCTGACGTCCAGCGGGAGATCCAGATTGACGGATGCCACACCTTGGGTGGCTTGCTTCCCGACAGCACGCCGTAAGCAGAGCTGCCATTAATGAGCCGCTTTAGCACTCGGGACAAGCGGTGTCTTCTCCCACCTGCTCTGCGGTGAGGCATGAGCACAAACTCCCCAACGGGAAGGAGAAAGTAGGGTCCCCCGAAAGAAAGAATAAATTTGATGCTTTCTAAAAATGGGAAGTGAAAAGAGCTGGAAGCCTTCACTTCCTATTTTTTAAATATGCACCAGTAGATGTGCCTCGGCTACTTCTGCCTAGGCGTTGGTGGTCATCGTCTGCATTCAGAGCTCTTCGTACAGACGGTGGCAGACAAGATTTTGATGCTGCTGCTCCGTGGGCCTTTTGAGTCATCCTGGTGTCTTCGCATTCTCTCTCTCTCTCTCTGCATTTGTGCCCCAAGGTACTGTACTTCAAAGGAGACGCGTTTCCTTCTCTGTTTTTATTGAACAGGTATGTCAACGTTGGTCGTTTTGCTGCTGATTTTCCTGGGCCCTGCCCTGCCTTGCCCTCTAAGGTGCCATTCATGCTCTACCTCTGTGGCCAAATGTGAACATATCTCTTCCCTCACAGAAAGTGAGTGTTTTGTCTCTGCGTATGATTGTGAAAAAAGGAGAAAAGAACATGAAATAAAAGAAATGTTCCACATTTTTTTCTACATGTGGACATTGAGCTTGGTTGCATACATTAATGCATATTTGCATTGATGGGTAGATATTTAAGAATGCACACAATCTTGCTCTGTTCCTTTACCTTGTACCATAGGTCGGCAGCTGGCAACCCTAGAGCTGAATGTAATCTTGCCAGAATTCATTCAGCCTTTGGCCTTAGAAGCCCTATTCAGATCATCATCATCCCCTCTACATAGCTCCCTCCACATACCCAAGCTAACCTTGGTTTCAGAAGCTAAGCAGGATTGGAACTGGTTGACAGGGAATAAAAGATGCTATGACAAGATGTTGACATGCTTTGTATGCTGTAGGGGGTGGTTCTATCTTTGTCATCTGCAGACAAGGCTAGGAAAGGATCCATCTTAAAATCCTGTAGAGTTGCTGCCAGCCAGTGTCAAGAATACTGAGCTTCATGGGTCAACCGTTGGCCTTAGCATAAACAGCTACTTATATGCCTGTGTTACTTTCAGTGGAGGGAAAGAGCTGAAGAGAAGCTGGTGATTCCAGTTTTTTGGGGGGGACACGGAATCAACCTCAAGATTTTTGGTCTGAACTTTACAGCAAGTATCTGGAACCCAGAAATGTTTTTACAGTAGAATTTAGCACCCATAATAGTTTATTAAAGTTCAGATTAAGACTTGGGTGGGGATCACACAATCAGTCCCACAATTTTAGCCTGAACTTTACAGGAGCTGTCCAAGGTTCTGAACTTAAATTGAGAATGTGTTTCAGCACCTTGGACTGCTAATGTAAAGTTCAGACAAAGACTTGGGATTGCTCTAATGTTCTTACATATTTGGAATCACATCAGTCACCAAGCTTGTTTTTGTTGTTGTTCCTGCTCTGGCTTGATTCTTATTGCTTTCAACCCCACACACTGTTAATTAGGCACCTTGCAACAGATTTCCCCTGTGGGGATGTGGTCCATGACATTAGAAAGGTTGTCCACCCCAATTCAAAGTAATCTTTTATAAGCTCCCATATTTTCTTAAATTTTCTAATTGTCTCCTTCTCTCCCCATTTGTCCTTATACAGTCTTAACAGGTTTGTCCAAGAACACAGAGAAGATTATTCTGCATCATGGAAATCTTAGCATGTTACCCTCCCTGTCCTTCGCTAGATTTCCCAAACTCCATTTCTTGTCAATCACTGAATGCCTGGTTACATCCCTAACCAACCACACCTTTTTCACAGTCCACGTCAACATCTTAAGGGTTTTGGATCTCAGCGGTAATCACTTAATTAGCTGCATGATTGAGCCAAAGGCTTTCGCAGGCCTGCTGTTTCTTCGGGAGCTGACCCTAACCAACAACAGCTTGGACGTCCTGAGAAGGTCGTGGTTCTCTGAGATGCCTCAACTCCAGAAGCTCTCCCTCGGGATGAACAGAATTACTTATCTTCCTCCCAGGATGTTTGAAAACTTGACAAAATTGGACGAGCTGGTATTATCTTCCAATCTAATCCAGTATCTCCCCATGGACACTTTTTACGGGATCCCCTCGTTGACCAAGTTGGACTTATCCAACAACAGAATCTTCTTTATCAACCATGAGGTCTTCCAACCTCTGCAAGCTCTCCAGCACCTCCTCTTGTTTCAGAACCGGTTGACCGTCCTGCCCATCCTGCCAGGTTCCGTCACCTTCTTGTTTCTTCATGAAAACCCCTGGGAGTGCACTTGTCAATTGGTGGTCTCCATGGAGTCCTTGATGGCTAAAATTCAGACTCCGGACGTTGTCACTTGCAACAACCCTCCTAACCTTGTAGGACACAAAGTATTGAGCACTAAGCCAGACGGATGTATCTTTCCATCTTCATCCCCACCTTCATCATTACCCTTGCCTTCATCTTCATCATCAAATATATTGAACCTCAGCTTGCTTTATGGATTTCTAGGTAAGAACCTGCAAGGTTTTCGGAACTGAAGGTGGACAATGGTGGCCATTCAGATGTTTTGGACTACGGCTCCCATAATCCCTCTACCTGGGCTATGGCGATGAGGGCTAATGGGGGTTCAAGGTCACAGTTGGCCACACCCTCCCTAGAAATCGGGTAACATACTATAGCGAAGTGAGTCATACTCCATGTCTTGCTTGTAGGCTCTCCATTGGGGTATCTGGTTGAGCATTGTGGGAAGACAATGGTACAGGAAATGGCCACCAGGCTACACTGGTTGCAAGAGTAGAGAAATATTGTCCTTACATTTCTAAAATGATGTTGGGTCCTCATCACCCATGGGTATAACCACTGGCTATGCATCTGAAGAGTCAGTGGTCCTCTAACCCCAGTGGTTTCCAGCCTTGAGTGTTCTAAAATGATGTTGGGTCCTCATCACCCCTGGGTATAACCACTGGCTATGCATCTGGAGAGTCAGTGGTCCTCTAATCCAGTGGTTTCCAACCTTGACTCCCCAGATGTTCATAGGCTACAACTCCCAGATATCCTGGCCAGCACAGCTAGTGGTGAAGGCTTTTGGGAGTTGTAGTCCAAGAACATCTGGGGACCCAAGGTGGGGAACCACTGCCCCCCCCGAAAAGTGATGTGGTTCTCTGCTTCTTGGAGGGAAAGGTGGGATGAAAACGTTATGAAGACAATAGCTTAAGAAAGACAGTGACTCTACCCCTGTATCTACAGCAGGACTTCTCTTTGGATCCATAGCATGCTTACTTTGCTGCTACCGCGGCTTCCCAAAATATTGTCACTGCATGCACACTGGAAAGCAGACCGACAGCACGAAGACTTTCGCAAGGCGGTGGAGTGGATCCTTCCAAAGAGAAGACAACATCTCAAATGTAGAACCACAGATTCTTTGCAGCTTTCCCGTTGTGAAGAATATGGCCATGGACTCCTTTTGTGGACACATCTGTGGAACCTCCAGAACTTGTTGCACACAGCAGAGGAAGTCCACAGATCTCCAGAAGCCTTTGGTGGCCGTGTTGTCCATGGATACCACAGGGAAACCTGTCGTGAGTCTGCATACGGAAGGACGGGAGGCGGGATGCCCCAACATAGATCATTCGTGCCGTCAGACTCACAATGAGAGGATTGCCAGAGTCAACGAAGCCCCTCAATGTCGTAGAAACGGTGGTAGCCCCGCAGAACAACATTCCTTCAATTTAGAGGATGCATTATGGGAGCCACCCATCCAGATGGCCACTTTGGACCATAGGGAGAAGACAGAATGTGGTGAGTTGGGACGAATAAGGAAAGATCCGCGTCTATTGAGTTGTCCCACATCTTCCCCAACAGGGTTTCTTGATCTGAGTTGGGCGCTCGGCGAAAGAGCTAGAGGTCGAGAGATCGATTCCCGAACAAGGCTGGAAGAAGACCAGCCTGGGGAGCCTTGGGCAAGCAGCCCAGATGTTCTTGACCCACAACTCCCAGAAATCCTGGTGAGCACAGCTAGTGGCAACGGCTTCTGGGAGTTGTAGTCCGAGGACACCTGGGGACCCACCGTTTTATGTCTGGAGTCATACAAATAATGACTTCTCGGTCATGTTCCCACCCCCTCAACGTTGTCAAAAATTTGGCTCATGTACTAGTAGACTCCTGTGCTTTAGTGAAACACGCATGTGCTTCCCATCTTGGACAATGTTTCCCAAGAAACATTGGGAAGCAATAACTGAACGCTGCCACTCCCAAATTTTTATGCCGTTTTTTGCTTTCTTTATGAATAAAATTTAGTCCATAGGTAGGTTTCTCCTATAGTGTCCCAGAACTTGTACCGCATCACGAATGCAAGCAGTTTTCTGAGCGGAATAACCCCTGCATGCAAGATCTTCAACTCTATTTGAGAATGTTAACCACAACTGTAGCTGGCTGGGTAGCTCAGTGGGTAGTGAAGCCAGAGGGTGGGAGTTCGATTCCCCAGTTGGACCTCCTGGGAGTAGAACCAGCCTGGGTGGCCTTGGGCAAGCTGCAGAGAGAACAGAATGGGGAAACCACTTCTGCATTTTTTTCTAGCTGGAAAACCATGAAATCAGTTGCCATAAGTCAGAATTGACGGCACATGATTATTATTTTTATCATCTGCGACGGTGTTGTAGGGTGTGTGCTTTCTGGGACCTCTTGTTTACTTTCTTTCCCTTCTAGTTTTGGGGAAGTGCGTCGACACCCAGTTGGGCGAATGGATCTCGCACTCTGAGGTTCAACTTGACGAAGCCCAATCCCCTCGATCTTTGGTCCGTCCTAACGGAACTGCCGTGAAGCCAGAGAGAGATCAAAACTGGACCGGCGAAGCCGCTTCCAAGAGAAACAAGCGCTGCAGAAACGGATTTCATCTCCGTACGTCCCGCCGACGGTCAGCTAGGAAGAGGAACATGTCATATCAGAGACACAGTCGTTGCTCCCAGACCAGCCTCATGTCCCCTAGACTCATCAAAGCTTCTGATGTGAGACAGCGGCAAGAAGGTGTTGTGGACAGAAGACATCCTAACCAGAGAACCAGAAACGGACAGTCTTCTTCCAACACTGATATTTGCCCCAACGCCTGTCCAATATCAGCGAGTAAAGTCAACAGAAAGCAAAGAAGGAAACCATCGCAGGTCCACAGACCCTTTTCAACCTTGACCTCTTCTTCTTCCAGTGTGTCAAGCCAGACAGAAGAGAATAACCTCTCCTATCAAGAGGAACCCTATATTGAAAAGCGGGCCATCGCTCCCCTTTATGGGAGAAAGGAGGAGTCTAGTCCACCCATTGATGATACCTGTCCAGTAGGGAAAATGCACCTCAAATCTTGGAAAGCCACGAAGGCTCCAGAAAGATCAGATGTGGTCCTGGAAAGGGACTCATCCACCACGGAGGACGCAGGGACATGTGCAAGGGGTGGCTGTTCAAAATCCGACCCACGTTCGGTACCTCAAAAGGTGTCCAGTCAACGGATCGCAACCTCTAAGAAAACCAGAAGATTCCTTGATGGCGTCGCTCGGCAGTCTTTCAGGGGTACACCCCACCTTACAGGTAACATCTCACCTGTGTTAAATTTTTTTCAAAAGGTGCTGGTGGGTCACCACTTGGGGATGAATTGGGGGCTGAGAAAGGATATAGGGCAGCTTTGACCTCCACTTCTCTGCTGACGATGTCAGGTAAAACCCAGCGCCTTGTCTCAAGGCATACCCAGATCTTGGAAGCAACTCATTACAAATCACAAATCACTCGTAATTTCATTCCCATCTGCAACAACTAAGGGATAGCTAAGTTATGTCACAACTATAACTTAACAAAGTTTAGTGTCACTCCTTTTGGACTGTAACTTGAAGTAGGATTCCACACCTGGTTTGCTTCTCTAGCAGAAAGGGAGATGTTCCTCACTTGTTTGGAGTTATCAAAATATCTCACTTTGTAAACATAAGGATTTGCTTGAAGGCAGTGGTTTCCAGGTGTGTGTCCCCCCAGAGGTTCCTGGACTGCAACTCCCAGAAGCCTTTGCCAGCACGGCTAGCGGCGAAGGCTTCTGGAAGTTGTAGAGTTCAAGAATTGCTTGGGGACCCAAAGCTGGCAACCATTTCCTTAAGACATTCTGTCTTTTTCAGAGAAGTCTATCACGACTAGTGAATGTCTCCCCTAAATTCTCAGATAGGGATATTTTATAGACTTACTCTGAGTTATCAATGATTTAGTCTGGGACCTTTTGCGCTTGGAGTAGAAGGCGAGATCTACCACTAAGGTACGGTCTTCCTGTTGTTATCAGCATTTTTAGTTTTTATCTTTTGTTACCTCTTACCATCACACCACCTTGGATGTGCATGTCTTATCTGATTTTGGAAGTCCGAGGAGGTTCAGTTACATTAGTACTTGGCGGGCGGGGGGGAACCCACCAGAGAAGACCAAGGTTCTCCAGATAGAGAGGATGATGCCTAAAGCCCTGGAGAACCATCGCTGAAGGTCACAGCTGACTATACTCGGCGAGAAGGGCCAAGAGTATGATCACGCAAAAGGCAGCTGCATATGTAGCTCCGGAACTGAGTTGTGCCTTCTGGGAGAGAAGCCACTCTGTATGGCTTTGGACGAGGTGCAGAGTCTTAGAGAGGCACCAGAAGAAGGAAATCGTAAACCACTTCGGAGTCCTCTTCCTATTGACTCGCTTTGTACCTTTGACCTTGCAGCTCATGACCCAGCCCTTGCTTTGCCTAGCTCGGATCGTAACGACGAGCCGTTGCTACGGAGGGAACCCTCGCCTTCGAGAGGATCGCCATCCCTTCCGCCTCGCTTTGCAGTCCCCCATCCTGAGCAGAGGGACGTCGATCGGGAATCCACCGAAGAGCATCTTTCGTCCCTTGCGTTGCCGTTGGGCTCCCCAGCAACGGAGAAGACTGTTAGGATGCTATTGATCCTTAAAAAACAACATGGAGGAATGGACAGCGTAGAGACTCAAGGAATGAAAATGGTGCTTGATCCCTCCAGGGTAGGCACCCACAATCCTCAAAGTAGAAATATCAGAAGGTTGGGTGAAGAACAGACGTGTGTAGAAGGATCTCTAGAAATGTCTTCCTTTGGCGTTGTCGGCCAGGGCTTTGTGGATGACAACAAAGACACAGTAAGTTTACACTCTAGTGCCATGATATCAGATTCCTGCTGCGACTCCTCTGGAGGCCTTCATTTCAAGATGGATGCAAATATGTCAGTGCTAGAGAGGACCCATAGCCAAGCTCCTTGTTCGGACGGTCAACGAGACGTTTATGAAGAGATTGACACTACTGTTACATCGCACTGCACTTTGGTCCAGAAAATGTGCCAGATTGACTTTCCCCTGGCAGCTGAAGAGGAGAAAGCGAGCAAGTAGGAGGAGCATAACGAGGAAGATGTTTTACACATAGAACTCTGTCTGAAAATATTGGACAAGAGGTCCATCTTGTCCACCAGATGTCAACACAACCCAGTCTTTGGTCTGTGCTCCAGTCTAAATAAAATGTTTCTCAAAGTCAAAAAGGTGCAAACTCTTCCCTTGACGGACTCCTGTGTTTTTTTTTAAAAAAATCAGAATTTGCAAATATTTTGTTCCAAAGAGTAAGCGATGTGTAATCAATTCTTCTTCCCAATAAATAATTTACATTATAATTGCTGTGTAATGGTGGATAATGTTATTGCTTTGCAGTAAAAAAATATAATCACTTCTAGTTTCTGTTCTAGTCACAGGGAGAATGAATGTCCTCATTACTATGGTGTGTTTTCTGTCACAGGCTATTTTAATTTTTAAAAAAATATATATATTGACCACTAGAGGGCGCAAAGGGACACTTCTTTAGTTTTAAGATTTTTTTTAACTAAATTTATTTTTTTTCAGTTAACAAAACTTGTTATAGCAGAAAATGTGACTGCATAATTTAAAATTAAATATGCGAATTAGTATCTTCGTCCGTATGACTCCCTTTTCAGCCCCAATAGCTCATTGGTTAGCTATCTGGCCTATGAGCAAGAGGTTGGGAGTTTGATTCCCCCACTGGGCAAGCTGCTCAGTCCCAGGGTGCCCCCTAGAGGAACGGAATGGTAAACCTGAACACTCAATATTTGGAAAACCCTGAAATGGAACTTCAGCCATGGTGATATAGACGTCAGAAATATTTTTTAAAAACTGGAAGAGAGGGGGATTTTCAAGGCATCGGCATGAATATATTCATAAGAATATTTCCTTTAACCAGAACACAGCACCCTCTAAGTTTTAGGAAACTTCTTGTAACACATTTCTAGTCCAGAAAAACACCCTGTGATATTGCACTTTAAAATTTAAAACTTCGGAAAGAATTTTGAATAAGGATTTTTTTTATTGCCATTAATTTCAATTTTTATTCAACTGAATTAAAAAGAAAGAAACCATTTCTACAATCCAGAGGCAGGGATCTGTTAGAATCAAAATTTTCCATTTTTGACCAAGGACTATAAATTGAAGTAAGGCTTTTCTTATATATACTTCACATTTGTCAATCTTTTTTTCAGGACGTACTGAAAGGATATATGCTGTAAACGGATTAAATTGCTTATATCAGTAAAAGAACATCCGCATGAGCTAAGATACTATCCCCCCCCCCAGTTGCCCCTTGACAAAACGTGCTGTACATAAATATTCTTCCTTTGAGGAAGACCCGTGGGCAGGACTTTTACAAAAATAAAAGATTTATTTTACATATTTCGTCAGGTTGAAGGAAATAGAAAAATCGGAACAGGAGATCGCAGTAGTCCATCAGCCGTTGCGAAATTGCTGATGTCTCTCGACGCTTTGTTTAAGATGCACACTTCACGCCGTAGAAACAACTTACGTAAAATGATTAAGGTGGGAGCGTTGGACAAACATGGCTTTTGATAAAGAGGAAAGGGAACGGCCCATGATTTAAGCTACGCCATGTTTTAGATGCTGTTCCGTTGAGTTGATGAGGTGGGGGCAAGGGGAGGGCTGCATGAATCTGACATTTGATTGTCGTGTTGGTCCCACAGGATGAGAAATGAGGCAAAAGGAGTCTGTCCATCCTAAGACGGTAGGGATGAATATGGCATGCAACAGTGTTTCTCCCCCCCCCCGGCATATTTCAATCTTCAGAGCAAAATCTTGACCAGTGGCTTTTAGCTTCACTGTGGGCATTGAGTTCTCACAACATCTGGACATCTAGTTTCCCCACCCATTCTTGACACCTCGGTGATATAAACCTATCAACTTTTGGTTGACCAACCCTACTTGAGCAGAAGATGTCTTGAGTCTCCGACGGTTGCTGACAGTCAACTCCTGCAGCAGCTATGAAAACATTTAAGTCTTATTTGTTGCTTCTTCTAAATCAGTGGTTCCCAACCTTGGGTCCCCAATTGTTTGTGGACAACAACACCCAGATGCCTTCACCATGAGCTGTGCTGGTCTGGATTTCTGGGCGTTGTTGTCCGAGAACATCTGGGACCCAAGATCCGGAACCACGGTTCTAGATAGCCTTAGAAAGGAGACGACGGAGACTCAAACTCTCTCACTGCCCCGTCCACATCAAGTTGGATTGAGTGGTGATTCGGAGAGCTAACAAACCATGAATCATCATCACAACGGTGGTCATTTCCAATCTTCTTCTTGTCCTGTTTTATTGAACACTTCAGTTCTCTTTCCGGATGGTATGAATGAGATTTTTCCATGTGGCACGGTCTCGTGCGGGTGCTACCTGCACTTTAGGATAACGAAGATCTTTTTTCACTAGCGGCGGTACAAATTTCGCCCCGCTCACCCAGCCCTTCGGAACAAAAACGAAGCACAACAGAACTCAACTAGAAGGATGAAAACCAAGACCTGTCTCATATCATCCAGTCTTCAGGCCGCTCCACGTTTCCTTTAATTTCAAGTTCCGCCAAGCTTCGCTTGGAAACCTTTTCAAGGAGACGCGGAAGTGCGCAGGGCATGTGGCTTTTCTCCACGCCCCAAAAGGGACTTCAAGTCAAGACCCCGACGGAAGGGTGGCCTTTGGGCAACCCCCGTGTGCTCCACCCTCCCCTGCCGTTTGGTCACTAATCCGGTAAAAGTTCCATGCATGAACGAGAAGGGTGGTAGGCCTGGGCGTTCCATGCAGAAGGGAGGAGGTGCTCAGAGCTGCGTCTCGTCTCTCGTCTCTGGGCTACAAGGGTCCAGTTTGTTACCGGAGCTGCTCTTTCGACTGTGCGTCTCGTTTTCCACGTGAGCCAAAGGGTCGGGCCGTATCAAATACCTAACAGAAATGAAGACATCTAGTTAATGAGGGAGGTAATGCTTAATTGGGATGGATAGATCAAGTTCGATTCCCCATTGGGCTTCTTGGGAGAACAGCCAGCCTGGGTGGCCTTGGGCCAGCTGCACCATCCCCGAGCAACCCTCAGAAGAAGGGAATGGCGAACCAATTCTGAGTCTTCTCTTTCTGGAAAACCCTGAAAATAAGGCAGAACTGACTTTATGGCATATTATTGTTATTGGTTAGTGTGTAGCTTACGTTCAGCCTTTGCCCCCTGGTGCTCAGTCTAACAAAAAACACTGAAATTCTTGCGAACATTGGAAAAACCAGAAAGGCAGTAACTGGTGCCTCGCTAGATGATGATAATCAATTCCACTGAAATCGCTGTTTTGCAAGATCATTGTCTAGCGAAAAGCATTTGCCCATTGGAATGCATTGAAACCTGTTTAATGCATTCCAATGGGGAAGAATCGTCGTTGTCTAGCGAAGACCGGCCATAGGAAAGCCGCTTTGCGAACCGCCAATCAGCTGTTTAAATCGCAGTCTTGCGAAGCTTAGGTCCCGAAAACACCCGTTTTGTGAGCGCGGAGGGAGCTGTAAAAATCGTCGTCTAGCGAAAATCGTTTTGTAAAGCAGGGACCAAACCTTGTCCAGCAAACTTCCCCCATAGGAATCACTGTTTTGCGAATCGCTATAGCGATCGCAAAAAGCCAATGTCTAGCGAAAAAACTGTCATGCGGGGTAACTGTCTAGCGAGGCACCACTGTATGCCCGAATGCAATGCTTTCCGAACCTTAGGTCCCCAGACGTCCTTGGCCTACAAATCCCAGAAATCCTAGCCAGCACAGCTCATCATGAAGGCTTCTGGGCATTGAAGTCCAAGAACATCTGGGGACCTAAGGTTGGAAACCACTGGCCTAGTGGATAGATGGCTGGACTTGGGAAACATGGATTGAAATACCTGTGATGGATGTTCATGGTGGGGTGTTTGATTATCTCACATACTGATTATCTCACATATTGTACCTTGAAAACCCTATTATGGATTCCATATGTCGTTATGATAGCGCATAACGACAAACTAGCTCAACTACTTTGTCTCCCACCGCTTCCCACTTGGAAAATTGCTAGCCTGTTGGGTGCTCTTGACCCAAACAGATCCTCCATTGAAGTTAACCTTTCCTCCTACCTCCGTGCTGGATCCGACCTTCTTCTCCTCCTCCACCCCTTGTCCCTCCACAAATAAGCTGAAGTGGCTGAGAAATTCTCCCTATTAGGGTCATACATACACAATGTCATTGAGTTCCAGGCGTGTGTCCGGAGGAGGGTTAATGAGGACGTAGGACAGCGTGTTTTGGTGGTCGTTCATCTCATCTGCAAAACAACACAGGGGTGAGTTGGAGTAGAATTTTGGGGGCCCATCAATACCCTTCTGTGAAATTCTCATCCCAAGCAAATCCTATTACTGCCTCCCCAGCCAAGTATTCCGTTCGATAATCCTGGTTCTAGATAGTGCATGCAGGAATCATCCCACATCATCCCACTCAAGTGTGGCTTTAGAGAGTGTCTTCCCCAAGCAGGGAAGTTCAAGAATGCATCCATAAATCTGAGAAATTTCACCAGTGGTCCCCAACCTTGTGTCCCCAGATGGTCTTAGACCAAAACTCCCAGAAGATTTCACCACCATCTTTGCTGGCCAGGATTTCTGGGAGTTGTAGTCCAAGAACATCTGGGGACCTAAGGTTGGGAGCCGTTGAATGAACAGATTTCTGGGTGGAGCAGCTCTTCACTATTGCACAACCCACAGAAATTAAGGGTAACAGAAGGAGGAGGAGGAAACTTCCAAAGGTTACGCTGTTTGTGCAACAGGATTTCAGCCTTTCTCTCTCTGTGTGTGTTTGTGTGTGTAGAGGAATCCCCTCTCCACCTTGATCTGTTGAGTAGCTTCCCGTCTGAATTGCCCGGAGCAGATAGAGAGGTCAACGCTTTTTGAGACCTCCAGTCAGTGAGGGGTTCACCCCACTGGCAACTCCACAATTGACGGAGGTTCTCTTAGTAATGTCAGCAGCAGCCTTGAAATCAGATGCTACCTCCCGGGACCGGTAGGAAGTCTTCAAAAGCTGGACTGAGCTGTCCGTGACCAATGTCAGCTTCTCTTTTCAGCTCATCCACACCCTCACTAGGATTCTAGCTGGAGCTTGGCAAAGTTACTTTTTTGGGTTCCAGCCCAAATCTTCCAGCCTATCTGCATCTTCTGAACACTCAGGGACATATGCAAATGAGGATGATGATGAAGAGCATGACTGTTGATGATAATGCGGTGTTGTTGTTTTAAAATGTTGGCTGCTGAAAATCTAAACATGCACCACCCGAACCCTTTCATGCTTATATTGAGGACTAGAAACTTGATTTGCTTCCTTTAAAAAAATGGTGAAATTGAACTTTAAGATGACTTTATCTGCACCAGATGTTTCATTACATATAACTTGAGTCCAAGTCTAGATCATGAACATGCCTTTTACATAGTTGAACTGGAAATCATGTGGAATCACTTGCATTCTACAGGGTTTGCCGTGCATCTCGAAAACCGCCTATGTTAAGCATCATCATGAGCATGAGAACACCAGGAGGGCCAGCTCAGCCAATGTAGTGTGATGAGATGAGAATCAGCCGGCAGAGTTACCACGATGAGGCACATGCATAGCGCTGAGCTGATACACTTCAGAATCTCTTCCTAATCTCTTACTGGGTTCTTCCTGTCTGCCCCTAACTCAAGGAATGGGGAAGTGTGGCCCTTTGGATTTTGTTGGACTGCAACTCCCATGATCCTTCACTGTTGTCTCTGTAATCTCAGGCAGATGGGAGCTGTAGTCCAATAACACTTGCATGTCTACACAGACCTTGTCGTGCAATGTCAATTTTTCACCTTCGGTCCGGCCGACCACAAGGAAAGTGGGGCAACAGCTTCAGGTGGCAGATACCCGATGGTGGTCTTGGAGGAGAATTAGGTGTGCCCCGCAATCTGTCCTGAACTCTCTAGATTGTGGTGTCACTCTCAGATATGGTGGTAGATGCTAATGGTTAGAGCCCATGTGGCGTTTGATTTGACACTAAGGGCCGAAACTCTTTAGCATCACCTCGGCAGGGGAAGCGGGGTGTCGAACTTCCTTTTCCTCCTCACTGATCAGCCCTTAAATGCTCAAAACCCATCTTGGATCAAAGGGGGGGGGATGTTTAATCAGAGCATCTGATTTCCAAAGTGAAGTTAATGCATAACAGCAGCCCTCAAGCTGAGATGCCAGCTCAGGGGGGGTTGCTTTAATTCATGCCAAAGCACGCCAGAGCAAAGAATCTTTTCCTTAGCTACCGTTTCTGTTCTCACATGACTACCTTTTTAAAAAGTCCAAAAGGAAAGAAAGAAATGGAGCTTTTGGTTTTGACTCTCAAGCTTCAACCCAATGTGGTCCCACAAGATCCCTTGATCCACCTGTATTTCTCATATATTCAGGATCTAGAGGGTTCGGCATCAGGATAGGAAGGTTCCAGCTCTCCAGATGTTGTCAGACTTCGATGTTGTCAGACTTCAGTTCCCAGAAGCCCCCAGCCAGCATGGTCTGTGTGAGGCATTATGGGAAGTGTAGTTCAAAACAGCTAGAGGGTCCCACAACCTGGTTTGGAATCCACGATGGGCACTAGGAGCCAGAGAGCGGAAATCAGGTTAAAGAACCCAGTGGGTGAAATTCTGTTTAAATTTTATTTTCATATTATTTTAGTATAATTCTTTTCCCCCCTCCTGTTTTTCTCAGTTTCATGGGCTATATTGATGCTCTCAATTGCATGCTGCTCTAGATACCTAGCAGCGATATGAATTAAAACGTCAAAAATAAAAAATTGCCAGGAAGGAAAAAGCATTAAGGATGGGATTTTTTTATTTGGACTACAAATACCATCATTCTCTATTCTGGAAGTTGGACCTGACAGTCAGACACTGTACAGACGGCTAAATGTGGCTCGCCTGAGAGGAAGGCCTAGCGAGGCCTAGTTTCACCTCACTTCCTGTCCTCAGAGAAAGCTCCCAAGTCGCATTGGGGCAGGAACAGGAAGTTTGGGAGTTCAGGCCTTTCCCTCCAGTTGAGCCACATTCCAACATCTGTACGGCGTCTGTCTGTCAAGTAGCAATCCCAGAATGGAAAATGGTGGCCTATGTGGTCCCAAAAGCCTAGCAAATTTTGGGCGGGTGAAGAAACCGCCACTCCTCCTGCACTGCTGTGGAGATGCCCAGGGAGGCAGTGTCGCCCAGTGGAAAATGCAGCTGCTTTTCATGCAGGCTGTATCCCTACCAGGGGTGACTTCTGCATGCATGCATGCATACATAAATAAATAAAGATTGGGTGGATTTGAATGAAATTTGCATATGCTAATTTGCACATGTATGTGTCCAACAAGGAGGCATCACCGTAGGTTAGTCAGAATTGAGGTGCATCTGCACTGCTGAATTATATCAGTTCAACCTCCTTTAGAGTGGTCCTGATCGGACCAGATAGGCGGGATATAAATAAAATAAAATAAAATAAAATAAAATAAAATAAAATAAAATAAAATAAAATAAAATAAAATAAATAAATAAATAAATAAATAAATAAATAAATAAATAAATAAACCTCACTGCCATGCTAAACGGTCCAAACGTGGCGAGATGCTTAGTTTGAGAAAATGCACTACAGATTTCTAGAAGTGTGTATGTGTGTGTGTGTGTACACACCCATCTGTGCGGACACTCACACACAACCCGGGCTGCTGGCGCCAACGTCAATAAATGAATAAATGAATGAATAAATAAACCTCACTGCCATGCTAAACGGTCCAAACGTGGCGAGATGCTTAGTTTGAGAAAATGCACTACAGATTTCTAGAAGTGTATGTGTGTGTGTGTGTACACACCCATCTGTGCGGACACTCACACACAACCCGGGCTGCTGGCGCCAACGTCAGTGGAGCCAATGAATCTGCACCAAGGTTTATAACCTGAATTTTAAGAGGAGCTCTCCAAGGTCCTGATAGGTCCCACATTTTGAATGCTCTCTAGGAAATTCTGCCAAAAACCTGGCATGGATTTGTTGACCCACAGACACTGGAAGCATCAACCTCCCCCATGTGTGTGTGTGTGTTTATGTCTGTGTTAGAAAGAGACTATGAATTCTTCTCAAAGGATCTCATGCAGAGGCCACCATGATGATCTCCTGGAGTCAGGATCTATCCTTACACTACTGATTAAACACTCATAAATATATATAGTTGGAAGGGGTGATATTTTGGAGGTAAAGAGACAATTAGGAGATATAGTAAAGCACCCTCCAGTAAACTTATCCTTCAAACAATAATCCCAAGGAAATGCTCTCAGGTATTTCCTGAACTTCTCATGTCTTAACAGAGAACACCATCACCCTCAGTGGCCACTCTGTGCCTCCAGTTTAGCATGCGTCAGAGATGTAACACCCTCCATCTTGAGGAGCCCTGTTCTCTCTCATGCCGTTACACCCCGAGTCAATTTTTGACTCCCAGGGGAGGAAGAAAGTTACCTTGCAAATATCCAAGGTTTACCCGATTCATGACATCGCAGGCTGTTAAATTTGCTACATCCTCTACAGAACATACAGAGAAAGAGACGAGACCAAAGGAATCAAAAAGAGAACAAAAAAATAATAATTTTTAAAAAGCACAGACACAAACAGAGAGAAAGAGAAGAGAGAGAGAGAGAGAGAGAGAGAAAAGATCAGCAAGCAACGACTTGGAAAATATCCAGAAAAAACAGCTTTGGTGATCACGTGAGCCAAAAACATAGTCGGAAAATATATACATACATATATTTATTTATATAAAGTAAAGAACAAAAGAAAAAGGAGCTAAACTCATACGCCATGGCTGTGGTGCGGAGCAGAAATGGAGACCGAAACACACAAACATGGATACACGGAAGTCTTGTTAGGATGATGAGTGGCGTTAACGCCTTTGTTCGTGCTTTCTCTCCCCACCTCCAAGTTTTGATCACCCTTCTAGGGCCAAGGATGGGCCAAAGGCGACCTTCCAGATATTCGTGGACTACAATTCCCAGCATTCCTCCCCATTTAGATCTTCAGACCAGCGTATGGGAGTTGGTGTTCGTAGGGATCCATCCATTTCAGAGAATCTGGCTTTAACAAGAGGATCAGACTGCAGTGGTGCCCCGCATGATGACAATAATCTATCCCATTGAAATCACTGTTTAGCGAAATCATCGTCATGCAAAAACCCTTTCCCCATTGGAATGCATTGAAACTTGGTTTAATGCGTTCCAATGGGGAAAATACTTCTTAGTCCAGTGAAGATTGCCCATAGGGAAGCCATTTTGCAAGCCCTGATCAGCTGTAAAAATGGCTGCCCTACGAAGCATGGGTCCAGAAAACACAGGGCAGCCATTTTGCGAAGCCGACGATCATTGGAAAAAATCGTCGTCTTCCAAACAAACGGTTCGCGACGCACGGACCTAATCAACGTCCAGCAAATATCCCCCATAGGAATGACTGTTTTGTGAATCGCTATAGCAATTGCAAAAAGTCATCGTTCTGCGGATTCGTCATTTGGCAGGGTCGTCGTTTTGCAAGGTACCACTGTACACATCTGCCCTACACATCCTCCTCTATTTTTTTTTGTGCCTAAGAAGGTTTTATGTGTATATTTAGGTGTGCAATTTGAACCACAATTTTTTTTACAAAAAGTATCAAACTTACTCTACCAACCCTGAATTTGTGGATCGAAGAGAATGAGAGAGACAGACACAGAGAGAGACCTTCTCCTTTGAAAACAAGACACAAGGAACACAAATATGCTTCCAAGTGGAATAACACTCGTTGTGTGCATTTAGCTCACGATCTAATAGTGTATTTTTGCATGTGACCTCAGTGGAATATAGGCTTCCTAGTAAGCTATTTTAGAGCCTATTGTGAAAATGGATTTTTCGGACAAACGCTGGCTCTACGGCTTGGAGACGGGGATAAGCACCGCGTCCTAGAGTCGAACACGACTGGACTCAATGTCAAGTGGAACCTTTAACCTTTACCTGTGCGATAACTAAATTTTTGCAGGTTTCAAAAAAATATCTAGACAAACTACCATTCCCCCTTACCCCAGTTCTCCTTATTTTGTATAGATTTGCCAATCAATCCTTGATCTTTTCAGCTTTTCCAGATGGTCAACTCACAACATGGACCATTAAGGGTCAGACTAGATCATACATTTAGCAAGTCTTCTCTCCACCCCTCATCAGAGCTGCTCTCACAAGTTTTGAAGGATGTGTGTTTCTTCGCCCATGGATCTTGCATTTAGTGTGCTTTCATTGGAAGGGAAACTTGGCTCCATTTGCAAATCTGAGGGATGTTATCGCTGAAGAAATGTCGGTGTGAAAAGGCTTAATTCTAGAGAATACATGTTTCCTTGAACTTATAAGTTTGACCCTCAACTTTGGAGACTGAGTTCTGTTCTCGAAAAGATGTTTTATGGGATACCAGATGCTGTCTCTTGGACATGCAAAGCCGAAGAAGATGCAAAACAAATAAGGGACCAAACAGCCAATGGCAGAAAAGAAAGCTGAAAAGAAAAGATGGAAAGAAAGCTATGGAATGAAATGTTTTTCAGCATCTCCTAAAGTGAAAGACCTCCCACTCAGCTAACAAAATCTATTTCCCCTGAATTTCTGAATTACAGTGCCCTGAGGCAATCTTATTAAAGACTTCTCCGTCTCTCATAAGGTTCTCAGTATTTCTTTCCCGATTCCATTCATTGACAGCATGTGGAACACAATGGATTTTTTCTCCCCTCTACTGAAACGGTGGCACTTGACAGAATCACAGGAGCATGAATTTCTCATGAGGAGAGCCCTTGCAACATGAGAGTCCGGCTATGACACAACCACAAGATGTTCTTTATGTATGTATGTATATATTCCACCTTTCTCCTACCCTGGAATTCTGGACGGGGAAACCCAGTGGCTGATCACAATTCAGCATAATGCCTCTTCTCTCACGCCCTTCATCCATCAACTTCGTCACTTCGTTAATTACAGTTTTTGATGGGCCAACCTCCAGATCAAGGGTAGGTGAGCCATGCATGGCTGGGCAAGCTGCCCTATAGGCCTCTCCCTTGACACATCCACCCACATCCTTTCCATCGAAGCCACCTCCCCACCCCCAAAAATGTCCTTTTTCTGTGAGAATTTGGCCATTAAAAATAGGAGCCCCTGCTTTGAGCAAATGAATTCAGAGACAAAACTGGAAGCAGAATTTGGGATAAAAATGTGGTGACTTTTCCTTTCCTCTAGACCAGTGGTCTCCAACCTTGGGCCTCCAGATGTTCTTGGACTACAGCTCCCAGAAGCCTTCACCACCACCTCTGCTGGCCAGGATTTCTGGGAGTTGAAGCCCAAGAACATCTGGAGGCCCAAGGTTGGGGACCACTGCTCTAGACATTTCCGGGGATGTGATGGAACCTTAGTAAGTTCCTGGAGCAGAAATCTGGACCTGCTCAGAAGCTCCCAAGTGGCCTGTCCCTGCTCTAGGTAGACCCAAGGTAGGGCATGGAGACTGACAGGCGGGAAGTCTGACAAATGGCAGACGCTACGAACAGAAGGGGGGGGTCCCCACTTACCGTACCCTGTCGTGGGCAAGCCCAGATGCTTCATGCGGTTCTTCACCAGCTCCGACAACTCTTGCCTCTCCGAACGCCGATAGAGGCTCAATCTCTGCTGGTTGATCCATTCTGCCGTCTTGGCTGCGGGCTTGTTGTTCCCTTTCCGGCTCAGCCGGCGCGCCCACTGCATGCTCTTGCGCCGGAGCAAGGGGTGTTCCGATGGGTCGGCGGGGCACGAGTTCCGGTGATGGCTGGTTTTGACGTTCCCTTCTTTGGCGTCTTCGCAGTCTTCGACGTTGATGGAGATCTGTGACTGGGAACACCAGTAGGCCATAAGAGGAAGGAAGGAACGATTCGGGAGGGCCACGACTCATTTGCTCAGCCCCCCACCCCATATTCCATGATCATCATTCTCGGGAGGAGTTGAGAAACAACCCGTTTAGGCTGCCAGGTAGCTACGCGTATGATGGAAATCAGAATAATTGAATAATTCAAGTTTTGCTTGAGAGTTGGGCTTGGCTAGGAGACCCCCAGAGAAAGGGAGGAATCTCCAATGAGGGCTTCGAAAGGATCTCACCCAAAACTTTGGAGAGCTTGTCGAAGTCAACAAAACTGAGCTGGACTGATCAATACAGTAGTGCCTCGCTAGACGATGATAATCCGTTGCACTGAAATCGCGGTCTAGCGAAATCATTGTCTAGCGAAAAGCAAATCATCGTCTAGCAGAAATCAGTTTGTGAAGCAGGAACCAAACATTGTCCAGCGAAATTCCCCCATAGGAATCACTGTTTTGCGAATTGCTATAGCGATCGCAAAAAGTCAATGTCTAGCAAAAAACTGTCATGCGGGGTAACTTTGCATTAACTCTCAGTATACCTAGATAAACATTCATACAAATATTCATATGCATATAGACATAGGCAGAAACCATGCTCACCTGGGTTCTGAGGTCATGAGGCTGCAATTAAAAAAAAAGAGAGAGAAAGAATTTGGAAAATATTATTTTTCAAAAAAGGGGTATTTTATTTAAGATCAAACTACATGTTATATGCAAATTGACATTAGAAGCAGGATAAACTAGGGATGACCTCCATCTAATTAGACAGTGTCTAGATGACTTCCCTATTTCACTTCCAGAGACATCATTTAGGCAAACCTCTGTGACTGAGCCATCAGACTTGCAAGTGAATACTGTATTTACCTCCAGCAGACCAGTTACAAAACAAAGCAAGCTCATCAGCTAACCATGGGATATGTGAAAAGCTTCTTGCTGTTTCCCTTAAGTGCTTAAGGAATTCCCTCATCTAATGATGCGTTGTCTATAACAAAAAGATTAGGGATGGAATACTCAGATTTTTTAAAACTACAAATCGCATGGGAAATGTGAAAAGCTTCTGCCATTACAATCAGATGTTTTTCACACCTAAGGAACTCCTTCTAATGATGGTCTTTAACAAATAGCCTTAGACTAGTGATGGGTTATTCAGAGTTTTTGGGCTACAAATCCCACAGTTCTCCATTCTGGGAGTTCTAACAGACAGAGCTTCACAAACTATTTATTCTCTTTGGCCTTCTTACATCTGTGGTGGAGAACATGTGCGACTCGGTTCTGTAGATGCCGATGGGGATCTCAGCGCTAGAGGAACACAGCTTCTGGAAAAGGCGTCCGTAGGATCGGATCCACAGATCATCCTCTGTGATTTTCATCTATCCCATAAAAGAGGGGGAGGAGAAAGAGAGGGGGAGACACTCTTTTAGCTCCATCCCCCAAAACAGACAAAACCGACCCCTGTTGATTCAAAAGAATGAACCATCATAGACTACCCGTTTTTTTGTTTGCATTTTTTCCATAACAGACTAACAGCATCTTTGTAACGGACTAACAACAGGCTACCTGTTTGAAATTTTTGGAGAAATGTTCTATCTTACAGTGTTCTTAACTGTGGCTGTTGTATCGTAAAACAGTGGACAACTGTCTCGGGTCCCTTATGGGGACAAAGGCAGCACGCCACATATCTAAACAAATAAGGTGCACATCTATTAACATGCAGCCCATTTCACATCCTTAGGTGCTCCGTTTCTAAATACCAGATTTGGGAGTACAAGCAATAAGTCATTGTTACTGCGAGTGTTTCAAAGCAAGCAAAGGTGACCTGCATTCCCCAGAACAGAACACAGATACCATTCCTCGTGGTTCTGTGTGAGAAGAAGAGAAGCAGGAAGGGAGATCCCCACAATGTTGGTGAAAAGGGATAGAGTAGGAAGATGTGATACTTACGGCACAGAGGTACCCTGAGCCAGGGGTGGTGTCAAGTCCCAGCAGCAACCTTGTGATGGTGATCATATAGTCTTTCACAAAAGACTGTGAGCCAGAAAAAGCACCCATTAATAATGTTACAGCCGGCCAACACATTTAATAAATTTGTCAGATTCAAACATAGATGGCCTTTCCAAAGTCTCATCTTGCACCTCTTTGTCGCATGGAGGCAACGCCTGGGAAAAGTTACTTTTCCCAGGATCATCCAGCTGCATCAAAGAGGAGATCGTTTCACATTAAAATAATGCATTTTTAATAGAAGTGTTTCTAAAAACAGCACGTGGTATCTCAAAATGAAAAGGAAGGCGATGGGGAGCCTGTGTGAAGATGAGCAAAGAGGGTTGCTTCTTGAGCCAGGCATAATTTAAGAAATGAACCGGATCTCCCTGTTTTGGAAAGGTTTGGAGCACAAGTTCAGACAGACTTAAAATATTTTTTTTCCACCACGCATTTTGTGTCAGCAGTTGGTGTTGACTCTGAATTTGCAGGAATAGTGGCCAGTCTCTTTCTCATTTTATTCAGAACTCTTTTTTCCCTTAGCATTTTTAATTAATTAATTCTTTATTCATTAAAATTTTAAAAAACCAATTAACAAAATCTTACATACACCCCCCCCCAAGAAATCAATAGTGCATGATAGATTCAGAACCTGATGAGACCTCTCCAAGGTGCTGAAGTCTGTTCATGACCGAGAGGCAATGCTTTACAAGCTGCCATAAAGTTTGGCCTAAAATCCGCAGGGGATCTATTTTCTCCCACAAAATTAGTGCCACCCAAAAAAAGAATATATATATATATTTATATTATACAGGCTACACATTGCCCCTCCAGCAAGCTGAGCACTCATTTTACTGACCCTGGAAGGATCTAAAGCTGAGTAAACTGTGAGCCAGCTGCCAGAATTCGCCGGGATCAAACGCTGGCCGTGAGCAGTGTTTGGGCTGCAATACTACATTTTTGACTACTGTACCACCAGCCTCGACTGATCTTTGCTGGATTGCCCAACAACGTTTAACTCCGAGACTCATCCCTGGACACACACCTTCCTCACTTTCTCACCTGGTACAGGAGGGTGTCCAACATACTGATGCTGAAAACCCTTCCGGCAGCGAACGGGAGGCGGAACATGAAGGCCAAGTTGGACCCGTTCTCTCGCTCTTTCTGCGGGGAAAAGGGAACGGTTGGAAAGAGAAAGAGAGAGAGACGAGCGAAAAAGTGGTTTGTTTAAATCAGATCAAACAGCTCTTAGTCCCATATTCCCGTCTAACGTCAATGTGGCCAAGGATTCTGTGAAGTGACCAGAGGCGAAGTGACCAGGTTCTGAAACCTCGGAACGAGTCGGGCCCAAAGTAAGATCTACCACAAGGAGGTTTCCTAGCTTATTATTTTATTCAGCCTTTTAGTCAGAACCGTGAAATCCAGATTTCTAGTCCAGTCTTCGGGGAGATAAAACAGGTCCACTCCATCCTCTTTCGAACGACACACTTGCTGAGTTATTCTGAGGGTTATCGTCCAAAACGTTTTAACTTTTCCAAGCTGCAGAAGAGACTCTTTCCTCAAAAGTCTACAGAACTAAATCCACCAATAGAGATATTCTGTGCTTTTTGGCAGGGTGTCCATACGAGTGCACACACATCGTTTTATAAGTCGGTTTTTAATCAAATCACAATATTTTCGGGAGGGGAAATGAGAACGTGGATGCTGATCCAAAGTGGAATGGAGGAAAACTCAACACCTCCCACATTTCTGTTTGAAATGCACCTCAGCGCATGGAGAACCCCCGTCTTAAAATTTTGATGTGACTAACGAATGTGCAGACAGAACACAATCTAAAGAGCCGAGTGCAAGGATGTGAAGCTAAGAACGCCTGCGTGAACATCAGCATTGAGAATCTGGGGGAAAAAAACAGTGTTTCCCCCTCCAAAATACAGTTTCGTCTCCTGAACGCCTTCTTTGATCCATCGGTTTAAGACCCTAAGAGCCAAGATCACCAAAGTAAAAAATTTATTACCTTTTCTAACTTGGACAAAGCCAGCGAATAACTGTCTTTCGCTCGGAATTGCATGAACCTCATGTTGGAAGGGTGCGTCAGCTCCGTGATGATGCTTAAGCTTGGGAAAAGCCTGGAATAAGAGGGGAGACTTGCTTTAGCCTCGGCCGTATGTACAAGTATCATGAGAAGACCACTCTCTGGGCTGAATTATAAAGCTGTTGTCCTGTTCCATAAAATGTCCCACTGGAGGTTTCTGGAGAGCACCCCCTTCTAGCAACACCCCTAATCTACAGTATGTCCCCTTGCGATCCAGAGATAGTCAGCCTTTGATGGAGGTCTTAGAAGGGTAGAGTCTGAAGGAACACGCAAGGTTTTCTTCTTCAACATAGGCTATCCACAACTCAAGCTTCTCTGCCAGAGGGTCATCCAATCTCTGCTTGGACACCTTCAATAAAGAAGACTCCACCATCTTCTGAAGCAAAATGGGTTCATCCATCTCCTACATCCAGTCCCACCGAAAATGACCATCATGTTACCAACTCAACCTTCTCTTCGTCAAGCAAACCCGTCCCAACTACGTTACTCATAGGGAGGGTTTGGTTTAAGGCCCTTTGCTGCCTTGAGTGTCATCTTCTGGAAAGGTTCTACCTTGTTCACCTCCTTCCCAAACTCTGGCACCCAACCCAGACCCAATATCTTGACTTTGACCTCAGTGGAATGGGGTAGTTGGACTCTTACTGCTGTTGGTTTGGTTGGATAGCTCGGTGGGTTGGGAATCTGGCTGTGGAGCCAAAGTTTGGGAGTTTGATTCCCCCACGGTGACAGAAGAGCCAGCCTGGGTAGCCTTGGGCAAGCTGCACAGTCCCAAGGATGCCCCCTAGAGGAAGGGATGGGTAAAGCACTACTATTCTACACCTAGAAAACCCATCATAAGGGCTTCTAAGGCAGGGTTGTCATCATCATCATCATCATCATCATCATCATCATCATCATCATCTTATTATTATTATTATTATTATTATTATTATTATTATTATTATTATTATTATTATTATTATTATTATTATTATTATTATTATTATTATTATTATTATTATTATTATTATTATTATTATTATTATTATTATTATTATTATTATTATTATTATTATTATTATTATTATTATTATTATTATTATTATTATTATTATTATTATTATTATTATTATTATTATTATTATTATTATTATTATTATTATTATTATTATTATTATTATTATTATTATTATTATTATTATTATTATTATTATTATTATTATTATTCCTTCTCTTGACGTGGAGGTTCCATTTCATCACGTTCTGTCAGCAAGGATGGTAGAGACCACCCAACCTTCCGAATGCTCTTGACCTCACCTGAACATAGTCTGGACGTTGACAATGGTCTTGGCGTCGGCCATGTAATCCTCTTCGGCGCTCATGGTGCTCTCTTTATCCACCACCACCAAATTGTCAGCGTAGATGATGCCACATTGCAGCAAACTGTCGAGGCTGGGGGAGGGGGGGAGAGAGTTTATCACCCCGGAAAGACGGGTAGAGATCAGGGCACTTTATCAAACTGAACTTGGAAGCAACACTTTTGCAATTAAGGGTGTCACCCCTTTGACTTAAGGCCAGACGCTCTGAGCCTCCGATCCAAATCTTGATAAAATATTTGCGTGCAAGGGAATCTCCTAAGGGGAAGATGTCACTAACTGCACCAAAATCTGGCTTCCTGTAACTCGAGCCCATTGTTGCATGTCCTGCACTTGGGGATGATTGAGAACAGATCTTGCCCCTCCTCTGTATGACAGCCTTTTAAGTATTTGAAAAGTGCTGTCATATCTCCCTACAATCTTATCAAGGAATAGCGAAGTCCCATTAGCTTTACACACTGATTCAGGATAATAGCCTTTCCTCCGTTAAACCAGATCAAGGCATATGATGTTTGAAACAAAACACAAAGCCAAGGTCCAATCCCTCATGATTCCGAAGCCCAGCAAAGATCCTTACTTATCAATGGTCCCTTCCATGTAGTAAACCATGGGGAAACAGCAGATGGCTTCGAGGAAGTGGTGGTCGGGCCTATAAAAGGAAATGGAAATAGCTAAGTGGGTGTCTCTGGTTTTGCCCAAATTATTCACCCCGCTCGTGCGACGGCCCTTCCCAAACCCTGTGCATTGATTGGGGAAAATATAAAATACTTGCTTGTTGTCCAGCAATAACACGATAGGGTTTAATTCTTTCTTTGACCGATAGTAGGCACGGAGAGGGACTATGAAGTTATACAGGCCGTTCCCGGCTGTCTCGGCCGAAACAATGATCAGCTTGTTCTTAAAGCCGTAAGCTTTGGCGTCCTCGTAGCTGTTGTGTTTGCAGCCCTAAGAGAAACACAAGAAAACATTTTGATCTTTACCGGCTGGTCTCTGCCTTCCATCCCTCCTTATCTGCTGGTCTCAGGTGCGTTGACGTCCCGTCAGGCTGGAATCAACTTATACTCAAAGTCAGTGAGACATTTAAGAAGTGGCTTTACCCGTTCCGCATTCCAAGTGCATTTCTATACCTGGGCAGAGATTCGAACTCAGGTTTGCTGAATCCTAGCGCATCCCTCTAGGATTCTGCCACCAACCAGGCTAGCTAAACAGTGCAGGGTTAAAAGAGCCGAATGCTATTTTGAAGCTATTTCCAAATTGATTTTCAAGACCCCCCACGAAAGGATGCATCAATGTGCTGGAGATGCCCCAAGACTCACCTTATCCAAGCGAAGACAGCAGAAGGGCGCTTTCACGGGTAAAAGGTGGCACAGGGTCGGAGAACTGCCGATGTACGGGGAGTTGGGAGGGTAACCTTTAACATACCTATAGAATTAAAAAAAGAGAGAGATTTCTCTGTGGGCTTAACAGACTCTTAACGGTTTCATCAATTAAAAAAAGCAGACATAGTAACAAACAAGTTGTCAGACAAACAGTACAGTGGTGCCCCGCTAGACGATGATAATCCGTTCCACTGGAATCGCTGTTTAGCGAAATCATTGTCTAGCGAAAAGCATTTCCCCGTTGGAATGCATTGAAACCTGTTTAATGCATTCCAATGGGGAAGAATCGTCGTTGTCTGGTGAAGATCGGCCATAGGAAAGCCGCTTTGAGAACCGCCGATCAGCTGTTTAAATCGCTGTCTTGCGAAGCTTAGGTCCTGAAAACACCTGTTTTGTGCACACGGAGGGAGCTGTCAAAATCGTCGTCTAGCAAAAATTGGTTTGTGAAGCAGGGAACCAAACATCGTCCAGCGAAATTCCCCCATAGGAATCACTGTTTTGCGAATTGCTATAGCGATCGCAAAAAGTCAATGTCTAGCGAAAAAACTGTCATGCGGGAGGTCACAAATTGGGGGGTGTCCTTCCCTCCAAATAAGGTACGTGGTGGCGCTGTGGGCTAAACCGCAGAAGCCTGTGCTGCAGGGTCAGAAGATCCGGCAGTCGTAAGATCGAATCCAGGTTTGTGAAGCAGGGAACCAAACATCGTCCAGCGAAATTCCCCCATAGGAATCACTGTTTTGCGAATTGCTCTAGCGATCGCAAAAAGTCAATGTCTAGCAAAAAAACTGTCATGCGGGGGGTCACAAATTGGGGGGCTTCCTTCCCTCCGAAATCAACTCCTGTTTCTACTCAAGGGGAACCTTTACCTTTTACCTTCCCTCCAAAATCGACTCCTGTTTCTACCCCCCAAAAAATCTCTCCCTCCAAAGTTGCTTGGAGGTTTCGCAGGCATAAAAACCAGTAGAAGACTGTAAGCTCAGTCCTAGATTATTATTTTTAAAAGAGGCAGTATGGTATAGTGGCTATAGAGCTGGGCCAGTTCAAAAATCTAATGGAGCTGAGAGACTCAGATCTGGTTGATTGTTGTCTCCGGGGCCTGGCCTACCTCGCAGGGTTGATGTGAAGGTAAAAAAAATGGGAAGGAGAAAGCTGTATTTCGCACTTTGAACTCCCTGGAGAAAAGGCAGGCTGTAATGGGACAATAAATGACAAAAGGATGAATTTTGGAGCATCGGAGACAGAACCGCAAGAGGGCAATGTGGCGTCATCTTAAGAGGGAGAGATTTCCTCCGGCTTCTGCTGGCTCTCCTGCCGTTCTCTCCCGAGAATGCTACCCAGCGATATGGTTGAAATGCAGCCGGGAAGGGGAAAAAAGCCGTTAATGGCAGATTAATTTATGCAAATGGGCCATTAGCGTGGGATATAATAATAGATTTGGATGTCAGCATTGCACCGAACGGCGAGTTAAATTCTTGTAATGCTCCCTGGCTTTTTTACTGAGTGTTTTCCTACATACCAATGACACTCCTGCCAAAAAAAGTCACCTGGCATGACTGTAATAGGAACATATTTGTATTTTTTTGTGATCAGGAGGTCTATAACCCCAAGGAAAGAGGGCAGGCCCTTATCATCAAATACATCTGCAAGTTGGCCTAGAGATGAAGAGAATCACCCCCACGGCATGCTCTCGCTTTGGGGGCACGGCCGCTGTTTCTTCGAGAAGCAGGACAGCTAAAAGAAAAGCAAGGGGAAGGGAAAGGACAAAAATAGGGTGGCACGTTCCATGGCTAGCGGATTTATTTCAGTGTGAGTCCTTGTGGGTCAAAATCCGCTTCTTCGGACACAGCTTTAGCTTTTATTCCCCACAACTGGCTGGTTGTGCAGCCCGGCGCACAATGGAGAATCCAAAATGCCCCACTCCTTGAATGCTAGCCATTTGACCCCTGTAAGGGATGCCACGGCGTTTACGCCGTTGTGTGTAAGCCCTACATTTCCCGCCACCGTTTTAGAAAAGGAGAGTCCGCCCACGGGTTGAAAATCAGCATGAAAGAGAGAGACAGAGAAGGTTCACTGACTCTACCACGGGGAGGCCTTCCTCGTCCGACGGAGTCATCTCATCCTCCGATTGGTCGCTCAGCATGTCGCACGGCAAGAGCGAGGAGCTGTCGGCCACCTCCAGGACCGGGGCGATGCTGGGCCTCCGTTTCCCAGAGCCGTTCTCCGCTGGCAAGGTGAGCTTGCTGTTTTTGGCAGGGCGGCACTCCGTGTTCTGCAGGTCCATGGCTACGGTGCCTGCAAACGGAAAGAGAAGAAGCAACAAGAAACATTGCTCGCTTGCGCCACCGGGACAGCTGGTCGCAAGCGGGAACTGCAGGCACAGCAGCTCCTGCGTAAAATTTGACCCTCTGTGGTCCTGCGTTCGGTGCCTCCCATGGATGGTCATATTCAAAGCTTGGAAATGTTGCTTTTTCAGAACCACAAGTCTTGGAATCCTCCACCAGCATGGACTGTGTTGCCAGGGATTATGTGATTTGTAGTCCATAAAGTCTGGCAGCACTGGCTAACATCTCTAAATGGCCTAATTGTTCAAATATGTGCACCTACTCTTTCTCTCCCCAGTAATCCTTTCAGGATCCTGTCCCAGTGGAGAAAGGCAGGGAATGGAGCACCAGGTTCGTGACTCCTGAGCCTTCTTGTTACACCAGCCTTGAGAGCAGTGTAAAAGGAAGGCTCAGGAGTCATAAACCTGGTGCTCCATTCCCTGCCTTTCTCCAGTGGGACAGGCAGGGACTTGGTTGTACTAAGCCTGGGAAACTAAACTTCCTCCTCCATGCTCTTCCCCGCTTCACATTATTGACATAGCATACGACATCCCAAAGTTCCAACTCACGGTCTCATCTTTGGGCTCTGAAATCTCAGCGTATGGAATACTGGCACCCTTACTGGTAAATGATGTCAAATGGAACTGGACAATTAGCAGGGTCAGTACCTGGAGGAGAAACCCTACCAAGCCCCCAAATGACTTAATGCAAAACATTAAACTAGGAGGAGACTTTTGGAGGCCAACAGGTTGCATTTTGCCCTCCTGACAGGTCAATATTTTGGAAATATATGATGGATGTTTTATCCAGGAGACATAGATCACCGACTCAGATGTGTGTTTACTTTCCATATTCAGCAGCAGCTGAGCCTCCTGCAGGAAAGACTTCCTGTGTGTGTGTTGTGTATGCATGGGTATGTATTTTTAAATAGATCTTTTTCACATGAATCACAAGGGTCCATTTTCTCCTGCAAGGTGAGTGTAGGCGGCTTAATGATCGGGCTTGTGTTGTGACGTTACACGAGCCCCGTCTCACCCAGCCTGGTGGGTCTCATCTTAGCCATGAATCATGGCTCCCTTTGAAATCCAGGGGCAGGTTCTAATGGGTGAGCTGGGCAGTTAGAGCGGGTGTGATGTAGAGAACAAGCCTTGACTCAACTTGGAGGGGGAGGAAAGCGGCATGGGAGCAAAACCGAGCAGAGAACTTGCTGCGTGGGTGGAAGGCAGCCGAGATGGTAACAAAACAGAAATTCAAGGGAAGTAAAAAAAAAATGCACTGTTGCGTTGCAAATGGCCAGAGATGTTGGCAAGTCTTTGGGTCCGAGTCCCAAGTCTGAGTCCAAGTCTTTGGAACCAAGTCCCAAGGCCAAATCTTTGGTCCCAAGTCCCAAGTCTTTGATACCAAGTCCCAAGTCTCAGTTTTGGCACCAAGTCCCAGTCTTTAGCACCAAGTCCCAAGTCTTTGATACCAAGTCCCAAGTCTCAGTCTTTGGCACCAAGTCCCAAGTCCAAGTCTTTGGAACCAAGTCCCGAGTGCGAGTCTTTGGTACCGAATCCCGAGTCCCAAGTCGGGCTGTTAATTAATGTCACTGAAAATTAATCAGTTCCTCTGACTTTTGATATGGCGGGGGGCGGAGGTTCACAGTGCTGCCTTGGAATAACGTGCCTCCAGATATTTAGCACCCGTCGCTCGCTTTGTCTACACTGCCTGGTTATACCAGTTCGAATCCACTTTAAGTGTCATGGCTCCGTCCACGGTTTGGTGAGGGACTTAGGGTTCTGTCCTAGTGCTTGAATGCATGTCCCCCACCAAACAGAAGCGACGTTGAAGCCCGCGGCCAAACGAGGAACCCCAGGATTGCATCGCGGGAAAACAGCATGTTTCACCATCAGAAAAATGGAGTACTGTATAGAGAAATTCTTCTAACTTCCTTTCCCTCCACCTCCCAGTATAAAAGAAAAACTTTGAAAAAAATGTGCTCTAAAAAGTTTTTAGATATTTGGAAGCACATCACAGCTTTCCTACAAGGGACTCATTCCCTGCCTTTGAAGCCGGGCTTCCTTGCTTTTAATTCTCCCCTGGAAGCTTTGATTAATATAGTTACGCAAGGAGAGCTTTGGCATTGCTAGCAGCCATCTTGGGCTCTTCTCCAACTGAATGGAGACTCATTTTCTGGGGAAATGAATTGCGCTGTCCCTCATTGGTTGTATGAGATACCTTGCTGCCGAGGAACAAGGCCACACACTGGATAATGCTAGTAGATCGCTGTTGTGCGTAGTTGAAGTCCAAGAACATCTGGAGGCCCAAGGTTGAGGACCACTGCTCTACCGGGAATAAATCCGAGCAATGGAAGGAAGAAGAAAGATGGGGGGGAAGGGAACACGGTTTGTGGGTGTGTTGGTGCTAGTAGATCGCTGTTGTGCTCTACCGCGGATGGGTGTGTTGCTTTTCGGGCAGGAACGGTTAGTGTCTGCCTGTCCCTGTCTTGTTATTTCTGGGCCAGGACTCACATGGGCAGGTGAGAACAAAGGGAGGTGAGTCTAGTCCTTCAGTTCTCGTGGGATTACGATTTCCATCAGCCTCGGATAGCATAGCCAATGTGAGCGAGGATGGGAGCTAAAACCCAGAACATCTAGAGGGGCAAGATGCTTTGGCTTAAAATGGCAACAGCACCCCAGTTTTACCTTCTAGGACAAATTATCAGCGTGACTCTGTGTTTCCTGATGGGTTGGGAGGTCTTGCCAAATTATCACCCCAACTGTGTGTTCCCTGATGGGTTGGGAGGTCTCACTAAATTATCGCAGTGACTCTAGGTTCCTGCATGGGTTGGCAGGTCTTACCAAATCATCACTATGCCTCTAAGGTTCCCTGATGGATTGGGATGTCTCACCTAATTATTATCGTGATTCTGTGCTCCCTGTCGGGTTGGGCTGTTTCAACAACGATTATGCTAACCAACCAGGAAGGGAAAAGATATCCTTGAAGGAAATCACATTTAACACTCAAGAAAGGGTAGGCCAAAAAATGTCCTTCCAGATGTTCCCGGACTGGAACTCCCAACTTTGATCACTAATTGGCTATGCTCGCTAGGGCTCAACAGATCTGAGAGGCAAATCTTTGCCTCTCTGGGTTTTAAGCCATAATAAAAGGGGATGTGGAGGAACAGAAGATCTACTACTAGCCTTGAAGGATCACGGACAGGAGATTCCTCGGGCGCAACTTACCCATGCTGGCAATGATGCTGTGAACAGGCAGTCGAGACGGACCATCATAGATGCCCTTTCCCGCAAATCCTTTCTTCTTTTGCTTCTCTTCCTGCTTGAAAATGAAGGCCGAGTTCTCCTCCTTGGTGATGTTGATGTAGAAGCAAGTGTCCGAGGCGGTCATGATGTGACGCGGCCCCGGGTTCAAGAGGATGCTCTTGTTCTCTTCCCTCCTTACCCCCATCAAGCAGACGCCATACCTGAAAGGAACCCTGGATGAGGAGGATCTATTTATGTATTTCTTTTTGAATAAATAAAGGTCCGGAGGTCTTTTGAGTAGCTGTTCCTAGCCTACGGAACTCCCCACCAAGGGAGGATAATTTCACCTTCCATCGGCAAAAAACATCCTTCCACAACTGCCTGCCTGAGAAGGACCGGGTTTCGATGGATGTCCTGCCCCTCATAATTTTTACCCACCCTTGCAACCATTTGGATGCAGATGTTTCTACACCGTTTTCCAGTTAATGGCCCAATTTTTTCACAAGTCAAGCTGGTGGGCCACAGGGGTGGGCAACCCTCCAGATGCTGCAGGGGGGGCACCGTCAACCCCTAGTCCGCATAGCCCATGGCGAGGCAGCCTCCTAAGTTGCCCCTCCCCCCCTCCCCGAGTGATAGGCTGGGATTTTTCCGCTCACTTTTTGTGGGCGTGGAAAGAGGCATAGGTGAAACTTTTCCCTTCGTATTCCATGAAGAACTTGCTGTCTCCCATCCGGATGTGGTAGACCTCGTTGCCCGAGCAGCGTCCGTACATCCTCTGCCACTGCTCCGGCGATTCCTGACCCTCTCTGGAAGAAGAAGAAGAAGAAGAAGACGATGATGGCAACGACGGCGACGACGGCAACGACGGCGACGGCAACGATGGCGACGACGACGACATCAGGGGCCCCTTAGGATCCTGAACAAATCAAATTCAGAACCCACAGCACCCAGGCTGAATAGACAGCTGGCCTCAGCTCTTGCGGAATTGATGGGTGGGAACTATTAGCAGTAGGCACTGTGAACTAAGGACCCGCTGGACCAAATCATGTCCGGTTCTCAACAGGTTTCCCCACCCAGGTGTTCTCGGACTGCAACTCCCAGAAGCCTTCCCCACTAACTACGCTGTCTGAGACTTCTGGGAGTTGCAGTCCAAGAACACCTGGTTTACTCAAGGTTGGGAAAAACTGCTCTCGAGCGCATGAGGAACTCGTCATTGTGGAGTGGATCCACTCTGGGTTTTAGTTTGACCTGTCAAGGGGGTGCCCAAGGTGCTGAATTAACATGTGGGAGGTGTCCCTTCTTGTATAGGTCCTGTAAAAGTTTGGGCTAAAACTCGGAGCGGCGTTAAACAACCCCACTTGACATTACAGCCTCTGCAGGTCCCTCAAAGGGGTTCTAGACTGGCCGCTAAAAGCCAAGAGATAAAAAATGAGTCACGCCACGAGGCACTGAGCCATCATGCGCTTGCCGGGCGTTTCTTAGACAATTTGCTGGGATTCTTCACAGTTCAAGACTCAGCCAGATGAGACCCTTCCAGACCAAGGAGAGGCAAGTAAGCGGAGGCGTCATCTTTTATGACAAGCCACAACAGGAAGAGTTGCTGAACCGTTATTTTTAAAAGCCGTCGGCAAAGCGTGACCGAGAGAGATCAGGTTGAAGTGTATGAATCTGTGAAGCAAGTGTCTGTGAAGAAAGATGCCAGGTTTTCCTAAAATCACTGAGCTTTAGAAATATAGTAGAGTCCTGCACAGAACACACACTCTTTTCTTTAATTGATCAATTACTTCGGACTAAAACCCAGGGTGGATCCGTGGCTTCTGCAAAATTGGATCCACCCAGCTCCACCCAGCCTCTTGCATCCTTCAACACCAGCTGGGGATGAATAAATTACTTACTGCCCTCTGGAAGTGTGAACGAGAAGAGTAATGAGGGTTGAGGTTGCCGGGCAGACACAGTTGAGAGCCAGCATGGCATACTTGCATTCTTCTTCACAGACCACGTGATCTGAAATTGAGGAGTCGCCTGCTGTTATTCCTAGAGTAAAATTCAGCATTTTCATACGGCTTCTGCCACCACACCATTTGATCCACCCTGCCCAAGACTGTTACACATTTGTTTTCTTCAGGGTGGCATTAGCAAAGAATGAGAGTTGTAGATCTACAACAACTGGAGATTCTCTCATGGCTTACCCCTGCACCTCATATAATAGCCGTTTCATCCGAATCCACACCAGTGTGCTAATATTACAATCCATTTAGGGGTCAGGCTACCTCCAACCACCAGGTGGGGCTCCTAATCCAAGCACTTTTTCTCCTAGGGTCCAAGTGCACATTTAGAGAAATCTGTTTCTAGAAAGAGTGCTCCCTCAAGCAACAAAAAGGTGTAACTGTCAGAGAGAGAAATTAAAAGAGGAAGAGCCATTGACCACTATAATGTAACCAAGAATTTTGTTTCATGTCTAATTCTGGAGTCACACAGAACAGAGCAGATCCCGTTGCTGAGGAGGAAACATTTGAAGAGCAGGACAGAGACATATCTTCAAATACCGTATTTTTCAGTGTATAAGACTATTGTCTACAATCTTTAGACTAAAAATTAAGGGTTGTCTTATACACGGAGGTAAGCTGAGAAGAGAACAAAAACAAGTGGAGGGGGAAGCAGGGATCAAAGCGATCCCGCAGCGCTTTGATCCCTTTCCCCCTACACTTGCTAAGCCCCACTTAGATTTCTTAATTTTGGATCAGAAAAATGGGGGGTGTCTTATACATGGGGGCGCCTTATACACAGAAAAGTATGGTATGTGTTTTTTTCATTCAAGGAGGCGTCTGAAGGATAAGAAGTCCTCAAGAGGGAAAGGCAACCGTTCCTCCACCCTGTCTGGACACAACAAATTTACGATGCCTCTTTCAGATGGCAGTTCTCTCCCGTGAGACCAGTGCTCTTTCCATCTGCTGCTGCCTCCCTGATTTATAAGCCCAACGCCGCTGGGCTGTTTCTTTAAAATGCTGTTTCATTCCAGCCTTTCTGTAGAACCAAGATGCAACCCAGCAAGGGGCCTACAGTATCTAGCCAGAGCGGTCCAACCCCAGGAAGCTAGGAAACGGGATCCTTTTAATGTCCCAGTTCCGCGGCGGTTGATTAGACACAGGGGGAAAAAAATTCATTGTATTTCCCCCCCAACACCATCCATGTTTTTCGCCGATAAGGAGATATTCAAAAGAACAAAGAGGGAGAAGGAGAAGGAGAAGCAGCCGCTACCCAGGGAATAAATGAGAAGCAGGATGAAATAAACGGTGGTGCAGGACGATCACCCTGAAATGGTGATTGATAGTGGCAAAAATAGAGGAAAACGGGGAAAATAGAGAGAGATGGGTTTTTTTTAAGTTGGAGCTATTATGATTGGCAAGCTAACATCCAGGTTCAAATTCTTGTTCAGTCATGCTCTGTGCATGATTTTGGAGTAATAACGGTCTTTATCTCAGCCTCTTCTGGTCTACCTCACAGGGTTGTTGGACTGCCCCTTCTTAATACAGTTATTGCTGATCTCTTGAACTCTGTTTCCTTCAATCTTGGCAGCTAACATCTGTTAGGGTGGGTCAGGCCTAAAGCTGATGTTCCCCCAAACTGGGTGGTCATCAGATTTTTGGGGGGGGGCTAGAACTCCCATCAGCCTTCACTACTAGCCAAGAGTTCTGGGAATTGTAGTCCAAGAACATCTGGGGACCCAAGGCCTAGGTACATCTGGGGACCCAAGGTGGGGAACCACCGGCCTAGGGCCTTATCTCGTTGGCTTGGGCTGATCTTAAGTAGTTCTCTACCTAATTTCAAAAACCCCTTGAAAGGAATCAAATTAGTCTTCTGTTGGCCCCACAGCACACGTCATCTCTGTTGATCTGTGGATGATGGGTGCTACAGGCAGACACACTGGGGAGTGGGGAAGATGTAATACAGCAGATGTTGTGGGGCGGGTAGGAGTGAGAGAGAAAAAGGGGTGTCTTAAGGAGAAGGCATAGTACAGAGAGAAAGAGAATCGATTAGCTGATATTCATTTAGTTCTTACCACCCTGCTTTCAAACCTTTCCACTGTCAGACTGTGTCTGTGAAAGGTTGCCTCAAGGAAATGGGGCCGTCATCATGTGCTGCCTTGTGGATGATTAGGGCTGCTAATAGCCCAAGGTATATTATACCAGGTTTGAATTTAGAAAGGTTTCTGGAGCATTTTCACTTCAATTGGACCTTCTACCGTTCGAAACCAAGAAAGAAATTATATTCTTTCCTTATAATTTCAGCTAATGTCCAAAGAGGTGAGTTAGAAAGAAAGAAAGAAAGAACGAACGAACGAACGAACGAACGAACGAACGAACGAACGAACGAAAGAAAGAAAGAAAGAAAGAAAGAAAGAAAGAAAGAAAGAAAGAAAGAAAGAACCATACCAGCAAATTTTACGTGAAACTTATTCTCCGGCTTCAAAATCTGAACATAGAGGGGACAATTTGGAGCAAAATCTTTCACCGCCCAAGCCCTCAAGATGGTTTGATGATCCTGCAGAGAGAAAAAAAACAGAACAAGGATCAGAAACGTGTTTGGTACTTTTGTAGAAATTGCACCCTCTTTTCTCCAGTCCTGGGCTGTTGGGCTACAAGGCCCATCATCCACAGATAGGGAGTAATGATGGGTGTTGCGGGCCCAGCATGTCCGTGAACTGGAACATCCAAATACTCTGCGTGCATCCGGTATCAAAGCAAAGGACAAAGCCAATGCTGAAATCGTGATGCGAAGCTGGGGAAGCGAAGCGGTCCGAGGAACCCATAACCTATAGGGGGGTGCTCGGAGAGGAGCTGAGTGTATGCGTGGATTAGATTTGCCATCTGCAAATTGTTCAGGGGCAAAAATTAGAGAATCGCTGTATTTTAGCTTTATTTCCCAGCAGGTAAAGTTAGTTTCCCAACAGGAGAGGGAAGCAATCTGTAGCCAGAAAGAAGATTTTTCTCCAAATGGCCACTTACCGCGGCTGTGCGATCCACCTCATTCCGGCTGCTCAAGATAAAACAAGCTTCCCCATTGTCCATTCTGGAAAAAAAGCAGTTAAATAAATTCAACAGCGACAATTCTGAGATGCTGAGAGTAGTTTTTAAAAAGGGGACTTTTCCAAGCAGCAAACTCTTATCTTTTCCTTTCCTGCTTACAAACAGGAGATGATTGGAGGCGATTCCCAGGTTGGAAGAGAATGACTTAAATGTTATGGTTTTTGGGAAACTGGTTTAAGCATGGAACTCTTCCATGGATGGGCCCTGCAAAATTGGGAATAGACTTTATGATTTGGGGACTTTTCTGGTCACCTACGGTGCACAGCCTGATGAAGTTTGACGAGCTTGCTGGCGGAAGAGAATGACTTAAATGTTATGGTTTTGGGAAACTGGGTTCAGCCTGGAACTCTGCCATGGATGGGCCCTGCAAAATTTGGAATAGACTTTATGATTTGGGGACTTTCTGGTCACCTACGGTTTGACAAGCTTGCTTATCTGGGTTAACTTCACAAAGAAATGTCCCATCCACGCATTAATATTTTTAACAGCATCTCTGCACAGATGCTCAGCCCAGATTCGCGTCTTCAGGACAGAAACCCTTGAGAATCGCTTCCTAGTCTTGTGGAGACCAAAGAATCCATCTGATCGACCAGATTAATGCTGATCAACAAGAAGGCACAAGAACGGATGTTTCACAAACTTTTGGGAAAGTTGGTGGCCGGGCTGAGCCCACCTCCCTCCTCTTCCGACTCACTTTGCTCTCATGAGGTCCTGGTCTTTCAAGGCAGACCCCTGGAGGTAAATCACCCGCTGAGACCACAATGGGATCTGTAGGACCCGGCGGACCTGAATATCCATCTCGGTTGGACACAGGATCACCACGTAATAATCCTGAAAGAAAACAGAAAGGCGTGGAGCAATGCAGCCTTCCTTAAGAGCCACGCTGGGTCAGAGGGGGGAAGGCCTGTCTGTCTGGTCCACTGTTTTGTCCCTGTGGTAAGCAACCAGGTACAGTGGTGCCTTGCTAGACGATGATAATCCTTTCCACTGAAATCGCTGTTTAGCGAAATCGTCATCTAGCAAAAAGCATTTTTCCCATTGGAATGCATTGAAACCTCTTTAATGCGTTCCAATGGGAAAGAATTGCCATTGTCTAGCGAAGACTGGCCATAGGAAAGCTGGTTTGTGAACCGCCGATCAGCTGTTTAAATTGCTGTCTTGCGAAGCTTAGGTCCTGAAAACACCCGTTTTACGAGCGCAGAGGGAGCTGTCAAAACCGTCGTCTAGCGAAAATCGGTTCGCGAAGCACGGACCAAACATTGTCCAGCAAAATTCCCCCATAGGAATCACTGTTTTGCAAATTGCTATAGCGATCGCAAAAAGTCAATGTCTAGTGAAAAAACCTGCCATGCGGGGTAACTTGTTTAGTGAGGCACCACTGTATTTGGGAGAAGACCACCAGCAGAATATAAACACAACAGCAAAAGTGTGAAGATTTAGGATTGTGGACTGCATGTCCCACATTTCTTGGAGAATTTGTGGAAAATTCAGGGCAGAGCGAAACCATACAGAGCCCTAACTCTTTTCTGCAGTTCCTCCGGTTCAGAGAGGAGCATCTGACCATGGCCAGGGAGGTAGCTTTCTGCTTTTGCAGCTATAAATATCAACAAGGGGGGGTTGGCACATCTTTCCACCACTACACTTTGGCACTCTCGAAATGTGGATCGAGGTCCCGGTTGCCCTATCCTTAGCAACAGCTTGACCTTGCCCATCAGCGTTGGACTTTGGAGATTCCTGAGGAGAATTCCTACAGAGCCATGAAGCTCACTGGGCGATCCTCGGGGTAATATGTCTCTCTTTGCCTGAACCTACCTTTCAAGACTGTCGTGAAGGCCAAGAGGGAACAAAGAAGACCATTATCACTTGCTTTTGAGGTCATCAGAAGAAATGTAAAAGGTAAACATCAACTAGATAAGGAAGTAAAGGCAGATGGAGCCAAGCTTTACCTGCAGCCTAGGGTGCGCGTAGAACTCGTTGAGGAAGTCCATGAGGAGGTCGATCTTGAGGGAGCTGACGCAAAGGACGACGTGCTTCTCCGTCTGCGCCCGGTGGCGGCTGTAGTTCCCGCCCGACTTCTGGCGCTCCATCCACAGGTAGACGAGCTCCTCAAACTGAAGGAGAGAGGGGGAAAAAAAAGAGGGTCAGGCCATTCAGTTAGCCACAGAGGAGGACATGGCCCATTCTAGAAATCCACCGACGTCTTGAAATCAAGGAGAAGCAGAATTTGGACTTGGAACAATGCTAGACACGGAGGTCAATCTTGGAAGGCCTTTGCTAGAACAGGGGAGGGGAACCGGGACTATGCAACACCTTGAAATTACCATTTCCCCCCCCAAAAAAAAAAACTTGAGGTGAACTTCTAGTTACTTCTACTTTTTTTCCTTAGCATCACAGAATCATGAAGTTAGAAGGGACCTCCAAGATCATCAAGTCCAACCTCCTGCTCAAGACAGGAATACATATCAAAGGATATCTGCCAGGTGGTTGTCTAAATTTCTCATGACGGCCAATGGGCTTGGAGTACTCACCACTTCTTGAGGTCATCGTTGTACTATTCTAACCGTTAGGAAGTCCTGATATTCAGCCGAAATCTAGCTTGAGCGCATTGTTGAGTGTCCTGCAGTCAGAATAGGTCTTCCTATTCCCTCCCCTGCTTTTTAATATTTTTGTCGGGTCTGTGCAGAAAAAGGGACCACAGACCCATCGAGATATATCTCACGCCTGCCCTGGAGGTTCTCAAAGAGATGTGTTTGGGCTTTTGTACATGGTCACGGATGTCCGCCCGTCATGGCGAACTTTCTTATGCAAAAGCCTGTTTCTCCATGTCCCTTGCTGGCGGTGAAGGAAAGGATAGGAAAAACTTGGGGGGCTCAGTTGGAGGCAGAGGGTGTGTCATGTCTGTTCCCTGAGCTAGCGCAGAGTGCTCTTCTTTACTGGAGGGTAAATCACAGCTATTGACTGAAGCATGACAACGTGGAGGAATCCCAGGGAATGGATGGTTTGACCACGTTGAATGGACCCTCCACCTCTCTCTCTGGACCAGCCCTACCATTAGGTAAAGTTGTACAGCTGCTTCAGGAAGGCCACGTAATGTACACCACGTGGCCAGCCTCATGCTCCATAAAATAACTGGTTTACCCTATAATGAAACGCATAGCGATGAAACGCATAGCGATGTTACCGCCATGATTAGAAAACAGATACAACGTCCAGATGATTTCCTTTTGCACCCGGAAAGGAGAAGCACCAGCTTGTCATCTTGATTAAGCGCCTAAAAGTTTCAGTTTGGGTTTTCTCTCTCGTTCTTCTTCAAGCATGAAACCAAAACTGGAAAATAAGTTACTTTTTCTTTTCTTTTCTTTTGCTCCACAATTCCTAGAATCCAGAGTTAGCCTGCTCTCGGAACGGCCAGAATTGTTATTCAAACCTTAGATGTTGTACCTCCGAATTAAACCATCGGAGAGGTCCTGTCAAGTCAGGTGGAAAAGAAAAAGCCCCACAGTGAACCGACGCAGGAGGTGGCGGTGGAATCCGGCTCTGTTTTCGCTTCGGCTGGAGGCATGAAACAGCCACAGCTCAACGATTCTGTGACAGCTACACAGTTGAGTGGAAAATGTTGCATATTCTCAGGCGTATCGGATGGTGAGGAAGTGTGTCTGCTCTGAAAGGTCAGGTTGTATCCAACACAGCGCATCCGAAAATAATGCATCCTCATGAACCCCATCACCTCATAAACCACGGCAAGGAATTCTGTCTAACTAGGAAAGCGGCGCAGTTGATTTATTACTGTTTACACATCTGATCTCCTGGCTGGGCTGCCTTTCCCATATGTTGCCCCCCCCCCGTGAAATCTTAGTGATGATGAAACCTGAGTGCATCAACACAACCCACAAGTGTAAGGCGTCGGATCAAAATGAAACATTCTCTAACACAGCCCAGCTTCGCGAGATTGTCAACACTTTGAAAAGCATGTTGCATTTTGGGCTGTGATTCAGCAAACTCAGCGCTGTTTCACTTATACCTTATGCATACCGTTGCAAGCACAGAAGGTTGTGGACTCACCTGTAAGGGCAGAACAACCAGGGCGACGCAGATCATGATCACCACCAGCAGCTGGGACGGCCAGATTTTCGGCGTGACGTCCCCGTAGCCCACCGTCGAGAAGGTGACGATGCAGAAATAAAAAGACTTGAAGAGAGAGAGGTTCTCTCCGGATCTTTCCAAATGCTGGATACCGCACGTTCTGGAAAAAGAGAGAGAAGCGAGGCAACTGAGGTTACTTCTGGACTACAGTTCCCATCATTCTTCAACACGAACAGCGAGACCTGATGGGAGCTGCAGATCATCTACATCCGAAGAGGTATCTTTTACTCCCTCCTGGTCTACGTCTGATATACCGGATTCGTTGTTAGGATTTACCTTATATATACTTACAATGACAATAAATTGATTTGATTTTTTTGATTTTTGATGCATGGGAGCTGCAGATCATCTACATCCGAAGAGCTATCTTTTACTCCCTCCCGGTCTATGTCTAATATACCTGATTCGTTGTTTGGATAGACCTTATATATGTACTTACAATGACAATAAATTGATAATTTTTATTTTTGATGCACCAAGGGCAGCTGTTCATAAATGAACTGTAACAGCAGCGTCTTAACACAGCACCATATTTTGAAATGTTGTTCTTACGTGCGATCAAGTTGCCCCCGACTTAGGGTGACCCCGTGAACGAGCCATTTCCAAAATGTCCTGTCCTCAATAGCCCTTCTCGGCTCTTCTAAACACAAACCTGTGGCTTCCTTTAAGGAGCCAATCCATCTCGTGTTATTGGGTGCTCCTCTTTTCCTGCTGCCTTCAACCTTTCCCAGCATTACAGTCTTTTCCAGAGAATCCTGCATTCTCAGGATGCGCTCAAAGCCTCAGCGTCAACACGCTTGCCTCCAGAGAGAGTTCAGGCTTGGATCCACTGGTTTGTCTTTCTGGCAGTCCATCGTACCCGTAAAGCTCTCCTCCAGCACCGCATTTCAAATGAATCTATTTCTTTTTTTCCTGTCCACTTTCTTTGCCGTCCAGCTTTCGAACCCCTACATGGTGATCGGAAAGGCAAGCGTGTGGCGGATCTTGGCCTCGGTCTCCAGCGAGGCCTCCTTACACTTGACGATCTTTTCTATAGTTCCTTCCTTGCTGCCCTTCCGAGTCTTGCAAATAGAACCCCCGAAATACAACAGCAGGTCCCAAGGCCAATGCGGGAATGCTTTCAGAGACTATGAAAGAGCTTCAGATAATGCCAGACCTTATTCAAGAGGGAGGCGAGCCACCCCGCAAGGCTACCGCAGAAAGCGCGATATGAAAGAGCTTCAGATAATGCCAGACCTTATTCAAGAGGCCACCCCGCAAGGCTAGCACAGAAAGAGCGACGCGACTTTGAAAACACACAAAACACACAATGACTCATTTCCTCTTCAAATCACTAATGGAGGCTGGAGCATCGAGAAGCAGCAAAGGTCCGATTCACGTGGGCCCCAAACATCTACCACTGGGGTTCAAGGCCCCCCCCCGCCATTGTTTATGCAGAAAATAAGGCTATAAAAAGCCCGTTCCATTCAGCTGAATTGATGAGAAGAGGCGAGAATATAATGCTAGCTTTTGTAGAGCCAGTGAAACGACGTTGTTTGTGCCGAACGACAATATATTTATATATCCTCCGGCCAACAGGGGGGATCTGGGACCAAGTGTCCCCAAAAAGATTCACCAAGCTTTCATCCAATATCTGCTGCCCTCAAATACTGAGGATGATGGGTCTCCAGTATGGGAGCCCTCACGAACAGTCACATTTTTGCCCAGCAAGACAGAACAGTAAGAGCTCTCCTGCAAGATGATTTGGGACTATAAAGCTGGAGAACCTTCTGGTTTAAGAGGAGACCAGATGGGAGAGCATCCTGGGGGAGTCTTGATGGAGATCCTCATTATCATCATCATCTGAGAAGAGCTGGAAAGGACCCTATGGATCATTGAGTAAGGAGGTAACTTGAGCCCTGGATCATCCAGTCCAGCCCCTATTAAGGAGGTAACTTGAGCCTATGAAGACTTGTCCTGCACTCCGGGGATGATCCAGAACAGATCCTGTCCTTCCTCTGTAGGACTGCCTTTCAAGTCTTTGAAAAGTGCGGCTTATTCCAAGCTAGAAGGGGTGCTCTCCTACTCAAATGCATCTGATCTAACTTATCTCCCTAGAAAACTCCAAAAAAATTTTTTTTAATCTTCTGAGCCAGAACTTACCCAGTGAAAACAAGGCAAAGGAGAGTGCAGATCAGGATGAGAACCTGGTTGAACATGGCAGATTGGGTCCTTTGAATTGCTCGGTGGAGGTCGTTCTGGGAAGAGAAAGTAAAATCCTCCATATGTAACAGAACGAGAGACTGGAATCCGTAAGGACAGTGCTGATATCTCCCGCATCATCAGGATCTTTGAACTGCAGAGTTGGAAAGGTCCCTATGGATCACCATGTCCAGCTCCCTCCAGGGAGGCAAAGCGGGGAATCGAATTCACAACCTCTGTCTCTGCAGTGAGAGACCTAACTCACTGACCTATCTAGCAGTCCCATACAACAGCCAGAGACCTAACTCACTGAGCTATCTATCAGTCCCATACAATGTATTCGAAGAACCACATCCTCTCATTGCTCACCTTCAGAATCATTTGAGTACATCCGAGAAATTTTAATCTTATGGTCTAGAAACTTGGGCTTTTTTAAAAAAAACTAGAGTGCGCTATTGGACCTCCAAGGCATTGTAACACGTAATTATTCTACCTGTAGCAAATCTGGGCTTTGGATGAGACCATCAATGCCACGGTGGTCAGGCAAGACTAGATCTCCTCTGGGTCTCCCTCCCTCCCGACCTTGGCTCATCGCAATCCGGGGGACAGAAAAACAGAACAAGAGAAGAACTTTGCACAGTCCCGTTTGCCCAGAGAGTAACTCACAATCATGTTTTCCAACGCGTATTTTGCCAGCCAGCAGTTCAAGAAGACAGGGATGAAGAGGTTTCGTAGTGGCGGCCAAAAGATCTAGAAAACAGCCACCGGTTACATGGATGATTTTTTGGGGGGAGTTTATGCACACACTCACACAAACATAATTGCATTTATATACAATTAGAAACTCATAAATATATACATATATTTACACCAACACAATTGCACAAGTAATACAAACACTGATAAATCCATTTCTTTCTTTCTTTCTTTCTTTCTTTCTTTCTTTCTTTCTTTCTTTCTTTCTTTCTTTCTTTCTTTCTTTCCCTTCCTTCCTTCCTTCCTTCCTTCCTTCCATTCATTTCTATACCACACATCTAGCAACAAACGCCACTATGGGTGTATTATAATATAAGCATCAGAATAATAACAAAATAATAAATATCTACTAAACATTAGGTCTTAAAAAGGCATCTAATGATTGATTACATACACACACACACATCCACACACAGAGAAAATCATCTCTAGACACTCCCATCATTGCATGCATCCAGATTTTTGCACACCGCATCTTAGAAAGGTGCAAAATTTCACCCATGACAATTGAGCTCACGCACAGAGAAACGCCCACCACAATGACACACAGGTGCACACAAGCCACACAAACTTACTGTGATAATAAAGGGCACAGTGTTGATCATTTCGAGGATGAAGGAGACGCGGAAAATCTGTTCCCAGATGTTTCCCTAAAAATCAGAAAGGAAATTCAAAGCTGCTCTGTGGATGCGCATGGCATCGGTGGCATATCCCTGCACATTAGCCAGTCTTCCCTAGTCTGTGATGCTCCAGTGTGTTGCACTAACATTTCTGTCATCCCTCTAAGGTCCTGGCATTCCCGCCCCCCTTGATGCTGTAATCTTTGAGCAATCAAAGTCATGAGTCCTTGAAGACACCACAAACCTTGGAGGTCAAAGTTCTCCCTTCAACCAGCACTTTCTCCCGTTCTTCTTCTTACCTTGTAGCTGAGATAGATCAGAAGCATCGTCTCCAAGAAGCTAATAATTGCTACGCTGACCTGGAAGCAGAGAAAGAGAAGAAGGAAATCATAGCATTGAAGATAGCAATGACTAGATATCTCCGCCACTTTCTACTCCAGCGGCGGTCACCTTGATGGTCCGGATGGGATCCATCTGCCTTAAGGTATGGATAAACATGAAAACTTAACCTACCTAAGTTCTGTTACAATAGTCACCTTCCTTGAGCCTTTGCAGTTCATTTGACAGATGTACTGGATTATGTACAAAAGTCCAGTTCAGTCATCCATCATCGCCTCGTCCTTCCCGCCCGCTTTAGGAAGACACTACTATTTTTTTTTAATTTCAGAAGTTAGATCCATCAGCTTCACGTGGATCTGCCCTCTCTTATTATTTCCACCCCCCAGAAAGTGATTTTAAAAAACAAGGGGGAAAAAAAAGAAATGGACTAGGGATGTCACGGGTTCCAGCCAATAGGTGCTGTGCGCGGCAATATCTCCTATGTTTTTGGTCATTTTTAAACAATGCCCTTTTGAAATCTGGGGCTGGAATCATTTGTGGGTTCAGATGTTATCACCAGCTTCTCAAGTACATTCATGGCTTTCATTCACTTACTTGTATTGCCCATAATGGCTTATTTCGGTCTACCCAGATGATCGGAGCCCTATAAAAGAGATCGGGAGAAGAAACTGAAAGATCTTCATTTGGGAATTAAGTTTCCAAGCTTTGGGAGGAGGTAGGCATAGGAAGGCATGGGTGAAAGGAAGTACAGATCAGTATGAATACTGATCCCCTATAGAACAGTGACTTTAACTGTGATTTCCCGTATGTTTTTGTCCCTACTGAAAAAAAAGGTTATTTTTTAGTATTGGTTTGTTCCGGGTGGCAGAATTTAGCCCTGTTGTGCTTCCCAATTTCAGCTGATTTCTAGGGAGAACCTTCCAGGTAGAACTTAAAAACAAACAGAGGCTCCAGAAAAGAATCTCGAGCAGAGATGCAGAGCTCTTAAATACATTTTAAATATTTCTTTAAAATTTTATAAAGAGAAGTTCAAAGGAATTTTCTCCAAGGAAAAATGGCTTTCCAAAAGGAAGTTTGAACGCACGTCCCAGTCAACACCAAGCAAGAGAAATGGGGATAGATTTTTCCCCGCTTGCAAAGGCATGTAATCTTCTAAAGTTATTTTTTGTGTGTGTTGGGGGGGGGGAGAGATTTCCAAAATAAAACTGCCCACATCATGTAACAGCCTTATTCTTGAATTTACAAGTCATGTGAACTGGCCCACAAAGTGATGGGTATATTTTCATAAAACCTGACATTTACTCACCAGTTGATTTCTGTTGACGACTGGTTAAAGGTTGAGTAATTGCGTTTCTCACATTCCCAGCTGAACAGAAATGAAAAGACAAGGCATTTTAGGGTGAAAGTCAGGTCTCAATGAAGCTATAGAATGCAATCAATATTTCAGATGGCTCATTGACTCCGATTAAGCCTGGCAGGCAGCAAAGAAACAGCCTCCATAAACGGTAACACTTTCCATTTTAAGGGTATTTAAAGAGGCTTAATAGAGCCTTTAATCTCATAAAAGATCTAGTTGGACTCACTGCACAACAGCAGTTGTAACAACAGGAAACATGTTTAACTCTTTCTGCAACATATTCCTAATGGACTTGGTAGTGATTATTCTGGAGGGATGTTAAGGGTACATTTACTGTCCTCCTGTGCACCAATAAACACTTTAAAAAGTGTTTATTTAGAAAGGCTTACATGTTTGTCATAAATGGCCATTGCTCTTTCTTGTTTCCCTTCCACCAGAAGCAGGAGGCAATAGCCTTGGAACAATGAAGAACAAGAGACACCAATTTTGTCAGGTTCATATGACCTTCAATGAAATCATTGGGTTGGCCAAGAGGGAGGGTGCAATCCTGCCTGCATTTGCTCAGAAGGAAGCTATCCACTCCTTCACCTCAAGTGTCAAAATGTCTTGGGCTAGCTCTCCGTATTAGATGGTAATTTTCACCCTCGCCAGGTACAATGTTCTACTTGTTGATAATTTTCTTTTTATTATTATTTATAAAATCCATCCATGCTTATTTAACACCGTGTCACCTGGGTTCAGCTTATAATCATTTGTTAATACACTGCAATACCTATTAAGCTCTTAATCTATACAACGTGCTTCTAATAATTAATAAAACAAGTTCCATGTTTGATCATATTCTGCATCTTCCTTTCCTTTGATTTTCAGTGTCGGTCTATCCATTTCAGCGCAATCCAGGGGAGCGTTCTACTCGGAGAGCTGTGGATGATGGAAATTGTAGTCCAACATCTCTAGAAGCCATGAGGATGGGGTGGACAAGTTTACAAAAGGAGCCAGTTCACATCTACTGGATAGCTCAGTGGTTTAGGTATCTGCCTGCAGAACCAGAGGTTAGGAGTTTGATTCTCCCACTGTGCCTCTGTCATCATCTACGGTGCACTCCCAGTAGCATGGATCAGTTCTGGTGTTGTGGCATTCCATGGAATTTTCTCTTATGTAGATGGTTTGCTATAGGTCCCAAACCAACTTGTACATATGATGCATCAACACACACCTTTAGCGCAGGGACGAAGAACATGGGACCATCCAGAGGTGGTCACACCAAAGCTCCTAGCATCTTTTGACATGGGCTGCTGGAAGGTGTCATCAGACAACATCTGAGCACAGCGCGTACACACCCTCCACGTCCCTTGTAACAAATACACCATATCTCACCATCCTATCCGTCCCGGGTCGTCGAGCAGAACACGGACAATATAAAGCAGGCAAGTAAGGAGCTTGAGGGAGAAGTTGAAGAGACGTATCCTCAGACCTGGAACAAGCCAGATGGAGCAACATTCATCAAAGCGCTTTGTTAGAAGCAGTCAACTAGATTTCATTGCTCGTCCCAGCTGAAGTAAACTCACTGAACCAACTGTCCTGATGTTAAGTCAGGAGGAAAGCAAGCAATTGGATGGCATACCACCTGGCAAGGAGCTTCTCTGAGTATCTCCTTTGTCTATGAACTTACTTTTCCACCCATAATTAAAGCTTGCACGCAGGCTTTAACCTTCATTAGTGCTTTGCTCATGTGCTGTCTTAAAGGATCAGCGCTACCCTCGTTAATTAGAGCCCTACTAGGATGAGAACAAGGATGAAGAACTGATTGTGGTTTTCTTGAGAGAACACAGCCTGCACTGAAATTAGTGTGGCTTCAGATAGCAAATCCTGGGGAAAATTTTATCTGTGTGGATTGTGTTAAGCGATGATTCTCCCATGCGTTGAAGGATCCAACGGGCTTCTGGATCCCTCCTTCATCTACCAGAAGACACCATGAAGGAAGAAAAAAATAATTTCCCACCTTTCCTATTCCCAGTAGCACGAGCCAGAGAGAGGACCTCTTATGGATGATTCAGTGCAAAGATCACCAGAGATCGTGTGATAATAACCAGGGACTCAGGATTTGAGAGAGTTAATGTGGCATCAGGTATAAACTTGGGCTCAGAAGAACCGAGTTCAAATCCATGTTCAACCATGGAAAATTAATGAGAGGTGGAAATGGCAACCCAACCTTCCAGCACCTCACATAGTCCCATCAAGGTCACCGTAAGTGACTTGGTGACACATAACGAGGACAATATGGCATGTCTTAAAGGTTCAGTATGGTATGACTGGTTTTAAGGAGGAATCTTCAACAGGACAAGCTCTAAAGAGATAAGAACGGGAAGCTACTTGTTATAAGCTACAGCAGCCACTCAGACCCACCATCAACTCTGGTTCCATATGTATGCTGGAAATACTTTTAAAACACCTAATAATACATCGCAACAATATTAGGGGTTAGGATACTGGATCATCTTCCAGCATGATCTATACACTCCTGTTGGCATAGGGCAAATTATGTATTCCGTAAGTAAAAGAATAAATAAAAATGAACAAAAGAACTGATAGTGTCACTGTTACAGTGGACCCTCAACTTACAGATGGCTCGACTTACAGACTTTTCGCGTTACAGACTTCTCTGGCCGCAGAGTTTAGCTTCAACTTGCAGCCAGAGAATCGACCTACAGACTAGGAAAAAAAACCAAAATGGAACAAAAATTGAACAAAAACGGCCAGTTACGGGATTAATCAGTTTTCAATGCATTGTAGGTCAATGGAGACTCGACCTACAGACTTTTCGACCTGCAGCCACCATTCCAATACGGATTAATTCCGTAAGTAGAGGGTCCACTGTATTTTGCTCCTCCAAAAGCACATATAAATCTTGTAAAAAACCCTTGGATTTAAAAGGTTCAAAGTTCTCTTTTCAGTTGAAAAACATGGAATGTGGGGAATGTATGTTTCTGGAGAATTCTCAACGTTGTATTTGCTTGTTTTCCATTCCACTGAATTCATACTGTTTATTCCATAGTCAGAAGATACAACAGCCATCAACTGCATCAGGACGTATGCAACCTGAACCAATGAACTCCCATCTTAATTAAATGTTTTTCATTGGTGTTGAGGGACTGTGCTCTAGAGCAGTGGTTCCCAACCTTGGGTCCCCAGATGTTCTTGGACTACAACTCCCAGAAATTCTGGCCAGCGCAGCTAGGGGCGAAGGCTTCTGGGAGTTTTCGTCCAAGAACATCTGGAGACCCAAGGTTGGGAGCCACTGGTCTAGATAATCTACTTCCAAGGTGGCACATTAAAGATCCTAAATAGCTCAAAATCTGGGATCAGAAAGGATGCAAGCAACATGGAATCAGGGTCTTCAAGGTGACTTCTCGTTAATTCGGAATGAAATGGCAACTGTAAAAAAGAAAAAACGAAGCAGATCTTTCAGTTTATTTAACAACTAGAAAGTCCACAGGAGAAATGCAGTCATGCTGCTCTAGAGGTAGGATGCTAACAAACAGTAGATGGCGGTGCAGCGCTATGCCAGTGCGGCTGGAAAGAAAAACCTCCCTTTCATCCAGTGTGAAAAAGGCTATTTTAGCAAGAAGCATTGATTGCTTAGATTCATAAGCCAAAGAAGCATGTGAAAACGATGATTTCCATTGGCTGTGAGCAACAAGAAAAACATTAAATAAGCGGGTTGGCGTGGTCAATTTGTGCTTGACCGTGGTGAAGCAAGGACCAACAATAGAAACTGAGCAGACTTATGAATACAGCATTTAGCACTCTCGTCTACTTTTGATTCCTCAGCAACCTTCGTTTACTAATTTTGATTAAAGCTGGCTTTGAGTGTTACTGGGAAATATGATTCAGAACCCTATTGCTCATCATCGCTAAAGCAGATCCATGAATAAACCAATTGTTTATCAGAGTCCACTCTCTGGTTCTCTAAACCAGGTATGGACATAGTATAACACCCACACCAAAATTATTTATACACTTTCCTGTCACATGCAAAATAGTTAGTTAGTTAGTTAGTTAGTTAGTTAGTTAGTTAGTTAGTTAGTTAGTTAGTTAGGTAGTTAGGTAGGTAGGTAGGTAGATAGGTAGGTAGGTAGCTAGGTAGCTAGGTAGCTAGGTAGCTAGGTAGCTAGGTAGCTAGGAAGGAAGGAAGGAAGGAAGGAAGGAAGGAAGGAAGGACCAGCCTGTGTGACGCCTGCCAGTGCAAACACTTACTTGATCTTTGGTTTTTGATGAAAAAAAGCTTGAGCCGTTCCTTAAATGTGTTTTCATTCACATAAAACTCCACCTGAACCCTGCCAGGGAATAAACAAGTGCAGAATTAGAGTCGTAATGCATCGTTGCTGCAAGCAAGATGATGATGATGATGAAGGAAGCCTGTGTATGACACTGGTTGTCCTCCCCTGAGGAAGCAGCCTGAACCTCATATTCTGTCAGTCCTCTGCACCCCAAAGAGGACAAGGGGTTGGGGCATCATGCCCTGAATCTTACGCATCTTTAGAACCATGCAACATCTCCTCGTGAGCCCACCAGTGAACAGACAGGTAGACATTCACGCCGAAAGACATCCAAAAATTTCCCATCTGTGGGAAGTTACCCAAACTGCACCTCTTAAACAAACATGCAAAACCGAGCGTTATCATCACGCTTTCTAACCCTGGTGGTGCAGTTCCCCCACACAAATACATACGTGGACGTATTTAACATTCTAGTATTTTAGAAATCCATACCTTGAGATCAAATGCTTTTGGAACCTCATAAGTGGAACCGAACCAGATCAGAAACTGAGCCCCATTTCCTGCCCCCCCTCCATCTCCCAGACCATGATATATGCATTTTTTGTTGGCATTGAACATCACCGAAAAGAAGATGCCGTCTTAGCAGCAGGAGAGAGAGCTCAAGAGCCATTCCCGATAGCCTGAATTTGATTCGATGCTTTTATTTTGATCTTGACTTATTCGGAAGATGGAGCACTGTTATCCTTCCTAACTGCAGTGTTTTTTAAAAAAACTTTCGCAAATGAGTTGTACTTGTGCTTCGCTGTACGCATCGGAGACGGAGCTCATTAATTACAATCAAAGGGTAAACAAGCCACGAGAGGAGGAAAATACATCGGCGATGGGTTTTGCATGTAAATAGTGTCCTTTACTGCAATTCATGCCCTCTCCCGGTGTGTATTAAGTTGCACGAAAGCTGTCCTCCCTTTTTCCGGTCTTGTTCCTCACTCGTCAAATCCATTAAGCGACAATATCATTCTGGCTTCACGACAGACTTTCTTCGACAGTGGATCATTTCCAAACCTCCCTCCTCACCCCCGGAACAGAAAACGCATCAAACGCTTCAACCTTTTCGTTGAGAAAGAAGCCCCCGTGACCTCTTGAAATACATTGAAAGAGAAATGGTCCAGAAATGGACCACCAAGGCAATCTTGATGCGCGTGCGGAGTGAAGTGAACTTACTGTGACAAGGAAGAATCCATGCTGAAATCCTCCACATGTGGCCTAAAGACACAGGGTATAAGGAGCATTATCAAGTCGAACACACAAGAACAGAACATTGAAAAGCCTCACAGACTGCACTGCTAAGACCAAACAAGGGTGGGGAGCATAAAAGTTACTCTCGGAGAAGGTGGAGGATGATGCTACGATGTCACCAGGGCGGTAAATTTGCTGCATGTTGTATCCTGAACTTTACTGGAGCAAAACCTATCCCTGAAGCAGGTTTAGCGCTGTGAATAAGCCATGCCATTAGCTGTGCGGATTGGGATATTCTGATGCAATTTAAAAGTAACTTTTTCTAGCTCTGGAAGAGAGTTTTCTTCAGAGAGGGGCCAAAGCGCCCACGAACACGCTGGGGACCCCTTTCAAGTTGAACCCAATCTTTACGATTTGTAGAAATGACATCAATGGGACCTCAGCTGGTTGGCTCAAGTCCCATTGATTTCAATGGGCTGACTCTAGGCGTGGCTGTGTTTCATTGTTTTTGATCCTAATTTAGCTGCACGGGCAACAGAACTGTCTCAATATGCTTTACGAAACATCAATAGGATAATACCATACGCAGCCACCTACCCATACTTTAGTCCCATTGAGTTCACACGGCGATCCTTCATACAATCAGCAAGGATTAAGGCTTATTGAATCCACTGGGATTTTTGAGTAAACGTGGATGCTCTGTAAATGACTGCATCATTTTTAAAAAATGTATGTAGGAGAACGTCTTAATTTGTTACACCAAATTTCTTGTGTTCTCCATTCTGAACAGACCTTCGTAACCCTCCAAATGTGTTGGGTCAGGCCAGTTGTTTTAACCTTGGGTCCCCAGATGTTTCTGGACTACAACTCCTAGAAACCCTGGCCAGCCCAGCAGGTGGAGAAGGCTTCTGGGAATTTGAGTCCAAGAACATCTCGGGAGACCCAAGTTTGGGAATCACTAGGCTAAAGTTACCGATGCCCTGGGAATTACATCAGAAAGGAAGCAAGTTGGAGAAGATAGTGCTTAAATCTTCCATAAAGGGCACAGGAAGTGAAGGAAGGGTGAAGATGAAGGAAAGAGAGAGGACAAGAATCGATGGCGTTCATGGTAAGAAATAATGGACATCTCAAAAAAATAAAATAAAAATAAACCACATACACCAAACAATCACAGCCAATGTTGTTTTCCAAATTGTTAAACAGAGGTACTGCATATTTCTGAGAGTGTATATTCAGCGTTCCATGAAGACTGGCTTTTTTTCAGATGAGAGGACATCCCGGGACAACGGCTGATTCTGGTAGATTGGAGAAAGGATCCTTGGCCCCTTGCCAAGGGCTAGCTTCCTACAAAGCTCATTCTGATCTTGGGTTTCTGGTCCTTCTCTCGTGTTGTTTTAATGGAGAAGCCCAAGACCGGGAACCAAATCTGATCCTCCTGGAGTCCACCCCCCTCCTCTCCTCCTCCCTCATTCATTGGACAGCCACGAACCTTCTCCTTGGCCAACCTTCTCTTATTGCCCCATCCTCATGGTGTCACTGGTGGCCCTTGAATGGGAAGCCGTAGCCTCTGGTTGCACGGCTGAATCTGCCTCAAGTCTTGTTCCAAATACCACAGGAGCTCTCCGAAGTCCTGAATCACACATACACATCCAAATAGACCCAGGACTTTGGGTAGTTCCTGCAAAGTTCGGACTGAAACCCAGAGCGGATTCGGATCCACTGGGAAGTTGTTGCGTTGGTCCCTAAGAACAAAGCAAAATCCAAATTCTGCAAGCAGGTATTGTCTCTATTAGGCTCCACCAAAGGGTGCAAGCTTCCAGGTTTTCCACGATTTTCCAGAATTTGAACCCAAGTCTCCTGGGTCCTCGTTCGACACTCTCCCACAACCCCACACTCTCTTTCCTTAGGCTGGATGACTGTCAACAAAAATCACCCAGTCTGGATTTCAGCCACAAGGCGCTGCGTTTTCCTGATTTCCCCCCGAGGAAAGCCAGTGGGGAAGACAGAACCACAGATACATGAATTGGGCGGCCAACAGTGTGATCAGGTGCATGACCAATTCTGTGACCGTTTGTGGAGCAAAAGCTAAACTGGTTTCCACCTTGGTGCTAAATGGGAAATGATGTAACCGGTTCAGCAGGGGCTCCCAACCTTGGGTCTCCAGATGTTCTCGGACTACAACTCCCAGAAGCCTTCAACTCTAGCTGTGCCGGCCAGGATTTCTGGGAATTGTAGTCCAAGAACATCTGGGGACCCAAGGTTGGGAACCATGGCAAAGAGCCATCTTGGGACTCAGCCCCCCCCAACTGGAATTCGCTGGGGCTTCTAAAGTGGTGACACAGTTGGCTAAGAGATCTAAGCAAGCCACATCGTCGCTAAGTTTTCCTCTCCACCGAGCATTCAAACCGCACCGTGTCCAGTTCTCAAAATGTAATTCAGGCCCTGCATCAGCCACAGGGGATTCCCTCCCAGCCCAAGGAGCTGAATGAAGATTTAAAAAGCTACTGACAGATCCAGAGCGATTATGCAAGTTTCAGAGGGAGGGAGAGAAAAAAATGGCGTGTCAAATAATTTGGGGGAAAAGGGACCACATCGCACATTGCCTCTGTGACGGCAAGAAAGGAGGAATAAGGGAAAGAGGAGCAGAGAAGCAAAACATCCAATTACTTCTCCCTCTCCTTGTTTCCCAGTTAAGATTCCATTTGGAGACTGGCAGAGTGCCCGGGTCTCTCCACCCTGCATAATGCCAAGCAGGAAGAAGCACGGCTAAGATTGTGGGGCATTTTGTTGACTAGAAGAAACAGGATGGCAACAAAGTCGTAGTGACGAGTTTGCATAAGGGATGGGATTTTTTAAAAAAACATTATTTTGGACTATCCATCCCATAATTCCCCCTTCTGGGAGCTACCTGAGTGACACGCACTTTACAGACACCTAAATTGTGGCTCACCTGGGGAAAAAAGGCTTAAATTGGGAAGTTTCGAGGCTTAGCTAGGCCTAGCTTACTGTCCAGAAAAAAAAAATTCCCAGCTGGCACTGGGGCGGGAACAGGAAGCTTAGGCAGAGCTGGGCCTAGCTATACCTCGAAGCCTTCCCGAGGGATGAGGCTGTTGCCCGTAGTTGGAGATTCCCAATCATTAGAGTACCTCTGAGGGTTTTCACGAGTCACGCACAATGAAAAGCGATTTCGTTTGAGTCGTGTGAACCCCGGAATCGAAGGAAGAGGTCTCTAATTAGTGTCAGTCTCTTCCTGGGAGAGGCATGATCAATTTACGCAACAGGATTCTGGTCACACTGTATCTGCATTGTCTTCCTTGTTACTATAACATGTTCTTCTTCTACTATTGCTACTGGTGGTTCTGAGATGATTAAAATGACCTGGTGGCTTTCCAGGAAATTTGTTTTTTTTAAAAATGAAAAAGGTCAGTCCCTAGCTATTACACACAATGATAAATCTCTGTGTGGTTGTGTTGTGTTTATCAAAGCATTAAATGGATACCAGACCCTGAGGGCAGAATCTGAGCACAATCTCTTTGGCAAACAGACGCATGGGTAGCAAAGCATTACTTTTACTCCCGATTCTATTAGTAACAGAACTGAGCAGCTGTAATCGGTAGGCTAAGAGCCATCCGCAAAGAACGATCTGTTATCTGAACCAACCCGAACTTCTAAAAACTGTCTCTGTTTTAGGGGTTTTTTTTCCTTAAAGGAAAAAGGATTTCCCACCAAATCTGAAAATAACGGTTTTTGCAAGTGTATTGCGAACAGAGAACTGTGCAAGATAAATCAGAGTCACTTCCTCTTTTTTCCAAAAGGCAATG